TTTGAGGCTGACAAGTGCCCAAAGGGCGATGTTGTACACAAAATATCCATACATATGTTTGTTCCCCTTGTAGATCGTATTTCCTCACTGCCCCAGTTTTGGCAAAGGACAAACGGCAGTGAGCATTGTCTGCCACTACTTGTGGTACTGCAAATTGGATTCTGAAGCTCCTAATACCCAACAAGTGTCTACTCTCTGGGATTACAAGTTTGTACGTAGAAACAATACAAAGGCCCAACGAAAGCTGGCTTTGGGGGGCACGTCACCTGGCTGTTGCCATAGTGGCACGTGGACAGGCAAATGCTTTCTCAGTACATCTGCTGCAATGCAACCAATTTTCAAGGGCTTGGTTGTGTTGTCTGGTTCATTACTGGCTGCTGTTGTTGCAATTGAAGCTGAGCGAAGTAAAAGTTGATGTCAGGCTGGTGCAAGGGCTGCCATTAGGGTGTGTCTTTGCATCAGCGGTGCTTATCCTGGCACACCTCAACTTGTATTTCGCACACATCAGACTTGCGTCCAAAGATAGCTGTCAGCGTCCATCCCCAGCGTTGCACCATTTTGTTCAAGGACAATGGATGCCTGTATGAATGTTTGCCCAGTGTCCATGGCAACATGAGGCTGTGTGTAGTTGCTTTGAATACACTTTGTGCCTTTGGCAAAACATGCTTAGGCACCTTCTGATCGATCAACAGGAATGCGTGCAACTGCAAATGAGTTGTCCCCTGCAGTTCACGTGAACCCCAATTTTCAGATGAGTGCAAAATCTGATCCATTTTCGAGCTGATATTGTCTTGTACATTATTTCCTCACAAAGCCAGCGGCTCTACTACACAGTGGCACAGAAATCGTTTAGGGAACCATCAATGCTAAGAGACGCCCCAGTCGAGACCTGCACATGTTTTTGCAAGAATTCTGCTGCATTTCATGTCAACTGCATCGCCCACTGATTCATAGCAACAATGTCTCCCGGCCATGTGTTGGCAGTTTCCAAGAACAACAACTTGTCTACGCTTGCAGCCATTCCTGCATTTGGGCCAGCCCCTCCTTTCTTGCTTTGTCGTTGAATCGTGCTTCTGTTTATGTCATGTACGTTGCCACAATCAACATCCACCGATTCATCTGCTCCTCGTCTCAGGTCATCACAAGCATGTCTCCCTCTGAGGGCGACGATGACATCACAATCATCGGCAGCACCACCGAACCCCAACTCGAATCGGTGCCCAGCCGTGTGCGCCTCAGGCTGAAAAAACTGCCAGGCTACTTCACCGGCACTGGCGACCTCCTGGCGGCCCTCCTTGTTGCAAAACTGCACTGCCACCAGGGCCGATTCGCTGCCGCCCTGGAAGAGGCGGTGGCTGCATTGCAGGGTGTGATGGCAGTGACAGCAGATGCACAGGGTGGGATCGCCGCGGACGACAGGAGCGCAGAGGCCTTTCGGGCACGGGAGCTGAGGGTGGTGCAGGGGCAATACCTGCTGGAACATCCAGAGGTGGTGCACAGGGCAGAGCCAGTTGGAGGGTGACTGCACCTGCCATGGTGGTTCCTCCACAGCCCTGTAGACATGACAGACAAAGACACCCCTTAAAAGCCGAAGATGAAACGTGGATTTCACTGTATTCTACTTTGTATCCTGTGCTTCATTTGCAGCATTGTAAGACGGACAAGATGCGACTGGTGTCCCAGACGTGGCTATGAGGGTATGATAGTCTTTTGCCGCGTGACATATTGTTGGTTCAATGTAATTTGAACAAAAGGAATAGGCCCTCCGATGGACACCCTGCTCAGCAAGAATATTTGTGAGGCTCTGCCCAATAGTTTTGAACGTGGCGAAAAATATCTCTGAATGCAGCGGGAACAGCATGCAGGAATTGCTATCGCTGTGGGACTGATGCCTTCTGTGCCATCTTGTTCCCTGACTCGATCAAAAAGTTAGTAGGCTTTGAAGTGTTTTTCAGCTTGTGCACAAGTTGGGGATTTTTTTTAGATCCATGGAAAATTTCTCTGTTAATGTGGATGGAAGTGGGCCGTCCTGAGCTGCAAGGAAACAGCGCATGTGGATTGGTCGAATTGTTTTTAAACGATATCTGGACGAGCTGCCGATGTTGTTCTTTACTGTCGCAACGTTCTGCTGATTGGTCAGGTAGGCTTGGCACTGTGTCCTCTGGGACTGTGGCGAGCGACGGCGATTTCCGAAAAAGGCCCAGAACAGTGCCGAGCATGGGACGCAAGTACTCAGAAACAATTTCCAACACAGGTACACACCTCTGGCAGGTTGGGGGCCGTTTGCGTTCTTGCCCCCGCTGGACCTTGGGCACCAACTGCGCACCTTGTGGTTCTCGATCAATAGTTGCGAGTTTGGGTTGTTGCAAGCCAGGCTTGGCGGCAGCTGCTCGGCCAGGGGCGAGGGGCTGTAACAATCCTAGATCGCGTTGGACAAGACATTTGTAACAATCCTTCAAAAGAGCATTCCACGAGACAAAGCGCTGCCGTTCACCTTGCAGGCGCGACGGGCGTGCGGGCATCCGGTGGGCCGTGGGGTTTCCCCCGGCCTTCTAGTCACACCATCGGTCACGGTTGTGGATGGATCTGGGTGCGCCCCCTTGCAGAAGGATCCAGCCCATCCGTTACACACACAGCGTGAAATCGGAAGTTGCCGCCCCGCTGCGCGACGCAAAGCACACGGGTACATCAGGGGCCCGCGGCCGCAAACCCGCCCAAGCCCTCCACCGTATGACTCCTCGCCATACCGTATGACACTCTGCACACCCTTTTACGGTTTACCTACACCGTACGGCCCTACCGATCCCTCCCAACCCGTCCTCGCGCCCTGGCACCATTACGCGCCTCGCTCGGTCGTCCGGCGCGGAACCCACGCCGCAGCGACGGGGGGCCGTCCGAGGTTGCGCACGGCCGCGAACTCGGCCGGAAGACGCTGACTAAACCTCCCCCGCTTGCCGAAGGGCCAGGGGTCCAACCGCGCCCACGCCACATCAGGCACCACATCACTCCCCCGACCCCTCCTTTTGTACGCCCGCCGCCCAGTCGCGTGCTCACACACAAGCAAACAGCGGGAGGCATTGCCCCCGTCCCGCCCCGCCGCGCCGGTGCCCGGCCGAGGCCCGGCGGCGGCCATGTCGCGCGAGCAATACGACGACGAGCACGGCGCGGAGCGCTTCGACGAGTGCGACGAGCTGGCGGAGCAGTTCGGCACGCCGCCCACGCGCAGGCGGCACGCGGGTGAGCCGACTGGGCCCCGGCGATGGCTTCCCCGCCGCTGGAAGAGAATCCGGGGGACGATTTTCCGCCGCGCGGACAGAATTGTGGGCGCGGATTGTGCTGATGACCGTTGTGTGTGGTGGCAGTGCCGCACAGGCAGGATGCGAGGATCAGGGGGCGCTCGACGGGTGTCCCGCCCGCCGAGAGGAAGGTACGGGAACGGGGGCGGACAGGCTGTCCATCGGGTGGGGAGGGATGCGGGGGGCCGGTCGGGGTTCCTGCTAGCGGGGCCGATCGAAGCTGGGGTGGGATGGATGTGGGGAATGGGCCAGAGACGGAGCAACGGACGCTGGGCAATGCGGTCCCGGAGGATTAATTGTCCGGCTCGGCGCCGGCGGGCGCCGCAGGGCCCGGTGGGGCTGGGCGGCGGGGGACGGGTATGGGGGATGGTGAGGGAACAGGGAGGGGGGGCGAGGGGGTGGCGCCTGCGAACTTGGATGGGAAAACGGGGCTCGAGGGAACGCGTGCGGCGGCTGCCGGCCCATCACGTGTCGCTCACGAACGGTGACGTTAGCCGGCGGGCGGCAAGGGATCGCCCTCGGCGGCCCCGGGGAAATGGCCGCGCGGGGCCCCAAGGCCGGGCTTTCTGGTGGCTGGGTGTGGCGCCGGGAATGCCGAAGGGGGGATGGGTTTCCCCTCGGAGTTGCCCGGGAGAACGCGTGGCCCTCATCTGCGCCCCGTGCCCACGGCCTGCCGCTTGCCCTGCGCAGGCGCCCAAGGCCAAGGACGCCCAGAAGCAGACCCGGCCCCGCAGCAATGCCGCGAGGCGGAGGCACGCCGCTGCCAGAATCTACAAGGTGAGCATCGCCCGGCCGTGGGCCGCGCTGTGGGCCCTTGCAATGAATGCGGTCGAACGTTCGGCAAGGAGCGGGAACGCCCATCCGCCTCGGGCTGCCGATGCCGATCGCCCCGACGGTGGGGCGGGGAGCGCGTTTGGGCTCCGCCTGAGCTGGCAGAGCCGATTTTTCACCGCATGGCTGCCCCTTGCCGGCCTGAATTCGGCTGACACCCACCCCCACCCCACCCCCGCCCGCAGAGGCTGGACACGACCTTCCAGGTGCTGGGCATCGACTCGCTGTCGGCGCGGTCGAGCCAGATCACCGCCAGCCCGGAGACACCCAAGGTGATGTGCACCAGCAGCAGGGACGCGGACAGCGGCTCGGAGTCGGAGACATCTTCGACCGTCAGGTGGGCGGCCCTTTGCCCGGGTTGCGGGCGCGTCGCACGCCACCGGCACCCATCCAGGCGAAACTAGGATACGCTAATTTCCGCACGCGCAGGGATCCCGCCGAGCTCCCGCCAAGCTGCCTCCGAGCTCCGGCTTTTATTGGCTGCGGAGCACCTGGCCGTGGGCGCGTGTGTGCCCAGGGCCAATCGCGTCCGCCCGCTGCTAACGTCGCCATGAAGGGCCTGGGCGCTCACGTTGGTGATTCAGTTGCTTGCCAATGCGCCCTGCCTTCAGCCTCCACAGCAGCGGTGCTCCTGGCTGCATGGTGCGGATTGGTGCCCTGCGGCCTTTGACGCGAGTCTTGTGGCCCCCGCAGCTCCTCGACCACCGCGAGCGGCAGCGGCAGGACGAGCCGATCGAGCATGAGGCGATCCTGGTCGAGGTAGGCGCCAATCGGGGCCGGCCCCTGAGTGTCTCCGTGTATTTTATGTGCGCCCGTTGCTGTTGTCTGTCCAATTGCAGGGAGCTTCTGCAGAAAACATTGGGCCCTGTGCGTAGCCAGAGTCCATATCCTGGGCTGCATCCCTATCATCCCCGTTGTCGGCCTGTCTGCGAGCCTGGGAGGATTGGCGGTTGTGCCACATGCTGCTGTGTGCTGCTTGCCAGACTCAACAAATTTGTTGCTCGTGAATCCCGACGATGGGTGCCTTGCGAATTGCTGGTTGGGGTTTTGTGGTGTGAAGACGTGTGGCTGAAAGTGCTATGTGCGTTGCCAGGGAAAGCAATGCTTCGCCCTCCCTCTTAACTAGTGAGCTGGAACGATCTTCCAACGGCTCCAACAGGCTGTGGCAGCGGATAGATGCTGAGCGGTGAGGGCACCCATGTGTGTCAATCTATTCCTGGATGGCACCATGGCACTGCATTGTGTGTGAGAGGGCTGCAGAGCAGCAGCAACACACAACATGTTGTGGCAGTTTCAGTGCCACGTTCTCAAATGTGTCTGTGTATTGAACACAACAGCCATCGGATAACCAGTCATTGTGGCAAGTGCAAGGAATGCAGGGACGTTTGTGTGATGGTAACAGGATTGGAAGTATGGCACGCGCCACGAGTGCATAACGTAATGTTGAAGTTTCAAACCAGAGCAGCAGCTCGAGTTCAGTTCAGGACAGTCGATGTGGAAGTTGCATGCCTGGCTTCTTGCAGTCCCCTCAACAAGACTGGCTACTGGCAAACTTGTTCAAGGGAATGACAATTGTATCCAGAGGAATGACATTATGATGTGCGGTGCCAGGAATCGGATGCAGTTCATGCATTGTCTAGACTTGACTGTCATCAGTGAAGGGACCTCCCTGCCCATCCCTGGTGTCGTTCAAGACTCAGTTGAGGAGGCTGATGACACACTGGGGGAGCTCGAATCCGTGAAGCCCATGGAGCTATATACACGGGCAGAACTGCTGCAGGCAATGGAGAAGATCGACAGGTGCCAACGTGTGGCACAGAAGGTTGAGAGGGAGTTGGCGGACAACATGCCGGCGGTTGGGAGCGGTGGCAGCCACAGCAGCATGCTGCAGGAGTCTGACCACGTTGCCTTCGTGCTCGGTGGCAAGCTGCAGGTGCTGATTGGGAACATGGGCACAGCCAGCAAGCATGATTTTCTTTGTATTGCTTATCACCTGGAGGATAGGACAGCGTCCTTTCACCTGGAGAGATGTTGACAGATGACTGAATTCTAAATTGCTTTATGTTTGTCTGTAGCTGCACTCCATCCTTGCACAGGATGTACAAAAAGTGGCCAGATGGTGATCATGTGATATATATGCTGCTTGGTTGTGACAGAGGTGTCCTTTAGTGAAGAACATCTGGTTTGGACATGTGCCTGACGTCTTGCAGACCACGTTGTGTTCAAGTCAGTGTGCTCTGCGCCAGGCAGATCTTCAATTGCGCCTCTTGTGCTCAAGCATTTGTGCCACTGAGCTTGTCATGAGATGCATTCACATCAACATTGCTTTTGTGGTGAACCTGTCGATTGCACCACGCATAGAAATTCTGGAACGCTCACCCATGATGCCCATGTTCGTATTTGGGTTTTGGCTGCCACAGGACATGTTCGATGAGCTCACAAAGAAGTTGACGCTTATTGCGAAGTCCATGGACCGCTGCATGGCGGGTCTCAGCAACAAACCCCGGAGGGAGGAGGTTTCCCAGGGACTGTTGTGCTCAGGGAAGTTGGGGTCTTTGTGCAAAGAGCTCATCACAGCAAAAAGGTATGGCACTTGGATGCTGGCACCCACGCGGCAGGCTTGGAACGCATGCAAACAGAACATGCCTGAACAAATAGTATGGATGGAGTTTTCAACATCATCGTGTGTTGTAGGTGCATTGGCAGTGTTCTGGCATATCTGGGCAGGTGTGGCAAGACTGACGGCACATTTTTGTTATCTCCAAGCATAGTGCTGAAAGATGTAAGGCAAGCTGTTTGTGCGCTGTAACCTGAGCCGTGACTGCTGCACTGCTTGGTTGGTCGCGGAGCGCTGTTTGCCTGACAAGCGCACTTTGAAAACTCACCTGCTGAATACTTGTGCTGGAAGTGAAGACTGAGTTTCTTACCACTATCTCTGCAGCAACAAGCTGTGTACAGAGGGCTATGGGCCCTTCAAGCTCATCCCCAACGTGAATGAGGAGATTCGTCTGGGTGACGCGATGCTGTCGTTGCTGGATAGAGCTGCCAAGATCAGTTGCAATTATCAGCTGTCAGTTCTGCGCGAAAATCATTTGAAACTGGTGAGTTTGGCATCTTGGACTTCATGAAGAAAGCAGGGACATACTGCAATTACTGCCGTTGCGATTCTTGTTTGAACTGACTGTTTTTACCAGCTGTTGTCAAGGACTTTGTATCAAACAAGTACGTGCTGTTATCATCCAACGGCCTTCTGGTGATGATACACCAATTGCCATGAACCAGATCATGAACCAGTGCATGCTGCATGCATCCAACTTTTTTTGCTGGGTGAGAATGTAAGATTTGCGCCTGAATGTGCACGCATTGTGAACACGTGACTTGGCCTAGACACATGCAGCAACTGCTGCTCCTGACAGGACAATCACTTTACACACAGTGTGTAACAGAGGTGTTGTGCACTGCTCAGAGAGTTTGACAGGCTGTGCAACATAGTATGCGCTGACAAGATGGCCTGCGTGCTGCTGATCATTGCTTGCGTGCCGTCAGACGTCTATCACAGGAACGATGTGCTTGCATACTGCACACTCCACCTTTTCCGGGACAGCGGGGTCCTGAACTTGTTGTTGCAGTGCATATCTTGAGGCCAAAATATCCGGAGCGAATTTGGTCCTGAATGTGGCATGTCTGCCTTGCAGAGTTCCATAAGATCGGCGCATGAAGTCGCTGAGATGGCCAACGCCCTGAAGAACGTGTGGGATCGCCTCCGCAATGTGACCGTGTGTTTTTGCAAGTGCTTCGAACGCAGAGCACATCTAAAGCCCAAGTGCTTCATGGCCAGGCAGTGTTATGCGAGAGTGCTGGTGTCTGGCGCAAGGGCAGCAGTTGACATGCAAGAATTCTGCCAAGGCAAGCGAGCTGACAGTGCCTCGTGCTCTGTCCCAAGCACTGCACCTTGTTCGGAGTCCAGCTGCATTTGTATGCAGTGTCTTAAAGCCTTCGAATTTCCGCCCCTTTGATCCTGTTCAATGTGCCTCAGGTACACAGGGTGTGCTGCAGGTTTGTGGCTGGGTTTTGCAGTGACCAGAACGTACTTATGGATGGATTGTTTGGGGCGATGCAGCTCGTCAGGTGCCTGTGCAGCAGGACGCGAACAATTGTTGGCGACAGAGCCCTGCGGACCCCGACACAGGATTTGGAAGCGAGAACGACGTGCAGGCACAGGGCTGGGTCCTGCCATGCATCACGGAGCTCATTAAGCTTGCAAAGGAGCACAGCCTGTATCTGCTCACACAGTGCGCGTTAAAAGAAGGTTAGTTTCGTACTAGTGAATAAAGCATCGAATGTGTTCCTAAGAAAGTTGGAGCAGGTGGCTGCAGTTGCACATAACAGGTGGGATTCTGCGAGGTCTGTGACATCATCAGTCCTGTGCTCTCATTGGGGTACTCATCTGAGCAGTAGCTGTGCAAGGCTGGTGAAAGTCCTGTAGCCTTTAAACACAGCGCATCGCCACAGGGTAGGCCAACAGAATGCGCGTGTGGGCCAGGGACAGGCGTGTGCAGGGTTTGCCTGTCGACAAGAGTGTGCACGCGATGCAGTGGGCCCTCAGGTTGACTCGTGTGAACTGTGGTGTGTTGGTTGCCTCAGGTGCCACTGCTGAGGCAGCCGAAGACCTTTGCGACGTGAGGCACGCCTTCTTCAGGCTCATCCTTGTCAATGTGCGCCGAATGTGCTGGCTCTCCAGCCACCCCCAAACGCTGCCTCGCTGGGGCCTGGAGCTGCTGGAGAAGCAAATCTCCAGCCTGCTGAAGACAGTCAGGTCGTACGACAAGCCTTCCAGCACGCTGTCCTTCGACATTGAGTACACACAGACAGCAGAGGTGGGGCTGCAGGAGCCATAGTTTTGACAAATAAAACAGGACCTGAGTACCAGGATTGTGCACGTACATTGTGCAGCATCCTCTCACTGGAATGCCCATGGGGGTCGCATCATTTGCACTGTCACAGACTTAGTTGCCGTTTGACATCTGAACCTCCCCAGACGTCCGTGCTGACGCTCTGCCCACTAACGTCCAGGGGTTACGACGCCCCGCACCTGAAGGTCCCTTCAACTGGCACCACCTGGCTGCTATGTGGTTCCTTGTCGAACCTACATGCATTCGCCCAGACGAAGCTGCTGACAATCTTCTCTTGTCTGCAATCACAGGGGGACCAAAAGTACAGCGAACTCATGGACAGCTGCCAGCAGCTCCTCAACAACATGCTCGTGGTGCAGACGAAGATCCAGCTGAAGAGGGCCCTGTACGACGACGAGGTGCCCTGCTTGGCCAGGCATCCCTGCTCGCGGCTGCCCTCCAGACGACCCATGGGGACTTCGGATGGAGACCCCTGGAGCACTGGCAGCCCGGCGTCTGGAGCCGAGACGACCTGCACCGGCGAGTGCGGCTCGTCCCACGAGTACAACAACAGAGCTACAGGCTCTGACGTGGGGAGCAGCGCACCAACCCCCGAGGCAGGCCAGGAGCCACCCGAGCCTGCCACGCCGAGTCCGACGGAGCCCACTCCAGCACACAAGGCTGGCAAGTACATAAGCCCCTACGAGCGTCTGGCGGTGCAGCAGGGTATGATGCAGGGCGGGCCCATGCCGCCTGTGAAAGCGCCCCCCTGGCCCTCTTCGGATGTGACTGAATCCGAAACGGATCAAGAGTCTGAGCTTCAGCAGGCCCCTGTACCAAAGGAGCCCGTCTTGCGCGAGTTGCCTGAGGTCGTCCGGCCCAACAAGCAGGGACTGCACCGCAAGAAAACAAACACACCAAGGCCGATCCAGCACATGATGCCGGGCAAGGAGGTTTGCCCGCCGGTGTCTGCCCCTGCTCGCGGACCTGGCAGCCTGACGTACAAGCAGATGGTGGAGAAGAACGACGCCAGGGCGGGCTGGCATCAGGGGGGTGGGCACTGCCGGCCGATCGTCAGCAAAGACTTCCCAGAGCTGAGGCACCACCACAGGAGGCCGCCCGACCAGAGCCCTAGCGGGCACCGCCACAGCAGCGGTCATACCGGAGAAAGGTGTGGGCGCCCCTCAGGGGGGGGCCACAGGCAGCGGGGATTGATTGTTGGTCGCCACGGTGGCCATGGCAGGGGCAGGGCGGGCATGGATCGGCTACCAGCCACCAGCTGCTCGATGAGTAGGCCGAACAGGGGATCAGAGCAGAACGGCCAGGTGGGAAGGGTGCTGGATGCGGCCCCTGTCACAAAGACGTTCGATCGCGTCTCCCGTGATCAGCTGATCTTGAGGAAGGAGCTGGGGGCCGGCAGCTCGGGCCAGGTGTGGGAGGCCGACTACTTCGGCAGCTCGGTGGCCATCAAGGTCCGGCACGACGCCTGGAACTCCGACGTGCGCACAGAGGCGCACAACGAGGCCCAGGTCCACAAGCAGCTGTCCAACCACCCCAACATCGTCCAGTACTACGGGATGGTGCCGGACTTCGTGGAGAACAGCGGCGCCGTGGGCCCGGGCCTGGTCATGGAGCTGGCCTCCCTGGGCAACCTGATGAAGCTGATCAGCAACGCCAGGAACGTGCAGCTCATCGGCCTGGAGAACCTCAAGGCGGACCACTGCCGCAGCGCGGGCGTGCTGCTGTACAAGGACTGGCGCCGGCGGCTGCGCCTGGCGCAGGGCGTCGCCTCCGGCCTGGAGTACCTGCACGCCCACAGGATCATCCACCGCGACCTAACCTCTTACAACATCGTCGTCTCCATCGACTGGGTGGCCAAGGTGTGCGATTTTGAGAAGTCACGGAACGTGCCAATGGGCCAGCAGGTGGCCTGCAGCCAGGCCTTCCCCAACTCCCCCCGCTGGATGGCCCCCGAGATCCTACGCTGCGAGAAGTACGACACCTCGGCCGATGTGTTCTCCCTGGGGGTGGTGCTGTGGGAGCTGATGACGCTGGAGCGGCCCTGGGAGGAGCAGCTGTCGTCGGTGTGCCGGCACGTGGACTATGAGGTGCTGCGGCTGGTGAGCAACAACGAGCGGCTGGCCATCCCGCCCAAGGGCAACCCAGACCTGCCGGAGTGGGGGGAGCTGGCCGACCTCGTGCGCGACACGTGGAAGGAGGAGACCGCGGAGCGGCCCACCATGACCCAGGTGCGGGAGCGCCTGCACGAAATCCTGGTCAAGATCAACGCAAGGATGGCCCAGGCCTGAGGAGGGGGCCCTGTGGCGGCCAGTGGACAGAATGAGCAGGGGAGGGGTGGGAGACAACACTTGGGGTGGGGTAGGGATGTGCGGGGTCTTGCCTGCCGACGAGAGTGTGCGCCTGGGGTGGGCTGGGGTTTTTGGCCCGGTGTGCCTGCCGATCTTGTTTGGGCCGGGCAATTGTTCAATGGAGGGGGGCGGCTGGGGATTGGTGCGCACTTCTGCGGCCGCGGGAGGGGGGCGGAGAGGACGGGGGGCGCATGGGAGGGTTAATTATATTCATTCTGTTTTATTGTTCTCTTCTGGAGCCGTGTACTTTAGTTCAGCATAACTTGTGCCCTCACGCGGCCTGCCATTTGTTTTGGTCATTCAAGAAGCTTGGTTGAAGGGGGCGACGGAGAGCGGCTGGGGTAAGATTCCGCCGGCTTGACCCTAGATAAATGAACAAAGACCGTTTTCGTTTCTGGCGGCTGCGCATATACCGGCTGATCGCCCGATGGGCAACAAACGAACGTTTCTGTCATTTTGTTAAGTATCCCTTGTAGCTGGGCGCGCGCAGGCGATTCGAGTTGGCAGGTGGATGGCCTTTGCAGCGGCGCCGTAGCATGGTTTCGGTAGCCGCCCAAGTCTTGGGGTTCCTTGGATAGCGCACGGGGGTTGAGCATTGTGGGCGAGAGGGGCAGCAGTTGCCTGACGGGGGCCGTTTCGGTTATCTAGTCCTGCTGTGTCGGCGCAGCGAATCTCACAGAACAGCACGAATGGAGGGGAGGAGATGCATACTTTATTAGGTCATTTGTTGTAAATTGCGCGCTCGGCACATTGTGCTTGCGATGCGCTTTGTGGACTTGTTCGTGCAGCTGTCCGGCTTTGAAGGGGGCGCATCGAGCTGCATGAGCTTTGTCTCGTCGCTGCGGTGCGTTGGGGTTTCATGTGCGGATGCTACTGTTGTGTTGTGCGCACGTGGTCGGTGCGTGACTCGCCATCCACGGTCGTGCGGTGCACACTTGCACCACGTGGTGCACTTGTGCAAGCGATGAAGGAACTGCGCACATTGGCTCCACACACACACCAATGTCGTGGTGGGCGCACAATTATCCGCCTGCCTCCTTGCGATCACCTGTGCGCCCAAGTACTGTAAAAGACAGCCAAAAAACGACAGCGACTCCGGCCAACGCACTGGGTGAGTAACAGTGTCTCGTAATAGTGCGTGGTGCTTGGACTACAGCGCAACATCAATACGCTGACTGGAGGCGAGCACTGCCCTGAAGACGGCTCCACCGGCACGAATCCAAAACTCTTCTCACATCACAGCCGGCCACAAACCCTGAAGAATCAGATGCGCACAGGCAGACGCCCACGCAGCGTCCAATCCGCCCAGCGCCCGGACAGCCCACACACCGCCAGATCCCTTCTTGGTTCGCATGCAACCCACACCACTGAGTGCCGCCGCCCGCACTGGATCCCTTCTGCGTTCCAAACGCGGGAGCTCACCCATACCAGCTCATCAACCCCACATGCGCAAAACATAGCACAGGCCCCGTGCTCGGTGCCGCCACCTGCTTGTGGATCAAAGATCAGATCTGTGCAAGACCGGAGGCAACCCCATCCACACCCAATTCGCTCTCTCCGTGCTGCGGGCCCCCACAGCATCCATCGCGAATGAGGGCTTTTCTCTGAATTTCCGCCGAGAAACGCAGCGAACAGACCAGCTCAGCAGCTGGCGTCAGTGGCCCCCGATTTGCTGCATTACACAGTCGATGACGTCGCCGTCCTCCATCTCCACCTGCAGTGCACAGTTGCTCAACAAGAACGTCCCAACGGCTAATTTGTGCGCACTCTGGGCACAAGTGGGATGGATGAAGTACCTTTTGTCGCACAAGCGACACAAACGCTGTAAAGTCATGCAGGGGCAAATATAATGCAGTAGATGTTCATGGCTTGGTGGAATGGAACAAAATAGCCCTACATCGCATTTGTTGTGAACGAGCCTAGACATTGGGCTGCATTAGGAAGTTCTTGATGTAGGAAATTCGAAAGAGAAAATTGACTTGGCCGTGTGAACAGAAGACAACCCAAGCCACACAATAGACAAACCCTCCTGACAAGTACAGTTTCACATCGTTTTGCGTGCTGTTCAGATGATGCTGTGCAAGAGAAGAGGCAGGAATCCAAGACAAGAAGCCTGATAAGCCACGGGTGCCTAACGGATCTCAGCAAGTACTGAACGTTTAAACAGGAGACTGCTGATGGGCTGCCACAGGCTGCATTTTCTTCCTTTGCATTTCTTTTCAGTTCTGGGACCAGAGCGGTTGCAACTCTGGGTTTCTTGTCTCTGATCGGCTGCATCGCCCCAGCGCTACTCAGCACCCCACATGCCCTTCCTGAGGAGCATTTGGTGTGTGCTGCAAGATCAGCATGGGGGTGACATGGAGTTGGGGGGGGGGGGGCGGAGGTTGTAGGGATTTTGCCCCTGGTTCACAGGACAACCACGCTTGTGACGGTACTGTGGAAAACAGATTGGGGCAAGGTCCTCATGAACAAGGCCATAGGATGGCCAACTTCTTGTCCACAGCACTGTTCATCTGCCAGTATTTAGCACAATGCACAGAAAACAACGAACATCCGACATCAAGGCGTTCACCTCTTCTGGAGACTGGTCTGGCTTCACCCTTTCTCCATCGTACAGGAACCTGCATGCCAGGAACGCCTCAATCAGGTCGAAAAAAACAACCCCTTCCACAACTCCACAGCGCACCATCACTCAACAATGGGTCATGTCACTGCTCATACGGCGGCAAGAATATCTCTTGAGCAAGCAAACCATGTGCCATGGACCTGTGCAACTATCTGAAACAAAGAAGCAGACAATGCATAAGCTTCTGAAGGCTGCTGGTCCCTCACCTGAGTTGGTTCATCTGGAGAGACTTCTTTTCACAGTAAGCCTTCATTATCTACAGCAGAACACAGGCAACCATTGCTGAAAGGCACGTGGCAACAACAGCCAGCACAGAAATGTTGTTACAATTCAGAGGTAAACCCTGCATCTGGGAAACCAACATTCATACTTTGCAGAGTTGGGCGCTGCTGCAGCAACAAAGAATCTGGATCATTCTTTTTAATGTGCAGGCAAGTGAAACATACAAATGCCCCCTTCCTGCACATAACTCTCCTTTGGTACATCTTTCAATCCTTTGTTCACACACAGATGCGGATTCATTCACTTCCAAAAACAGCCCAAATCTGTGTTTCCTGGTTCTCATTCCAAGGTAACAGCGACAAGGACATGGATGCCACATACAAACTCAGTGGGGCTGACCCATGGCAGGATGCTGGCCTTGACAAGAAAGTTCGTTCAGTAAAAAAGGATGTCAAAAAATGGGTATCCAGCTCCAAAGAAAAATCCAACAAGGCTCTCGTCTGTTTTACAGAAGATGCACAACGCACACAAGAGCATCAGGGTCAGGAATGAACACAGAAAAGAACGCAATGCAAGGAAAAAACAAGCAGGAGGTATTAACTGGCACCAAGCCGGGCCCCCAACGCTGGCTGCTACTCACATCCCACCATCGCCATCCAATTCGAGTTCTGCACCATTGGCCACTCCAGCACTCTGCTGTGCACAAATTCAAGGGATCAACTGGAATTTCAAGGCTTGTGCCCCAATCACCTTCTCAAACTTCGTGGTCTTGCGCACTTTGAAGTGCAACTCGTGCCCATGCTGGTCCTTGACGACCACGTTGATGGGCTCACCCTTCTCCACCTTGGGCTGGGTCTCGTTGGCGGCCTCTGCCGCCTGTGCTGGGTCCGAAGTTGCCCCCTCCGACATCTTGCCTGTGCACTGTGAATGAACGAATCCATCAAAACCACGCCAGAAATGTTGTACTGCTCATGGCACCAGCCTGGGCTGCATTCGTTCAGATCGTCAGACAGCATCTGCTGTCCCAGTGTCCTGCAGCGGACCACTGTGAACCCATGCATGTCCATGCAAAACACGAGTGGCCGTCCCATGGGCACCCACGATGTCCTGTCTTGGTGCCGCATCACATTAAGCCGCATCATCATGGTTTGGTGGGACCGAGGGCTTGTTTCCTCACAACCTCCCAGGCAAGCAGGAAGGCCAGCATTGGCGCGCGCATGCGTCCCATTCGTGGTTGGAGTGTGTGCGTGGGACGGATACGCTAGGCTTCCAATTGTTTGAAGTCCCTGTGGCCTGACTGACAGCAACAACATGGCAGAGAACCCTAGCCTGTGGCTCAGGCGCACGGTGTCGAGGACCGCGCTACTCAGAAACACGCCCAAGCGGCGCTTTTCAGCGCTTCCGAGGCCAAAAGGGCCGGGAAATCTGCAGCCGTCCATCAGGGCGCGGCATCAACCCCAGGGTCGCCCGCCCGTCGCCACGATCCACCCGGCGAACGTCCTCCCTCGCCTGGACGCCCCACAGGATCCCAGCCCCCAAGCCACTCCCTCCCCCGCCACTCGGCCGCCGGCGGCGGCGGCAAAGCGACTATCCCGACATCCGCAACGGACCCGCGCGCGACGTGAATCTTTTCCTCCCACCACCGAAACGAACCCGTGACGTCTCCCCCCGTGCAGCTCCCCGGCCGCTACGTGCGATGCATCGGGAGCCACACACGGGCACCCTTGCCATCCCTCTGCAGATTTTCGCCCACGCCACCGATCCCGGCCGCGCGGATGGTGCCCCCTCGCCCCGGCGCCCCCCCACCAAATGCCGCCCGCCTTCCCGCCACTTTTCGTGCGGATCGCCAACGACACCCCCCGCCAAAACCCCCCGCAATTCGGAGGGCGAAAAGAGCGTGCGAGCGGCCCCCAAGATCTCCCCAGCCGACCGCCGCCCGCGGCCGCCGCAGATCTGACGGGTAAGCCCTGCCGCACTCGCCAGCGGGGTCGAATGGCCGGACGCGTGGCTGGGGCGGAGGGCGGTGAAGACAAACTGAGGAAAGGCGATCTGAAAAATCGTGGGCGGGGTTAGCGCACCTGGGAGCGCGGGCAGAGGCAGAGGAGGGCGGTGGCTGGCTTGAAAGCTGCGCCTTGGGTTGCGTCTGCGGAGGCGCCTCCTCTGGTGCGGCTTCGGCTTGGCAAATGGTGGTTGGGTGGGATATTTTGGGGGAGGGGGGCGGGGCGAAAAAAGGAGGGGAGGGTGGGGGAAAAAAACGCGGGGTGGCCCCCAAGGGAACGGGAGTGGACGAAGGGCGATGGCGCAAGTTCCTATCGCCTGCTGCGGTGGAAGGGTGGCTGTGGGCCGAGCGGGAGGCGTCGAGTTGGAGTGTTCGTGTCCTCACCCCCACGCCGGCTTCGCCAGCTGAAGAGAACGTTCTCTCAAGATTGGCTCTTCAAGACCGAACTCCGGCGGCCGCGGGAGCCCGATCTGGTTCGGGCTCCCCCGCCAGAGCCATCTCCCAGGCCAGGGAAGATTACATCCTTGGCCTCTGCAATCCACAGCTGCCGTGCGATCGGGGCGGCTTGACGCCCGCACCTGGGGCGTCGCGGAGATCGGAGCGCGGGCAGGCGTTGGGATCGGTGCTCGGTTGCGGACGTCGCCGGATGGGATCCCAGTCGTCGGGGGGCGCGACGGCGGGGTCGACCGCCGGCGCAGAGATATGGGGCCTTCTGCTGGCAGACCTCCAGACGCTGGACGGATCGCTGCAGCTGGCGGCGCAGAGTTTTGGCGGCGAGGGGCTGGACAAGGTGGGCGGGGGATTCTGGCATCGGTGGCTCGCGTCGAGCGTTGTGTGTCAAGTTGGATGAGTCAGGAAAGTTGGATCTTTGGGGCATTTTTTCGGAGCTGAGGATGCCTGGGGCTGAAGGCTGCCCCGAAAGGCGAGTGCGGGTGTGGCTGCCTGCGCTCTGCTCGAAAGTGCTCGTTCACTTGCCTGCCGCTTGTGGGGAAGGTCGTCTGGGGTATTCAGAGCGGTGTTCCTCTTCGATTGCTCTTGTGAAAGTCGACGAGCCGGGGGGTTCTCCATATAGCAAGGCAGCCGCTCCAAATCACCTCCCCGGTGCAGATCCCCTGGCTAGAGATCACCCTTTGTGAAAGAGATAGAGGTCTTGGTCGTTATCACCTTTGGATCAAAATGGTGCCGCCTTGGACTGTGCGAGTGACAAAGTCTTTGGGCAGAGAATGCCCATATAATGTATTTTTGTGCTTGATACATAGATGAACCAAATACCTGATGTGAAACTTGGCTTTGTGTCGCTTCAGGTGGGATGCAAGGGATGTAACATCAGATTGGCCTCGCCATGGCTTATGGGATGTTTTGGCTGACAGCTGACCTGCCCCTGTGCTCCATGTCGCCTTCCAGAGTTGTGCATTTTGTTGCCCCATTTTAACTTCAGAGCATCCTTAACTCATGTTCGCAATTACGCTGTGGTCAGTCCCTCTCCGCCACAACCAAGCGAAGGATGGGCATCCGCAGCCTGGCTGGCATTTCAGATGGGAGGAAGAAGTTGCAGGAAATCACACTGCAGCTGGCAGGCCTGCGTGAGGCCTCCCACAATTGGCAGGCAGCTGTGGCACAGGCGGAGTCAAGGTCAGTATGAAGATGGAACTAGATTATGAGAGACAATTCCCCATGCATCGCTGAACCATATCGCCACAGCAATGAAGATTTGCATCAGGTTCAATCGTTTTTGGTCTGCCTCAATAAGCAACCTCTGAGCCGTTATTCGGAGACTCCTGGCTTGCTTCTTCTAGTCCATGCCAAGGCCAAATTCTTCCGCTTGGGGGAGGGAAGCACCATGTATATCAAGTGTAGTTCATTTTGCGGGTAGCTTCTGCACTGATGAACAGCAAGGAAGCAGGTCATGCCAAAGATCTTTATATTCCTCACATTGCATCGCATTGAAGAGTCCAGATGTTGCCCCCATTCAAACAACAGAGATGTGTGCCTGCTGCCACATCACATGAAAGTGCTAGGAAATGTGAAGCCCAAAAGATTATTCGAATGAACATCAAGGCACCTGTAACCCATGATGTTCCCCACCAACATGTGTTTATTACTTTGTTGTATGACAAGTGGTACCTTGCCACCACTCGCTGTGTCTCCCTGTTGCTTATTGGCATATGTTTGTGCTCACCAGTCGTGCCAGAGTTGCCCAGCAGCATTTGCAAGTGGTGTCTGAGCTGCAATCCACAATGGACCAGTTGAGGACATTGCAGGCTGAGAAACACGTTGCAGTCAGAGATCTGGATGCTGCAAGGAAGCAGGTGAACCCGCTGTGTCTCCAGTATTTAGGACTAGTATTTTCAACAAGTAGTCTCTGGTATCAAAAGCCAGCCAATGAGTGCTTCAGTACATTAGAGTCTGTTGCAAGGTCTGGGCACCGTCTTCTTGGACATGAGTACAGGGCCAGCCACTGCCATGGATAAGCTGCCCATTTTCGCTTTAAGGGCGCTTGGCAAACTGATTGAGGACATCGAGTCGGCACAATTTCTTGTCACATGGCAAAGTTCTGCCCACGCAATTACAGGGCGATGAGGATTGGCATTGCCATTGACCGCCATGCTACACGTGATTTTTGCCACTTGTGACCACACGCTGAGAGGCGAATCCTGCATTGCGTCTGGGTTGGCTTCATGTTTGGTTGGTGCACTCCTTCGTTAAATACAAGCTATTGCCCTTGTGGACAAAGTTGAGGGGCTGGGTGTGCCTGTGCACCAATGTTTCATCTTGTTGTTCTGATGGGCCGAAATATGCAATGCTATACTTGAAGTCATTGCTGCATTACAGAGTGCTGGGCACTTCCATCCCTTAGTCTTTGCATCTGCCACAAATCCGCAGATCAATGTCCAGCCACCTGCAATAGAGCCATTGCCCATAGCTGCTTTGTTTGCCTGTACTGGAAAGCAAGCTTCAAAGTGTATGTGCTGCAGCATTAAATACAGACCCTGATTGTTGAATGTGCAGGTCCAACAGCTGGAGACAGAAAAGAAAACAATCGCTGCATGCCTCCAGCAGAGGTGCGCTCACAGCAGCTCATGTTTGCCACAGCTCCTAAAAGAAATGTACATTATCTGCACAAAATAGTGTGATATGCAGCAAGTCGCAAAACAAGGGCGGAAACTGAACTGAACCGCAAAGAATGCTGTGCACTTGTGAAGCAGTGCCGATACACTGTACAGATATGAGTTGCTCTTTGTTGGACCTCACAAGGCACAACCTTTTCCGCATCTGGCACTGAGCACAATGCGACAGTGTTCGTTGCTGTTCACTCTGAGCCCAATGAGTTGCTGGAGTTTCGCATGCATCACCAATACATTGTCCAGAATGGGCTTCATGCGGGAAGATCAGCGCCACGGCAACAAGCACAGAGTCAAGTCCTGCCATGATACTGGTTTCGTCTGCTCTGAAAAAGCTCATGTCAGACGTCTCAGAGTACATTTTCCCGAGGCAATGCCTCAAGGCCTCAATGCCAAATGCCTCATTGACACTGGCCCATTGTTTCCTGTGGCCTCCAGAGAAGACGAGCTCGAGACAGCCCAGTTTGCTGCGCAGGAGGCTGGCCTCAAGGCCTCGAGAGCAATGGAGGAGGCGGGAGAGCTGAGGCGACTGGCGCAGGAGGCGGAACGTGACGCGGACGAGGCCCGCTCGGCGCTGGAGGGTTTGAGGGCGGAGGAGCAGAAGGGGAGGGACCTGGTCGACAAGCAGCAAGAGGTACTGCCATGTGAAAACAGGTATTGCCGGTGTGGGGACCGATGTCGGTTTGGCTGGCGTGCCAGTCTGTGCGAGGGTGGCCGTGGTTAGACCTCAGTCTGCTTTGACGCGTTAATGGTTAGCATTTGACGAAGAATGCAGGAAGCTTCGAAACTGTGAAGGGTGGCGCGCTCTACACCAGCCCTTTTGCAGTAGTGCGCCGTCCATGCCTTTCATAGTCGAAGCGCAAGCTAGGCGGTCGCGTGGAAGAGCATGAAATCAAAAACAAGTAGTGCACAATGGAAATTAGCACCTTGGTCACGTGGCTTCTGTATTGCGCAGAGCTTTTTTCTTTTTGGTTTTCATAGCTGTAGTTTTTATTTACGTCACTCTTCTGGAAGTTGAAAATGCAGTCGATTTGCCGAAAGTGGAAAAATCAAGATTGTGCAACGGTTCCCAGACCTGGACAACTTTCATCTGTATATTCACAGAATGAATGTTCACCTACATATTGTAGCATGTAACGATTTGTAACCCGCTAATAAACGTGCAATGAATAAGAAACTATATGCAAGGACTGTAGAGACAAACAAATATTGGGCTGGTGGCGAAATTGATCGAAACAGTGAAGTGGAAATCACTGTTTCCATGGAAATTGAACACAGACGAACGAATATGACACATGATACAAAGTTAAATGTACAAGGCTGCGTACTTATCAGTGGACCTGCAATCCAGCCATACATCTGTGCAGTGGTTGTCACGAGCTGTGGGTGCATCGATGCAAGGGAGAAGAAGAGCAGCTGCACGCTGAATTATCAACCAATTGTGAAGCATTGCGCAATGGATGAGCTGCATGAGTTGGGCCGCTGAGTTGTGCGGTTGCACCGCATGAATGACTTTGAGGTGAACAGTGGCTAGTATAGGAACGGATAGAGTTGATAGAACAATATATTGGTGCTGCAAATCATCCACGATGGCAGCATATAGGTAACAAAGGTCAGGGTGCACGGAACCACATGAGACAGCCGCAGTGTTAAGCGATTTGCTGGTTCCAGCGAACCCGATTCATTGCAAAGTACATATAATTTCGCAATAGTGTCTCGTTTTGAATTCTGAATTGGCAGAGTCGCTCCTTTGTTCTACTCTCTTCGCTCTCCATAGGGATGGCTGCACAACAGTTTTTAACATTTGGTTGGAGATTGGCTCCTTTGTCAGCTCGTTTTGTTTTCACAGCGCATGTTGCCAACACTGCTGATACGATTACCAGCAATTTAACGCTGTTAAACAGTTTCGAAAAGGAGAGGTTTCTTTGCCATTGGTGTTGACGATTAATTTCGTTTGCCTAATGTATAGGGAGCCGCGTCTCAATTAACGCCAGACTGAGTCTTGACGGACGTTCTGATTTGTCTCCTCAGGTGGTTGCCCAACTGACAGCCGACAACGTGGTTTTCGTGATGAAGCTGAGGGACTGTGAGGGCCAGCTGCAGGCGGCCATGCGCGAGTGCGATGAGATGAGGATGGCCATCAGGGAGAAGAAAGGCCCCTGGTTCGATGAGGTGTGAACGCCATTGATTCAATTAACCAGTCGATGAGGCAATCAATCAATCCACGCGTCAGTCGACCAACGAACCAAACACTAAATGAATCCATCAACCCGTGTTTCAACGCATCTGTTTGTTTGTTTCTGGCGCCGGGCAGCCCCCCGGCGCACTGCCACAGTGAGATTGGATGGTGGCAGCAGTCCGACGCAAATACACCGGTAGAAAAGGCAGCACGCGCCAGCCGAAATTAGGACAGTTGGTTCTGCAGCAAAGCGATTTTAATCAACCTTGTGCCGAGCTCAAAGCGATTGCTCATATTCCAGCTGTAGCAATTGAGCCCCCTACCAGTTCAATACCATACATTTGTCGGAGACGTTATGTCCAGAAACATCGTTCAGGCGGAGTCCCCGCCGCACTTCCATATTTGCGCATTTCTCGCAATTTGGCTTGTCATTTTTTTCCAATCTGCCTTTGTTCGATTTACTGGCTTCTTTTCGCGATGCATCATCACGCCCTGGCGATCCCCACGCACACCGCAGGTGAGGGCCAACGTCGAGGCGAGGGTGCGGGACGTCATGGCGCACAGTCGGGAACTGGAGTCGCAGATCGAGCAGCACCGGCAGCTGCACCGCGAGCGCCTGCAGGACTTCTCCGCGGAGCGGTCCCGCCTGGCGGGAGAGATCAAGGCCCTGCGCGATGGGCTGGCGGACGCGGAGGCAAAGATAGCGCAGGCAGAGGAAGGTGCTGGCAGGTGGGCTAACCGACGCAATGATGCCATTTGCCCGGCGCTTGTTCGAAGGGTTTTGGCAGCTTCGTTTTTGTAGTCTTTCGCTTTGAAGAAGACACAGGTGGATCTTTGTCGCCAGTGGCTGGGAGCCATGACCGATCGGGAATTGTCTGGCGGTTGTGCATCTGTGGGTTGCTTCGCTGCATTCCCTATTTTTGGCATGTTGCGTTTTGGTCGTTGCTTATGTTTCGATTTCGATCATAGTAATTTGGTGTATCCCGCATTCATATGCACATTTAAATTCAACAAATCAGCTGTCTCCGCTCTTTCCGCCATCGATGGCGTGCGGCGCCCCTTTGAACAAGGTTAGCGTATTCCAGAAGGATGCAAATCCTAAGATTATGTCCGCACAGAATTCCAGATTGTGAACCATAATGATGCAGCTTTCCAAAACTAACTTTGCGGGAGATTTTCGAATTATCCCTTACCAAAAGCATGGAAATTTTCGGGGACAATTGTCCTTGCTGTTGTGTTCCGATGGAGCAAGCCTTGTCAAACGGTTGCTCTTGCCTACAATCCTCGTCGGACCAACTGCTTTCCATTTTCATCCAAATTTCGCTTCCCGGTGCGAGCAAACGCGACTAGTTTCAGCCCGCTTTCGCGAATGGCTTTTTGCTTTTGCTCAGAGCCCAGGATCGCCTCCAGAGCGCGCTCTCCGAGACGGAAGTCCGAGCGCAACAGATGAACGACCTGCAGGCAGAGAATCGAGTGCTGGCGGACTCCATGCGCTCCATGAGGGAAGAGTGCTCCGAGATTTGGGTGAGAATTTGAAAGAACGGGCAGCACAAGACACGCGGCGCGAAATGCAGAGTACCGTGGTTGGACGAGTCGATGTGAAACGAAGCCGCTGCATTTGGATCGATGCCTGATGCATTCCGTGGGGAAAGCAGGGGCAAGTGGCTGGTGGTGTGTTTGTGGGAAGAATGTTTGAACCTTCGTCCGACGGATGGAGCTTGTCATGGTCGGAGCTTAGCATTTGCGCCATTGCCTTTTCACACATTTGGACAATGCCCCTCTTGATCACGGCGGCGCTAGACAGGACCGAGATGAGATGCAGGCCCAACGGGGTGTGTTGTACGTGCACGCGGACATCCTTGAGCCGCAGCTCGGAATCAAACGTCTGATCAATCAGCATTGGAATTACGGAATGCAGAATTTCATAAGTTTACGGTGTGAATTCTTGCAGCTGTACCTCTCTTTTTCCCATAAGCTTCTTCAAGGAGCACCAATTTGGCGCTCCTGCTGCTTCGAGCTCGAGCCCGTAATGCAATTTAAAATATTATAGTTGCGGCGATTCGATGTGGTTGCCGTTGAATCGAGGACGCGTCATTTGAAGCTTGCTGACTTGGACGGCCGATGCAGCTCCCGCTTCGACTTTCCCATGCCTGTACGCAGCCAGGCCCATTTTCTACAATGTTTGCTGCTCACGGCTCTCGCAAGTTGCAATACTCTCCCCCAAACAACAACAACTATGAGGCATGCGCTGGTTGCAATGTTCTTCATCAAGGCAACAAAATGGCTTCAAAGGAAAGGATGCATTTAGCGGCCTGGAGCTCTTGATAAGTTCTGCGCCGGCGCATGTGGGCTTCATGGCGATTTGAGTGTGGGGATTCAAGAAGCGTGAGTGCCTCGAGTTCGTCTGTAACAGATGAAGGAGCAGCGCATGGTCGCGCAGATGAAGAGCCTGGATGCCGCCCTGTCGTCATCCCGCAAATCTGAGGAGCATCTGACGTCACAGCTTGACACCGCGAGGTCTCAACTTGCTACGCAGGTATGTGATGAGCCCCGCTCTGTCCTTCAAACCAAATTTAACAACTATAGGAGCTGCATGTGTAAACTTATACGATTTCTGTTGATGGCATTCATCCAACTAAATGCGACAAAACCGAATTCCGCCGTGGTGGTGAAGGATGGAGTTCGTGAATGCTGCCTCCAGCGTTTGTCTCCCGAGGTGTGCATGATCTCCACACGCTTCCCCTCGATTGAAGTGCAAAAGCTTGGCCACAGAATTCAGCGAGGTAAAGAATGGGCTAAATGCGTCGGAAATACTGTGAAGATTTCAACTCAAGCTCTGCCCTAATAATACGCAATAAATATCAGGACCAAAAGGAGGTAAGCGAAAAAGAAATGCAAGGCGTGTGTGCGGCAGTTAGGTGATGGGAACAATGTGGAGTCGAATTTGTTGGGTACAGCCTTTGTTTTATCGACTATCGATATCGGTATCGATTTCATCGATTTACGGCTACGCGGTGGCATCGCCGCCCGGCGTCTCAATCGTTTGCAAGCTGTTCTGATGTTGCCATGCAGGTGTCGATGAACCGCGATCTCATGCACCGGAAAGAAGCCGTCGAGTGGGAGCTGATGGAGACCCAAGCCCAGGTATTCATTGCTGTAGAACATTGACAGTGCAATCTTGATGGCGAATGGCAACAATTAACGATCACTGGGCTGAACGATGTTGTCGCTAATTGTGACGCTATGTCGCTCGACATGAGCTCCATTCGATGCTAATGTACTCCACATAACATTGCAGCAGTATGGACAATGTGCACTGGTAACAAATGGCTCGAAGAACGTGCTCAAGATTGCACGATTTGGTCCGTTGACATGGGATCAGGTTTAATAACAAGTGATATGAAGCATTTTTTGCCATTTTTGGCGCTATATTTACAGTTCTACTCAGTGCGATTTTCAGGAACTTAACAAGAATTTATGATGATACGATTATTGAGCATGGAGTCAAGTTCTTTCGAATGGCCAAAATTTTGTTCCTCAATAGCGCAATCTTTCGGCAAACTTGGTTCAGCTCTCAGTACTTAGTGTTTGATGCATTTGCTTATTCCAAAAGGGGGCCGTTGGTATACACTGGCAGCAATAACCCCCCCGTCTTTGCGCGTCTGACAGCCAATCGAAGTCTTTTCGTTCCACTTCCTTGAAAAATACCAGAATGTTCCAAAACCTAAGGAAATTTAGCTCTTTTGGTTGATACCTCACCATTGATGTGAATGCAAAGTACCAGACGAGTTTCACCCTGGCACCCATGCAGGCGTGCTTGCCAATGGCGCAGGTCTTAAGCCCCCGTTCAGGCAAAGCCAAAGTACCAGGCGCAGAGTCTTCCAGGCACTTCATGTTGCTCACGCACGATTTCCATCTTCACCACTGGCAGGCAAAGGACTGCTTTTCAGTTGAGAGCAAAATAGATGCACAGCATGTTTCCGCGCAAGCCCATGAGCGCTCCACATGCCAACCAACGCTGGGCCGCACAATGATGCACACTTCGTGGCTGCTGCGCAGCTGCGATCGGGCGGTCGCCCCTGCCCCGTGGCAACGCCCCTCGCAGCCGACCAAGCAGCTGGCTCAGACCCAACACTCGGCGCACGTCCGCAAGCCTCTTCCCACCCCTCGCCCCTTTCAGCTGCGGCACGGGCGAAGCCCCTAGCGGAACACGTCGGCCGCTTGCCTGGCGGCCCGAAAACTTCTGCCACGGCTTGGCCTGCGAATCGCACATTTGGCCAACTGAGCGGAATCGAAAATCAAGAAGGCGGGGTTAATCCACAGACCGCCGATGTCGGTCGCCCAAACAGCGGGACTTTGCGCCTGGACGGGCGGCCCCGGGCGCTCCGCGAGCTGGGGAACGAGTTGAGAATGAGCCAAAGGACGCTGGCGCTCCCACGATTGGGTGGCCATGTTTGCGATGGAGACTTGAGGAATGATCGGCGAGAGGGCCTGCGCTTGAAGGGCGCAGACGTTGCGGGACGGCAGTGTGCAAGGCGCCATCATGGGCACCTCAGCGCCAGTGCGGTCGATGCTGCCGGCTCAGTAGGTGAGAAAAAGCAGACATTGTTTGCCTTTCAGGTTTCAAGCTCGGCTTGCTCATCTTCTGTGCACTCCCTTGTCTATTTCCTTCGCTGCCATGAGACAAATTATGTACTTGCCAACGTGTTCTTCTCCCAAGGAATTCACACGGAGCTCGTGACACTTCATCGCAGCTTTCCTGGACATGCGGCGAACGATCGACTGAGGCGATTTGCGCGGCGGCTGGGCTGCAATCCAATTAAAATCAATTAACATCAATTAACATCAATTAAAACTGCCTTTGACAAGACAAACCGTCGCCCGTCCACCCGGCAGGCGGCGACGTGCACGCGTGCGTCCAACAATGTTCTAACTCATTTTATCCGCTCGCCACCCGCGTGGCCAGACACAGCCACATGATTGGCGTTTTGAGCCACCTCCTGGCCTCTCGATGTAAATTTCATGGCGATGATTGATGTTCCGGCCCACCTCCAGCTCTTACCATGCAATGTGGTGAAGACGACTGACGATCGGGCCACCCTGTGGCGTCGCTGTGCCGATTGACGTTCCGAGCCTGGCTACGCGTGTGCGACAGGCGACAGCACGGAGCCCGCCAGGGACGAGTGGTCCCTGAGCGAAGCCAGCGGCGCCTTCCAAGCCATCTCCCTCTCCGAATGCGGGGAAGGTCGTCCCAGCTGGACGGCCGACCCCTGGCCTTGGGAAGGCACCTGGGAGCCCCGGACCGGGATCGCGCCGCCGCGGCAGCCGTGCTCGGAGGGCGCCAAGCTCGGTGGGCTCGAGGGACCGGAGGGCGTCGGGCGTGAATATGCCCAGGGCGCAGCAGGGCAGAAGCCTGTGTGCCCGCCCGTCGCGGATGGCGGGAAATCTGACGTCGGCTGCGCGGAAACTGAGAACGACGGCTCTGGGCGTGCGTCGGAAGTGGGGGAGCGTCCCCGGTGCTCGAGCCCCGGGACCAGCTCCTACGGGGGCGCGTGCGAGTCGGCGCCGTGCGGTTCGGGCGCATCGACGTCATCGGCCTCTTTGCACTTCGAGCGGGCGTCCAGCTGCGTCGACGGGCCTTAGCGAGCGGCCGGAATGGATGCCACCCCCGAGAGCTGTTTCCTGCTTCGGGCCGACAATTGCCCGCGGCGATTTGAGGGGAGGCGCCTGGGGAGCGTATGTCTGGGGCAAGCGGCCGCGGTATGTTGGGGCTGCAGATTCGCTGCAACTGAGAGGGAGAGGAGGGGGTTTTGTACTGGACGTGCATCAGGTGAGGTCGAAGGGAGGGCGTGGAGGGAGGGATTGGCGGAACCAAATGGCTCACAGTCTCTCGTTGCAGTTGGCATGCTTGAGGTGCGGGGCTCAGGAGACCCAATGCAGCGCAGCCTGTGACGTTGCAGATGTCTGGAAAGACTGTTTGCTGTTCCGCACAGCGACACACGCGGCCTGTCCTCGACGTGCCAGTGCTGGTGGCGTCGGAATGTGCATCGTGCTCGGTGCCGTCCACATTGCTCAGGCCCTGCCAAGTGGGGCGGCGCTTCGTTACTATATATTGCTTTATGTGGTGCTCCATTTCGCTGGCGACACGGCAAGGGGCTCAGGTGGCCTTTTCCAAGGGCAAATTTCGCACTTTTCAACAGGAGATTACCCTGCGCCAAGGTGCAGAACCGGAAGCTCTTTGCATCGACCGAATCCACCATCATCATATTCATCTCATATCTCCTATCTTCATCTCGTATCCACCGGCGCCCAAATCCCTCCAGCACTGCTGCTGCACATCCGGCGCCGTTTCAACCCAGCAGACCGCACCAATCCCTGAAAATCATGCGGATCATCATGGTGGCCACGCCGGCAGGGATACAGACACTGGGCGGCGTTGGTGGACACCAGAATGCCGTCCAATGATTCCGTGTGGGCGTTTAAACGGCTTGCTCCAGGAGAGAAGAGCGTCAATTTGATGGCAGCTTCGTCTGCGTTGCTCTCCTCCCCGTTTCGCTCACGCCAAACTGAGCACAGAAGCCGCACCCGAAGCTGGTCAATTGGTTTGGCTGCATGCACGTCTATTTGACGTATCGGCAAAAAGGTGTAGCTTGCGCGTGCAGCCCATTTCCACCAACACTCCCAGAGCGCTGTTCGCTCGTGATGCACGGACGGCGCTCGGTCGCGTCGCTTCACATGCAATACAAGGCACTGATAATGTTTCCCCCCTCCCCCCCAATAAAACTAAGTACGCAAAAGCAAACGCCATCCAACATATGAATCCACTCTTATCCCGCATTGCCCTCTTCATTGGCGGACAAACAACGCGGCGTGTGAATTCAACGATTCTCTGCAGTTCTGCGCAGACTGTGTGCGTACTAAATGTGTGAAAATGCGTTTGTTTACCAAACCCTTAGCAACCGCCCATCACTATTAATGATTCTGCGTCAGAGAAGGTGCACTGCAGCACCGGATGTTGGCACCTGCTCTAGATCGTCTCTGTGTCCGAACGCGGAGCTGGTAGTGACGTGGGCGCGACTCGTGGTTGCAATTTCGGTCATGACCCTGTCGTGCGTCATCTTCGCGACTTCTAGCGCGGAAGGCCTGCCCCCGCTCGCCTTCAGCTTGTCACCTCTCTGGTTCTCAAGATGTTGGCATATTCAACATATAGGATATTTAATCAGCAATCAGGGTATCTGATCAATAAATAGTATATCTAGCCAACAAAGAGGGTATACTTCGAAGTGCAAGATAATAGTTGTGAGATTGGTTCATTGATTGAGTAAACAACGGTTCGCTGACAGCCAATGAGCTCTGGCAGGCAGTGGCATGGGTGACTTGGCATTCCGACTTCGGATCGATTCCTTGAGTGGGTTATAATTTTGGGTACATTATTGTTCCGGGAGCGCAGAAGGCGAAACGTGCCGTCAAGTACAGCAGCAAGATTTGCGAGTTATTTCCGAATATATCATTGTCGACACGGGGGGTACACCATGCTGTTGTGCTTTTCAATCAATACCAATTTCGAGAGCATAGCTCTACGGCCATCCCAGCGGAACACCATGTGCGAATAGGTCCGTTTATTTTCTGCAGTAAACAATGGAGCATACGATTGTTATTTTCATTGTATTTTAATATCAATGTCAATGTTAACATGTTTTATTACGGCGAAAACAACACAGTTGACCGATTCGGTTGGTGCGCAGAGCTGCGCCTGTGCATTTGCATGTTTCCGAGATGTAGAGGCACCGCCATCCATCAATTTTTCTGTACGAGCCACCGCTGTTCAACCACTACAAAAAGTTGCAAAAATAGCTGAAAAGGAAGAGAAGGAATCGCATTTCACCAGTGGATTACATAACAGATTTTTATCTGCCAAGCGTGGACCAAGCGGATTCTACGATTCCCCAAACTGGTGCTACATCCGCGGTGGTGAGGAAGGTACGCGGGGAAGAACAGAAAAAAACCGCCACAAACCTAAGTTCAACGAAGCTTTCAGTCCAGAACACATACGGTATTGTTGTTCTCATCCAATGTAGGAGTGAGACGTAATTTGCACACCGAAAACTGCAAACCGGGCATTTTGTCAGCGCCGAGAGAGCGCCATTTGCGGCCTGTGGATGCGAAGCCTCGGCCCACCGATGTCTTTTGCCCCTTCGCTCTGCGTCCTCGCGCTGGAATCCGTAGCTCTTCCACCGTCCAATTCCCGCCTTTCGGGTCGTAGTACTTGACAAGCCGCGCAGCTCGGTGTCGACGTCTCTGCACAAAGCCATGCAGGTAAGGCGCAAATAGAGAGGCAGTATGTATGGCACTGAAACTCGCAAGTCAAAAAGCCAAACAGAGCCGCTCACCGCTATGCGCCCAAAGAGTGACCATGCTTACTGCCGATCAAACATGCTCAGTGTACTTCCACAGCTCGACGCTTCTCAACAAATTATAAATTGATAATTAATCAATTGATATTTTATTGATAATTTGTTCAGAAGCAATTGCGGAATGCGCTTGCTGGCTAATCAAAACGAGCGTTCGGTTGTGAACTTTGCTTATATCTGAATCTACGAAATTCCGTTTCTGTGACAAGTAATTGTAGTGCCCCATCGATCTTTTGCTGTCCCCTGCCTCTAGCTGATATTTCAATAGCTGTTTATAAAATCTGCATGATTTACAAGTGCAACCAATCACTTGTCAACAGAAATGCTAGCTTGGGCCACCACGCGTCTTCTTGCTAACGGATTCAGGGATCTATATCTATCCACAGCTTTTGTCCATCGTGGACGCGGCTAAAACCTGTCGAGAAATAAAAATGAGATGTCCTCGCACATTGATCTTGATTACCCCAAATCTTCTCGCGTAGTAAATATGTTACCTGTGCATGGACTAATACGCGCCGAATGTGGCCGCATGCTTTACATGTACGCAAGGAACATTACCACGCGTGTGCGTATTTGTATACCATGCAAGGACAGGTGTCAATTTATCCAAGAGGCAGAATGCCAAGAACATGGGGACGATACCTTGGAGGCATTTCGCCCGTTCGACAGTTCCTGTCCTCTTGTGTCACTGTCCTGGGCGTTGCCGCTGTCAATGATGCATGCCATATGGGTGTTATTTTCCAAGGCGAAGCAACAACGCATTTGATTTCCTTAATCCCCAAGGTTGAGTATTGTCGTTAATTGCTCATCATGACCGCAGTCGCCAGAACAATCCCTTGAGATTATATTTTTGCGGACACTATGCACATTCAAGAGACATGTGTTCCACATGTGAAAATTTTCTGCTACATTTGTTGTGAAATGCGAAAGCACGGACTCCGACAGGCGATGGCGGGAAAAACAGCGCACGCATTCTTTGTTCTCAAGAATTCGTCCGTGTTCCCTAATCATGCAATCCCGCATTGTACAATACTGTACAAGTCATCCAATTTAGTGCACGTAGGTATTGAAAACGTGAGTAAAGTATTTTATGGCCTATTTAGTCCTTGGAAACAATGATACTGACGCATCGAGTGGTTGAATTGAAGCATTCAACACATCAATCTCGTTGTTTCCGGCAACTGTTTTTGTGGGCTGAGTCGGTTTCATCCCAATGAACCAATCACCGACTCTGCATTGCTCAGGCAAAATAGGAAGCTGACGGCTACCTCATTGCCTTGTTCTGTAAGAAATCATGATGATGATGATCACATCTAATTGTGTTACAACATTTGTGGGTTGTGATTCATGAATTAAGTATTGCGGGCACGTGTTAAAGAATTGGAACCACGAATTACTGCTCTGAAATGATTTCAAAGCTGATGCCCACCTCATCTTGAAGCCCGTTAACGTTGCGGCACCAAGTCCCATTAACCTTCCAGAGTTACTCCCCCTGATATGGCTAATGCATGCCTCCAGTCGCTTGTTCGGAATTTGGAGATCTGGTGGGAGGCCGCAGTGCGGCTGGTCTTCAGCTTGAGGATGTGCACGGTTGTGTGAGATAGCATCATCATCATCACCATCATCATCATCATCATGATTTTTACAGAACAAGGCAATGAGGTAGCCGTCAGCTTCCTATTTTGTGTGAGATAGCACTTGGCTCTGTCAACGTTAACGTTGACAGTCAACGCTGACGAGCTCCTAATGATATGCCCAAAGCAGAGCTGCCCAATTAAGTTGCGAACATCCGTTCCCTCAAATACATAATTTGGATATAAACCAATCAAATCAATCAATTAATCAGTTGTGGATTTCTTAGACAACATGGGTACCATCATCATCACCATTAAAATCCATGGATTACATTTGTCACAAAATGACAAAACACAGCCCGTGCACCTGGTAGGCGATGACGGTCATGCAAACCAAGCAGATAGCATATTCGGAATCGAGTATTCATGGTCCCATGTCGCCACTCCCTATTGTCCCATTAAATGCAGTGATCTGGTATGAATAATGAATTCCCCATGGATTATGTCCAGTGTATCATCATCATTACCATCATTTTGTTTAGAGAACAAGGCAATGAGGTAGCAGTCAGCTTCCGATTTGCCTGAGCAAGCAGAGTTTGTGACCAGCTCGTTGAAATCCAATGCGAAACACAAATAAACTTGTGAGTCTATTAGCTCGCGATTCCCAGAAGCGATTGTCGATGACAATACATCAAACGAAGTGCCCGCGCCAGTTGGCGAGCGGGAACCGAAGCAAAAAGTGCATTTGCATTGCGACGTCGAAAAGTACAAGAGTGGCTTCGACGGATGCTATCGTAGGCCTTGCAGTGGAAGAGGAAATGGATCTCGTCTTCTGGATCCAAATGGCATAAAGTACACAATCGCCTTGGGAATTCTGGAATATATTGTCGCGATTCATGTCTTGTTTCTTGACTACCAGGAAATGCACCCCACAGGAGAATCGCAGGAAAACGTCCTCAAGGAGATAGGTTGTAATGATGATGGGAATCGCTCATATCGGTAGACTGGCTTGATGTGTTTGTACCATCGCTGAATCCTTAAAGCTTGGTGGGAGAAGACACTGGAAATGTGGACGTGTTTCAGATCCGTCGAAAAGACTGTACTTTCAATTGGCGTAGGCTTTTTTGAACTGATAATGAGCCAGAATCGACGGAAAAGGCAACGATGCGTCCATACCGCGGTCGAGGATTGGCTGAGAATTGTTGAAACCCGGACTTGAAAATGGTGCCATGAACCCGAGAGTTGGGGTGTTCCACCATTCGATACCAGCATTGCATCAACTGCCTCCATAGGTACAATTCTGAAGCAAGTACCTACCTGGGTGTCATGGAAGGTGTAAACCTCATGTGGAGGGTGACTTTTCCATGCTGGTGGGCTGGTTTTGGAAATACAAGACAACTTTCTGTCCTTGACCTGTAATTTTCCTGGATTTGCTATATGACTTTATGGCGTTGTTCGAGTCGCCGAGAAATGGGACCAATCTGACATAATGATTGGCGGTCAATTTTTCTGCGTACTATCACTAAGCTGGCGCCCCGTGAGGTCCAGAATGTGGTATAGAATTCAGCGGATGGACCATGGTAGAATGGGGCGCAACATTGAGGACCAGATCACCAACAGAAGGAGACATTAAACATCGTCAACGGCGATTAAAGCCGTGGACAGAGCAGCACAATGTACACGCTGCTGTGGGCATGGACTACGTCAGTGTGTTGAACTCAGACTTTGACTGCGGCTCTCAAGGATGCGATGCCCAGCCCGTCCATCAGAAAATGGCCTAAGATGTCCGCATGCTGCATGTTTGGGAGTCCACAGGCGGCCTTACTCGCAGCTGTCATTGAGGAACCAGAGTTGATGTCACTTTTTAGGGATCATATTTGACGGGCTGACATGTACGGGGTTTCGAAGTTTCGAAGGGCTATTTGTTGGATGGCTGCCGCGACATGTGCGGCACCACAAGATCGTGCTTCCCGTTGTTGAAGGGGATGCAACGGAACGAACAACAGGTTGTGAAGTTGCGAGCGCCTTGCTGGTCTTCTCTGAGAGTGTGGCTTTGCGCACAGGTCGTGGCGTGCTCAAAGCCAGCGATTTTCAGTCCCAAACTTTAAATTTCGGTTTTCGGCGTGGTGCTCCCATGGCATGCTCACCACTCGGTCTGGTTGTATTTCTGTGTGAATCTGTGAGGGTCGCTGCGGTTTCTGTCAGCGTTTCTGTCCACGTCCTTGTGGAGTGCATGCTCCTGGACATGCATGGCCAGTGGGCAGGTATTCCGGTGTTTCTGTGACAAATTCGCCAGTAAAGTGCATGCAAAGCGACACAACATCACCGCCTTGTGTCGCTCGCTTCACCCGTTCTGGGGCAAGGGACGGGCGAATCTTTTTCAGATTTTTAGTATGCTACCTGGAGTGTCTGGCCACGTTTCGGCCACGATGTTTATAGGGCTTCAATTCAATTCGTCATGTTTTACAGAACAAGGCGCTGAGGTAGCTGCCAGCTTCTTCTTTTGACCGAGCAAAGCATTGCCTATGGCCAGTTCATTTAAATCTAATGTAAATGCAAACAGAATATATGAATCTGTTAAATGCCAATGCCAAAAAGAGATGGTTGGCGATTTACGATGTTTTATTCTGGATGCAGGAAATTCGACTGCATCGCAAGTTCTCATGCTGTAAGTGTGACATCGTTATTTTTCTTCACATTTATCGCCCCTTGTTTGGTCCTCTTTAGGTCGGCGCGCCTCGCACAGGGCGTGTGCGTCGCGAAGACCCTGTAACTATTCCTCCCCCTCCAGACTTCCGCCCTGCAAACCCCACATCTGGCCCATGTATACAACAGCTCTTATGAGGCTCGAAGACAAGGCTCACGACATTGCACTTCCCATTCAGCTAATACAACATACCTTGTAATTTCATCATCTTCCGTGGTGTAGTGAAACAAATTCTACCAAACATTCCTGCGCGCGTTGTTGTGCATCGCTGTCCATTTTCTCCCCAAAAATCGAAACCATTGCTGCATCCCTCCTCAGGGAAAAGAGGCGCTCCAAGATTCCGCCATCTTCAGATCCACGCAGGGTCTTTGAGGGGCGTCACCACTGCCTTCACTTCCATGTAGTTGCTCAGTGCGTATTCGCCCAAATCGCGTCCGAAGCCACTCATCTTGTAGCCCCCGAACGGAACAGCATGGTCGAATGCGTTGTAGCAGTTTATCCACACCGTTCCAGCTCTCAGTCCACGGCTCAGACGATTTGCCAAATCCAGGTCCTTCGTCCACACGCCTGCGGCCAGGCCGTAGGGGTTCGCATTCGCGCGGTCCAGAACTTCTTCGACACTGCTCCACTTCATGATGGACTGAACAGGGCCAAATATCTCTTCCTTCGCTATACTCATCTCGTCGCGCACATCCGAAAACACAGTGGGCTCCACGTAGTAGCCCTTGGATCCAATACGCGAGCCGCCGCATCCAATCACCGCCCCCTGCGCAACCACGAGAATCGGAGAGCCATTTATCAAGAATCAGTAATTTGATCGAAACAATATTATAGTTTTTCTCCCTTCCAGGCGAACCTGGTTTAAAAGTTAGCAGAAATACCCGCCGGCGATCTGTGATAAACCGCAAGCAGTGTCACTGGATTTTGTGATCGAGAGCGGCAGGTTTTCAACGAATTCTCCCAGAACCCCTTCAACCATAATGCCAACCCCCAATTGTCTAATTGCTCGTGACAGCCAACCAGAATCAATCAATCGATCGATCTGTGCATAGTAGACAGATCAATTAATCATTCAAACCATCAGTCAATGAATAGATCCATGGGACAATCAATCGGCAAACCCACCCACCCAAAGGCACAAAAGAAAAAAAATCACATGGCAACAAAAAATATCCGTCGGCCCTCTCTTTCGTCCGAAGAAGGCAATCACCGTGACTCGCTCAATGACACACAATGGTGTTGTTGCTCTGGCACCGGCAAAACTATTGGCCACCAATCCACGCATTGACGGGGAAAAAAGGCCGTGGGGTGTAAGCCTCAACGCACAAGTACACACACCTGGGCCTCTCCCTCACGCATGTACCCCAGCACCTTCTCAAACTGCGCCGAGTCCACCAGCGGCCCCAGCTGCACGTCCCCGAAAGGATCCCCCACCCACTAGGAAAGAAAGGGCCAAATAACACGTGTTCAAACGTGTACAAAGTTTACGGGTTTGTGTTATTTCTGTGTTCTTAGCGTGCATAACTTTGATGAAATGTGTTTTATGTGTGTTCGCAGAAGTGTTATTTGGCCCTTTTTTTCCTAGTGACCGTGGCGTGCCGCGCCCGCTCCACCGTTCTCTCCACGAACTCGTCGTACAGGCTCTCGTGCACAAAGGTGCGCGAGCCCGCGCAGCAGTTCTGGCCGTGGTTGTAGAAGAGCGCCATGTGGGTGTCGTCCACAACGGACTCCAGGTCGACGCCCGGGCAGACGATGGCCACGGACTTGCCACCCAACTCCAGGGACACGTGCTTGACGCCATTGGCCGCGCCGCGCATTATTTCCCGCCCCACCTGTGGCAAGCGCAGTGTCTTGTGAGCAGTTCGAAATGGCGAAGTAGTGAAGTAGTACGGAAGTGACGAATTAATGCCAGAAAGTGCTAGCCACGTGCATCTCGTCGGCGCGTCATGGATATTTATGGCTACACTTGCGGCGTTTTTTGTTTCTATGTGTTTCTGAATTGCCTGACATTGCCTGTTATTGCCACCTAATGCTTCTCGTAGCTATGCTGATGCAAATCACATGCCTGGGTTGCGTTGTCTTAACTTCTATTGTGTGGCGGACATAGTCACTAGGTAAAAGGGGCCAAATAGCACGTGCTCAAACGCGTACGAAGCTTACGGGTTTGGGAAATTTCCGCGTTTTCAGCATGCGCAACACTGACGAGATGCATATATATTTGCTCGCAAAAAGTGCTATTTGGTCCTTTTTGTGCTGGTGACTATTGATTCTACAGACAGCAAATAATACCGTTGTTGCGCTAGTGCTGTTCTATCCGAGCCAAAGAGCGACTTCGTTTGGATTGCCGAGTGTCCTGTACCAACGAAGCTAATGTCGTGGCCTGCACACTGAACCATCGATGGACACCGCACATTAGCAAAACACAAGGTTTAAATTCTGGCAGCAGCGATTGAAGCATATGTTTCATGTTTCATGCATGCAGGGTTCGCTTCCATTTCTGCATGTGAAATATCTAATTTTGTACACAATTTTGACAGTACTTTGCTGCCATTTTCACCATAGCCCGGGGGTTACCTCGGTGCTGCCCGTGAAGGAGACCTTGCCCACGCCAGGATGGGTGACAAGGGCGGCGCCGGCAGTGGGGCCGTAGCCAGGCAGGATGTTGAAGACGCCTGGAGGCACGCCGGCCTCAAGTGCCAGCTCGCCGAAGAGTAGGGCAGACAGGGGGGTCTGCTCGGCGACCTGGGGAACACAGGAAGCGATATGCAGTGGACGTAAGGACAGGCATCGAGAGTGAGGGTAACGACGTGTATCGCTGCAATTGTGTCCGCAAGCAGAAGGAATATCAAGCAATGGCAGTGCAGGGAACGGCATCCGACGGCAATTCTGGACTGTTGCATTCACCAGATTATGGCGACCATCGACTGTCAACGCCTTCAGCTGTCGTAGACAGCATTGTTCACGGCGATTTGTTGGTGCTAATAACCGCCAAGCAGACGTTTAAGCAAATACGCATGCTTTGTACGCGCCATTCCTGCAAGCGAGGGCACCCATGCCACGCTCCAACAGGAAGAAACAGCGTGTAATGTGGTGAAGAGGCAGGCGCGGCTACAAAGAAATCAAATAAATTTGTCAATTCTGTGTATCAAATTGTCAAACGCCCTTGCACGCAACTAACATGCGCGATTTCATGGCATTAATTAATTGCACCAACATTGAACAATAGGGTGTTACAACTGAGAGCTTGTAGCAAAAAGCGAACGGTAGTCTCACGGGATTTTTGTAGATGAACATGATCCTCAGAAATCTGGTACGTTGCAGTCTGCGTGAGAGCACCTGCCCATATGGATGCTTGCACAGCGCGCGCTGTGCCATTTTCGCCTGACGCATTAAATCCCTGATGAAAACGGCACCAGTCACAACATATCTTGCTCGATTTGATACTTTTAGAAAGTTTGGCGGTATCAGCTTGCGACTGCAGCATTTCAGCACATTTTGAAACGGACTCAAGTTACGTAAAATGCTCTATTTTCTTAGAATTCAACCAACATGTGAATTCTTTATATAAAATTCTGGGCAGTTGAAAAAGCGTACACGTTTGCTGCAGATACCTGCACGTCCAACGCCAGTAGAAAACAGCCTGTTTGCGATGCCAATTGCGACGCCATTTGACACAAATTGATGCCATCGCAGCAGCTTTTATGCCATCGCAATCACTGTGACGGCATCATTTTGTGTCAAGATGGCGTCGCAATTGGCATCGCAAACATGCCGTTTTCCCCCAGTGCAAACTCTTGAAATAACACGCTGGAGTGCCCCTACTGTATTGTTGGTGCCCTATTACTTTGCCAATCTTGCTGGAAACCATGTTGATTTGCTGTGCGCCTCCTGCAGAATGCGCCGGTGGCGGTTGGCCCAACTGTTGCGCTGTTCTCTCTGGCGACAGCTGCCGCCTTACTGAAACCTTGCAGCACATCCGTTGGCGCTGAGCTTTGTATTTACCACACTGTTTCAGCGTTTGATGGGGAGATTCTAACTCTGATTTGATGGGTTTCCCAGGGGGCTGCACATCGAGAAGTGAACAATGCGTCGGCTTGGGCCCTGTCCTGGAAGGTGTCACTTCTCAGCTGTTGCTCATAGGGGCTGATGGCTTCCTTGTCGCCCTGTTCTTCTCATGCATTGATTGTTTGACGGAACGACCTGTTGATTTATTGGTCAATCGGCTGAACGGAATCTTTAAGGATTGAAAGCTTTCAGTGTTCTGCTAATTGTCTACGGCATCCAATTGACGTTTCACGGACGTTCTGCTAAAAGCAGCAATGCTGAAACCTGCTGCCTGGCGAGCCCTGGGGCCCTGGAGGCATTGTCACGTACACACTTCTTGACCCCTGGCGTATGCGCATATACGTATATGCAGTATATACGTATATACATAGCTGGCGCCTGCAATGTACCAAGGCTTTGTACGACACGACCTTCTGCCAGCATAGCGTTAGTGCCACTTCGCCGCCGCCTGCAATGTACTAGGGCCTTTTTTGTCGCGACATTCTAACAGCAGAATCCAACGCAAAAACGGCGCCATCGTCGATACTGGGTTACGTCAGCGGCAGGCGACCTGACCGCCTGCTGCATGTCCTGGCTCTCACGCGGCTACCCAGTCTCACTAGCGCCCACGATCACCTGCGGAATCCGTAAACAGCACGCGGCGGGGCGTCTAGAGCCCCTGACACATAACTGCCCCCAACCAGCCACCCCCCACCCCCACCCACGGGCGCACGGGCAGCCCGCACCTTCAGGACCACCGTGCAGCCGCACGCCAGCGCGGGCGCCACCTTGACGGCCAGCATCGTCAGCGGAAAGTTCCAGGGGATGATCTGGCCGACTACGCCGACCGCCTCGTGGAGCGTGTACGCGAACGTGTTGCCGTTCGTCTGCAGCGTCTTCCCCGATATCTTGTCTGCCCGCGTCACAGGAGCCTTGTGAGAACTCTTCCAGGATGTTCAAAACGATTCCCCCGTCCCACGACACAAGTGGGATTTGGTTCATGTCGTTCAAGGTGGCGGCCATGCCACAAACGTGCCACAGGCGGCCCTGGCTCGAACACAGCTGGAGTTGCGCTATTCAACAAGTCCAGCAATGCAAAAAAATGATCCACAAACACCTCGGAACGCGTACCTGCCCGTCCCGCGAAGTACCGGAAATGCGACACGACGAACGGAATGTCGCCCTCCCTCGACATCGCCAGCGGCTTGCCGTTGTCCAGCGTCTCGATCCTCGCGAACTCCTCGGCGCGCTCCTCCAGCAGGTCGGCCAGCCTCGACAGCACCCTCCCGCGCTGGCGGCCCGACATCTTCCTCCAGGGCCCGCTGTCGAAGGCCCGCCGCGCGGCACCCACGGCCCTGTCCACGTCGGCGGCGTCGGCCTCGGCCACCTGGGCGATCACATCTTCCGTGCGGGGGTCCAGCACGGGGAAGGTCTTGCCGGAAGCCGCGTCGACGAAGTCGCCGTCGATCAGCAGCTTGGGCAGGACATTGCGCGATGATTCAGAATACAGGATGCGAATGATCGATATCATTCGATACGGAATACAGGATCAAGATCGACATCCTTGGTGGGGGTGGGCTCGACGGCGGTGGCAAACGGGGCCACGGCGCGGGGGCAATGGCACGCCGGCGCCGCCGGGACGCGCCAGCCAGCCGAGAGGAGGCGCCACAGAGGGGAGGCCGCGGCGCGCATGGCTGTGATGTATGTACGAACGGCCGTGGGGTAAGCCTGCTCCACGGCAGATTGGGAAGTAGCTGTGTGTGTGTGCTTAGTCCCGGCTCGCCTCAATGGCCACCGGGGCCGTTTAATAGCTCGGGAAAGAGTGATGCGACTGGATGTTCTCTGCGTCTAAAGGCACACGCACGGGGAAGCCAAAGGTTACACGACTGCTGTGGGTCCACTGTTGTATTGCGCCGCGGAGAAACTGTGTTGTACACGGCGACCCGCTCTCGTTCTTAAATGGCACCGGATAGCACACCGTTTCAGGCCCCAATTCTCATCCATATCACACTCGAATTGTTCATTCTTCGCCCCCGGACTTCGAGCTTTTGTCCAATTCGTCCAGGATGCACAACTTGCAGTGTCAGCCCGGCAAATGCCTCTGTACTGTTGGGGCACTGAGCTTCATGTGTGGATAATGCTGTCTGATGCCGTTTGAATAACTCCCCCTTATGTCTGGGGCTAATGCGCTGAGTCATAGGCAAAGCCCCATAGTTTCGTTCTACACTGTATTAATATCCGCCGCCCTCTCATGTGGTCTAGACAGCACCCCATGTTTCATCCACTTTGGCATCCATGATCCGATGTTATTGACGTTAAAGTACTAGCCCCGTGGCTTCAACATTAACGTCAACATCATTTGGCCCTGTGGCTTCGCTATGGTTGGCGCTTGATGGCACGCCTCCTATACCTTTATCTACGCTCGTGGATGGGAAAGGAAGTTTACATTGCTTTTTCTCCAGCGCAATGGGGAGCTGATGGTTGCCTCAGCATCATTATGTGTAAGACTTTTGATGACTAGTGGTAGAACACATACGTGAAGCAGTACGTAAGTGGATAATATATGAATTAAGTGTCACGTGTTGGTGTTAAAGAATTGAAGCAACGAAATAATGCTCTGAAGTTATTTCAATGCTGATGTCCACCTCATCTTGAAGGCCGTTGCGGCACCAGGTTCCGTTGGCCTTCCGGAGGTACTCCTCTTGATATGGCTAATGCATGCCACTAATCTCTTGTTCGCAATTAGGCGATCAGGCGGACGACCGCAGTGCGGCTGGTTGAGGATATGTGCATTTTTGTGAGGCAAAAATTGGCTCTCTCAGTGCTTACATTGACAGTCAATAGCGACGAGCTTCTGAATGAGATGTTCTGATCAGAGCTGCCCCATTAAAATACGAACAACCGTTCCCTCAAATGCGCAATTTTGCTACCATCAATCAAGAAATCCACAATACGAGCGCCATGTAAGGGGCAAACCTAATGTAGAGGGAGGCATTTTCATGGTGACGGGCTGAAATAAAACCCAAAGCCACTTGCTGTCCTTGGCGCGTAATGTTCCCGGATTGGTTATATGGCTTGCAGGAAATAGTTTCTGCCAACAATGATGCATGATGTGCTTTGTGGTGTTTCACTCGGTATGCAAGATACGCGATTGCATCGCAAGTTGTCGTGCTCTACGTGTAAAGACCGACTGCTCCCGCCCTTGGGGGAAATCAGCCGCACTCGCACCGTAAGTCTCAAGTCAAATCCCTTTCATGCAAATACACAAATGTACAAGGAAATAAATCCAGAACTCGGGCATGACAGTTTGACATTTCGGTCTGCGTGTCCCCAGTGCCGAGGTCAAAGAAACGATCCATTGTTCAAAATCCCTCCGGGTCGCAGTGGGGGTGGAGTTCGGCAACAAAAACGATACCGCTCACTGGCGCCCGGCCCCTTTCGGTTCCTCCGTCGGTGAGTCCAGAAACCAGAACACAAACCCAGGTCCAAGCTGACTGCCAAGTCGGCAGGGCCCGTCCCCGCGCCTATTACTCAGCTACTGAATTGAATTATCTCGTAGGAATAAGAGAAACGCCGTCTCCCGTCCACATCCACATCTGGCGCTTCCCACCCTGCGTAGTCCTGGACGTAAATGCATTAACTACGCTAAAGCTGATTAACAGTGACTTGGTGTTTCCTCTTCACATTTATGGCCTCTTTTTGGTCCTCTCCAGGTTGACCGGCCTCGCACACAGCGTGTGCGTCGCGAAGGCCCTGACGCTACGTTTGCCCCTCTCAGTCTTCTGGACTGCAAGCCCCGCATCCGCAGCATCCACTCGGCAGCTCTTATGAGGCTTCAAGAAAACATTCAAGACGCGGCCCTTCCCATTCAGCCATCCAACGCACCCTATAATTTCATCATCTTCCGCGGTGTGTTGAAATGCCTCTTCCCAAACATTCCTGCGAGCGTTGTTGTGCATTGCGGTTCATTTTCTACGGAAAAATCGAAACCATTGCTGCATCCCTCCTCAGGGAAAAGAGGCGCTCCAAGATTCCGCCATCTTCAGATCCACGCAGGGTCTTTGAGGGGCGTCACCACTGCCTTCACTTCCATGTAGTTGCTCAGTGCGTATTCGCCCAAATCGCGTCCGAAGCCACTCATCTTGTAGCCCCCGAACGGAACAGCATGGTCGAATGCGTTGTAGCAGTTTATCCACACCGTTCCAGCTCTCAGTCCACGGCTCAGACGATTTGCCAAATCCAGGTCCTTCGTCCACACGCCTGCGGCCAGGCCGTAGGGGTTCGCATTCGCGCGGTCCAGAACTTCTTCGACACTGCTCCACTTCATGATGGACTGAACAGGGCCAAATATCTCTTCCTTCGCTATACTCATCTCGTCGCGCACATCCGAAAACACAGTGGGCTCGACATAGTACCCCTTGGATCCAACACGCGAGCCACCGCATCCAATCACCGCCCCCTGCGCAATCACGCGAATCAAGCAGACATTTGGCAAAAATCAGTGACTTGATCGGGCTTATATTGACTCTTCTCGCTTGCAAACGAAAGTGATTTAAGAAATGGAAGAAGTACCCAACAGCAAGCTGGGATGAACGAGGAGCACTGTCGCCAGATTCTGCGATGGAGAACAGCGGCATTTCAACGAACTCGTCCGGATTCCCTTCCAGTATTAAGTTGCCTCCCGAGTATGTAAATCTCCCGTGACAGCCAATCAGAATCAATCAATCGATCTACACACCGTAGATAGTGTGCTCTGACACAGGCAAACTACGGGCCAATATCGACGCATTTACAGACAAGGCCGTGGGCTGCGAGCCTCAACACACACGTACACACACCTGAGCCTCTCCCTCACGCATGTACCCCAGCACCTTCTCAAACTGCGCCGAGTCCACCAGCGGCCCCAGCTGCACGTCCCCGAAGGGATCCCCCACCGTCGCTCGCTGCGCCCGCTCCACCGCCCTCTCCACGAACTCGTCGTACAGGCTCTCGTGCACATAGGTGCGCGACGCCGCGCAGCAGGCCTGGCCTTGATTTAAGAAAAGCGCAACGTGGGTGTCCTCCACGACGGACTCCATGTCCACGCCAGGGCAGACGATGGCCGCGGACTTCCCGCCCAGCTCCAGCGACACGTGCTTGATGCCATCGGCCGCGCCGCGCATTATTTCGCGCCCCACCTGGGGCAACCGCAGCGTCTTGTGAGCAGCACCGCTCACAAGTCTCAAATGGAACCAGTTCGAAGTGGTGAAATAGTGAAGCAGTAGGAAAGTGATGAAATTGGTGCCAGAAAATGTTAGCCTTGTGCATCCTGTCCGCGCACCATGGAGATTTACCGATATGTTTGCTGCAGTTTTTGTTGTTATGTGTTTCTGAGTTGCCTAACATTGTTTGTTCTGGCCATCTAATGTTGTTTGTAATTGTGCTGATGCAAAATTCATGCCTGTTTTGCGTTTGCCTGAACATCTATTGTGCAGCGGACGCAATATCGATTTAACAGAGAATAGAGAATGCCGTTTTTGCGTTGTTGCTGTTCTGCCAGACCCAAAGCATCCTTTCCTCGAGTTCCCTGCACCAACAAAGTTTCTGTCGTGGCCTATGCATTGACCCATTGATGAACACTGCACATTAGCAGTACACAAGTTTATATTGGGCAGCAGTGATTGAAACATACAGAGTCCGTTTTCATTCCTATAAGAAAAATATCTGGTTTTGTTGCAAGCCAGCGAAGCTTTATTGAGCAAAATCACGATTTTGGCCGAGCGCCAGCCCCCGACCGCCCCGCCGCACACACACCGCCCCCTCCCCGGGCTTCCTTGGGCCATGCGCTGCGCATGTGTGGCGTGGCGTGGGCGCCCACCGCCTATCCCTGGGCTTCCATCACCGGTGCACGGGGCGCGTGGCGCAGCGTGGGTGCCGACCCGCCTCCCTCCGGCTTCCCCCTGATTTTCTCCACGGGCACGTGGCCTGGTGGCCTCTGCTTGCACATGACTAAAAGAAAGGGGAGGGGACGCCATTCCCTAAATATGTTCCCTCTGGCCGCGTTATGAATCGGTTACTAATTTTTTTTGCGAAAGTGAAATTGTTCTTTTTTGCGACATGTTCTGTTTTGCGACGGCGGCGATAATTGATGCGCGACATGTTGGCATCATATCTGCCACACCACCACAGCGCGGTCCACGGGGCCTTCTCTCACCACGGCGCTGAAGGCACGTCTGTTCAGAGAAGGGACCAAAAGGCGAAACGGGAGCGCTTGGGGATGTCCAGGTTCCCAACCTTGCGGAGGGGGGCTGCCGCTGTCATTCGGCGATCATTTTGGCGCTGAGATTCAGCCGAATTGGCTGAGGTTCGGGCCCCCTGTTTCCTCCCAAGCTCTGTTTTTGCCATGCTAGCCCCCTGAAATGCGCGCAATTGGCCACGCAGGGAGACGGCGCCGCTAACTGGGACCGGGGAGTGTTGCTCGTGACGCCGGACGGGGAGGCCAAGGCGCTGGTTGCCAGCGCCATTGCCGTCCAAGCATCGACCATCAAGGCGCCCACGCCCAGCGCCATTAACTGGTCATACGACCAGGTTTCGCTGCCGGGTGGGGGCACGCCCTGTGAGCCACGACCTGTGGCGGGCTGCCACTGGCGGCATTTCAGCGCTTGGCGCAACCTAGTGCCCATTTGGCGCCGCCGGGCCCTGCGTCTCACCCCAGACAAGCACAGCGTTGACTCGTGAAGCTCGAGGAAGCGGAACAACGATCGCTCAGGCGGCGAACAACAGCGGCGGCAGCTGGCAGCGGCCGGTGGCAAGTGGCGGGGGGCGGGGGGCGGGTAGGCGAGCTGGTTCGAAGGCCCCGCCGCCTTCCCGGGCTGTGCATTAGTCATATTCACTGTCGCAAAAAGAACAATCCACTGTCGCAGAAAAGAGTAGTTTGGCACTGTCGCAAAAAAGAACACTCCACTGTCGCAAAAAGAAATATTCCCACTCTCTGGCTTGCGCCGCATGGCCATGGTGCACCCTCGAGGTGCGTGGGTGTTCCTGCGGCCTCAGACAGGCCATCGCCCCTTTTGCGGCGGGCGGGTCGCGTGCGGGTGTGCCCTTGTGGGTGCCAACAACTAGTGCGCAAGCGCTTGACCTTGCTGCCATAGATGTGGGCCCAACCACATTGCGAGTGGGAATGATTTTTAATGGGGCCAGAGGCAACATATTTAGGAAGTGGCGGCCGGGACACTTCTGCTGCCATGCGCAGTGTGTATGTGGTCACCGCTTTGCATTGCACGCCCGTTCGTTATGGCGACAGCGTTACAATGAGGGGCTCCGCAACGGGCGGTGTGCGTGCCCATGATTACAAACTGGCAAGGGGGGCTAGTGCGGCTGGCAGCGTGAGCTAGGCCGCGTTGTGGCGAGCGACAGGCGGTAGCGATTGCCATCGCCTATGGCCTTGGCTCGAGTCGCGTTGTGGAGGGGGGTTGGGGTGGGATGGAAGGGTTTGGGGCATGCTCAAAGTTGAAAATTCTGTGCCCAGCGATCGGCCCGACTGTTCGATCGCCGCGATATTTCAATTCAGGCAGGCTGGGAGGCCACCTTGGAGTGGCTTGCGGCGCCTCCCTGGCCGTGGACTGGAAACGAGTGGGTTTGAGGGGGGGGTCCGAATATGGAAATTGAGTCAACGGCGATTGGCCCAACGGGCCGACCGCCGTGACCTCTCACTTCAAAGGCACTTGGCGCCCACGCTGTAGCACTGCGAGATGCCTATTATCGGCTGATTGGAAAAGAGTGGGGTTTGGGTTTGAGGGAGCGGGGCGGGGTAAGGTCAAGTTTGTGGTTATCGACCCAACGGCCCAATTGCCGCGACCTTTCGCTTTAGCGAAATATCTAGGCATCTTTTGGGTGGGCGCCTTGCAATTCGCCTTTGGCAGGCACTTGCTCGGAAGTCGTGGTGGTGGTGGTGGGGACTGGGGGCGGGGGGACATCGGGTCGGCAATTTGGTGTTTGGCAGTTTTTTTCCGTATAGTCGATGTGATTCCATTGATTAGCAAAGGCTGTAGAGAGCTTTCAATTTGGCACACAAGGCAGCAAATGTGTACGCATATGCACCAGTCGATCAAGCATGGTTGTGCGTAAGCAATGTGTATTTTACACAATATTTACTATACTTTGCCACCATTTCCACCATAGCTCGGGCGTTACCTCGGTGCTGCCTGTGAAGGAGATCTTGTCCACGCCAGGATGGGCGACAAGGGCGGCGCCGGCAGTGGGGCCATAGCCAGGCAGGATGTTGAAGACGCCTGGAGGCACGCCTGCTTCAAGGGCCAGCTCGCCGAAGAGCAGGGCAGACAGGGGGGTCTGCTCGGCGACCTGGGAGCACAGCGCAGCGATGTACAGTGAAAGTAAGGACAGGGCACCCGAGAGTGAGGATAACCACGTGTATCGCTGCAATTGCATCCACAAGCAAAAGGAATATCAAGCAATGACCATGCAGGGAGCGGCGTCCAACGGCAATTTCGGACTGCTGCTTTCAACAGATTATGACAACCGTTGACTGTCGGCACCGTTGACTGTCGGAGCCTTCAGCTGTCGGAGACAGCATTGTTCGCAGAGATTTGCTGGCGCTAATCGCCGCAAGCACAGGTTTAAACAAGGATGGAAGCGTTGTGAGCGCCAGTCCTGCAAGCGAGGGCACTCATGCCACGGTCCAACGCGAAGAAAAAGCGTGCCATGTGGTGGACAGGCAGGCACGGGTACAAAGAAATGCATTAAGTCTATCAAATTTGTATATCAAGTTGTCAAACATCCTTGCAGTCTGCATGCCAGCACTTGCCAATATGTATGCTTGCAAAACGGATGCTTGCACAGCGTGTGCTTTGCCTTTTTCGCCTGACGACTGAATTTTTGGGTATTAAACAACTGATGAAAACGGCACCGTGAACACAATATACCTTGCGCGATCTGACGCTCTTAGAGAGATTGGCGGTGTGAGCTCGGATTGCAACAATTCAGCGCATTTTACAATGAATCCAGGTACGTTAAATGGTCAGGTTTTTGTTCAAGTTAGGAAAGATCTGAATTCGTTATAACGAAGTCTGGGCAGTTGAAAAAGTGCACACGTTTGCTGCATATACCTGCACGTCCAAATTCTTGACATAGCACGCTGGAGTTCTCTCAAGTTATGCACTGCTCTCTCTGGCGATAGCCGCCACCTTACTAAAACCTTGCAGCACATCCTTTGGCACCGAAGTTTGGATTCACCACACTGTTTCAAGGCTTGGAAGGGCGCTTCCAACTCTTATTTCTTGGTCTTCTGAGGGTACTACGCATCGGGAAGTGAACAACGCGTTGCTTGATCCCTGTTCTAAAAGGTGCGATTGTTCTGCTGTTACCCATAGGGGCCGATGGCTTCCTTGCCGCCATGTTCTTCTCATGGAATGGTTGTTTGACGGAATGACCTGTTGATTTATTGGTTAATCGGCTGAATGGAACCCTTTTGGTGCTCTGGTGATTGTCTAAGGCATCCAATTGGCGTTTCATGGGCTTTCTGTCAAAGCAGCAATGCTGAAACCTGCAACCTGACGTGCCCTGGAGTTCTGTGGGCATTTTCGCGTGCACATTTTGATCTCTTGCGTATATGCGACGTTAGTGCCACGTCGCCAGCGCTTGCGATATACTGGGGTTTTGTTTGTCACGGCTTTCTGACGGCATAAAATTACTCCCCATTCTTGTTTGCTGAATTTCGGTTCTTGTTTTTGGACACCCTAAACCCCAACTACTGATCCACGCACCGGGACTGGCCTTGTCAGCGGAACAAGAACCGAAATTCAGCAAACAAGAACGGGGAGTAATATATTCTCCTTTCTGACGGCATAGCGTTATTGCCACGTCGCCGCCGCCTGCAATGTACTGGGGCTTTGCTTGCCACGACATTCTGACGGCAGGATCTAACGCGAGGATTGCCAGTGACGATACGGGCACACGTCAGCGCAGGGGACCCAACCACCCGCTGCATGTCGCGTTCTGTGCGCCGCTTCCCAGTCTCACTTGTCCCCTCACATAATCACCTGCCCCACCCAAAATCAGCACACAGCACGGGCAACTACTCGGTGCTGCGCCTGGCGCCCCTGCCACACAACTGCCCACGGCCAGCCCCAACCCCTGGCGCACAAACGGCCCGCACCTTCAGGACCACCGTGCAGCCGCACGCCAGTGCGGGCGCCACCTTGAAAGCCAGCATCGGCAGCGGAAAGTTCCAGGGGATGATCTGGCCCACCACGCCCACCGCCTCGTGGAGCGTGTACGCGAACGTGTTGCCGTTCGTCTGCAGCGTCTTCCCCGATATCTTGTCTGCCCGCGTAACAGGAACCTTGTGAGAACTCCTCCAGGATGCTCTATGTATATTGGGCTGCGCTCTTCAACAAGTCCAGCAATGCGCAACACAGTGCGTGGACGCAGACACCTCTGACCACATACCTGCCCATCCCGCGTAGTACCGGAAATGCGACACGACGAACGGAATGTCGCCCTCCCTCGACATCGCCAGCGGCTTGCCATTGTCCAGCGTCTCGATCCTCGCGAACTCCTCCGCGCGCTCCTCTACCAGGTCGGCCAGCCTCGACAGCACCCTCCCTCGCTGCCGGCCCGACATCTTCCTCCAGGGCCCGCTGTCGAAGGCCCTCCGCGCGGCGCCCACGGCCCTGTCCACGTCAGCGGCGTCGGCCTCGGCCACCTGGGCGATCACGTCCTCCGTTCTGGGGTCCAGCACCGGGAAGGTCTTGCCAGAGGCCGCATCAACAAAGTCGCCGTCGATCAGCAGCTTGGGCCGGACGTTGCGCAGGATCTGCGCGGGATTGACGTCCTGTGCGATGGGGGACTCGACGGCGGTGGCCAACGGGGCCACGACGCGGGCGCCATGGCGCGCCGGCGCCGCCGGGACGCGCCTGCCGGTCGAGAGGACGCGCCACAGGGGGGAGGCCGCGGCGCGCATGGCTGTGGAGGGCGTGCTGTTGGATGGGAAAGACAGGGATCCCTCCGCCTGTTTGATGCCCTTCTGCGCGTGGGTGTATGGCTTTGCCCAAGGTGGCGGGACGGCCAGGAGCTGCACGACCGCCAGGCACACTGATGTGGACAAGTGTGGCGCTCACACGCGTCCCATAGCTGCGTCAGGTGGGGGACGGTCGAATCTTCCCGACGTTCTGGTCACAGCTTCACCTCCATCAAAAAACCAGACGAGGGTTAATGGCACCAAGACCAGGCGCGAATGGCAGCGATGGAAACTCACCAGGATCGGAGCATGTACAGGAGCGTCAGGTCACGCAGTCTGCTCAACAGAAGAGATGGGCGGGCCCATCGCTGCAACAGAATGTCAGGTCTCAACTCAAATACCCAACGGCTGCCAGAGAGTTCCGTCCCATCCTCTCCAGCACCGTCCACACCACTCAGAGCCCCTGGATTCCCCGAATACCTCCAATACTCCTCCTAGTCAACTACTCAGCCGTCCTTAAACAACCAATTCGTGGACAACCAGTTCCCAGCCTCCAGTATCCAGTTCTCAGCCTTGATTCCCTACGATCAGTTCCTCACTCCCAGCTCTCACTGTGAGAGTTTTCCATGAGGATTATGATAATCCTCAGGTGCTTGTCAATATCCCTCGGGAGTCCCCAGTCGTCGGGTGACCCCAACGGCTGTGACGTCGGCGTGTCCAACGCTGCCGCCTCAGCTGTGCGCTCCGGCCTACCTCAGCGCGATCTCAGCAGTGTACCTTCATGCCCTAAGTCCCTTCTTCGACCTTTGGCAACGGCGTCTGACCAAGCGACCAGCAATGGTAATTCAGGCGGACTCCCAGGGGTCAAAGAGGGCGGCGGCGGCTGCCGCATGTGAGCGGACGCCTGCATAGCTGCCACATACCCTCAGGTTAGTCTCCTTAGTTATTCTATGATGGACTCATCATCGCCATGACTACCCGCCACATGTTCCACCAAAATTACCACCTCAGGCAGGGTGCTTGAAAATTCGTCAACATAGCAGAGTCTGTTTGCACGGCTGAAGATATCCTTCAGATTTATGGGCCCTGAGCATGTTCTCTCCAAGACTAGTCATCAACAATAGCCATCTTCAGAGGACAGTAAGCTCTAAACGGCCGGCCAGCCTGCAAAACGGCGCCATAGAAGCATCCCCTGCACTAGGAAGAAAAAGACCCAGATAGCACGAGCTGAAACGTGCACAAATTTTAAGGGTTTTGGGTATTTTTGTGCTCTTAGCGAGCACAAAGTTGATAAATGCAATTTACATGTGTTCGCAAAACGTCCTTTTCTTGCTGGTGCTGACCAAGGGGGTAACTGCTACCCAGTTCTCTTTCCCCACTGACGCAATGTGCGCCGAGCAGTGTCCTTGTTCGAACAGTGCTTGTTAGGCACAATGTGCCGAACTGGTGCTCTGCATTACCAGACTAGACAATACCTTAGAATATGCAGGATAATTCGCTCACCGCCTTCAGGTTCCAAAATAGACTATTCCGCTTCATTAATTGCGTTGCAGCGCAAATAGCTAAAAATGGCTTGGACTATGCTCAAGTCTTGAACGCAATCCAAGCGAGTTTTTAAGAAACGTTTCAAGGCCTGAATTTGAAGTCTTACACCATATCTTGTCATGTGTGTGTTGCAAACCAATTTTGCCTTAACTATCCCACACGCAGCCCAACTCTCTGGAGTTCTCGGATAGAATATGTAAATAGAACCAGAGCAATAGGTAAGCGCGCTTCTGTATTGCAATAGTGCTTCATTTTTGGATATTTTCTTTCAGAAATAAACTACTGAGTAAATGTGGTGTCATTCGCGTTTCTTTAGAACATATGCCTGGAGCGGTTTTGGCTGTTCTAATTTGCACTGCGCCCTGAGCAGTGGTTTTATCAGTCACTGCAGATACTTACGGAATGCCTTTGTGCGACAAATCCGCGGTGATTGTCTCTCCATTGGCAATCCGATACTAGGGTTCTAGTGACAGCGGAACGACACTCTGTGTGAAAATGTTCCCTGTCCCTTGATTTACGCCCCAATGGACCGCAGTCCACCATCTGCGCGTCATGTCTATGGCAGGTGAGTATCATATCCATGAACACCAAGTTTTAAAAACTAAGAAAGAAAACCAAGTTTCATTCCCGACCCTGGGAAGAGGACCAGGGCCAGGCAGCTACGCAGAATACCGTGGAATCGCAGGTGATGCGTTTCCTAGATTGTAAACAGTTCACAATTGAAAGCGATCCAGATATGGCCCACTCATTCCGTCATTGGCGCTTTGCTCCTCATCGAAGGCGTTCCTGCATTTCCGCCCCTGGTCCTGTGGTGCGTTTGCACCACAGTATCAGTACCCACATAAGATAGTGTGGATTGGGGATCATGGTTAGCAAGGCAGTGTGCATTTGACGTAGTTATAATAGTCTTGAGGCTTCCGCTACATTGCTTATCTTGGTTACGTTCCAGAGTCCTTCATCTGGTAGTAGTCTCCTTCTCTCAACCATCTGCTTCTTACAACACTGGCACCCAGGCTTTCTCTTAACACATATCAACCCATGGTTTTAATATTCGTGGTTCCTTCTCGGTAGAGGCCTCGCAGAAGCGAAGGTCCTGATAGTAGCGCCCCCCGCAAGTTTCCACATCTGCCACATCCGCTCAGGGGCGCTTATGTGTCCTGGACGTGATGCTCAAGACCCTGGCACATCCCGTCCAATTACCCAACGCATGCTGTACTTCCATCATTTCCTGCCGTGTGGCGAAACCATCTCACTCACATTTTGCTGGGCACGGGAGCGCCCATTGTGTGCATTGCTGTCCATTCTGCCGGAAAGCAGAATAACCACCGCATTCCTTCAGAATCAAAAATGTGCTCGGAGATTGTGGCACGCCATCTTCAGATCCACGCCGGGTCCTGCAGAGGTGTCACCACCGCCTTCACTTCCGTGAAGTTTTGCAGCGCGTATTCGCTCATATCTCGCCCGAAGCCGCTCATCTTGTAGCCACCGAATGGCGCGGCGTCGTCGAATTGGTTGTAGCAATTGACCCACACCGTGCCAACCCTCAGTCCCCGGCTGATGCGGTTTGCCAAATCCAAGTCCTTCGTCCACACGCCAGCACCCAGACCGTAGGGGCTCGCGTTCGCGCGGTCCAGAACTTCTTCGACGCTGCTCCACTTCATGATGGACTGAACAGGGCCAAATATCTCTTCCTTCGCTATGCTCATCTCGTCGCGCACATCCGAGAACACAGTGGGCTCGACGTAGTAGCCCTTGGATCCAATACGCGAGCCGCCGCATCTCACAACGGCGCCCTGTGTAGCCACGCCAATCAGGCTGCCGTTTAGCCGATAAATCAAGTAAGAATATTCCGCAACAAGGCAGAGATAGCCTGCGCCAGCCTGGATTGTTCGCAAGTAGTGCCAATGAGTTCTTTAAAGGAGAAACGGACTTTCCCAGCGAGTTTACAACACATTTCACAGCGTTTTGGGCCAACCTTCATTTTGTCCAAAAATGTAAGCACCGGAAACCAACTGGAATCAACCAGTCGATCAGTATATTAATCATTCTTTCAAGCCATTAATCTATCTATACATCAACCAAACAAAGGCTCAACCAATCAACAATCCAAGGAAAAGGAAACAGCCCATAAATTCGCAGAAGCATCCGTCGGCCCCCAATTTGCACCGAAGAGTTCAGCCCCTGTGATTGGCTCACTGACACACCATGGCATTGCGGCTCTGGCCCCGACAAACTGTGGGCCACCATCCACAGGTTTACCAACAGGCCTGTAGGCAGGGAGACTTAGCGCACACACGCACACACCTGAGCCGCTCCCTCTCGCATATACCCCAACACCTTCTCAAGCTGCGCCGAGTCCACCAGCGGCCCCAGCTGCACGTCCCCGAAGGGATCCCCCACCGTCGCTCGCTGCGCCCGCTCCACCGCCCTCTCCACGAACTCGTCGTACAGGCTCTCGTGCACAAAGGTGCGCGAGCCCGCGGCACAGGCCTGGCCCTGATTCATAAAAAGCGCGTCATGGGCTTCCTCCACGACGGATTCCAGGTCGACCCCCGGGCAGACGATGGCCGCAGACTTGCCGCCCAGCTCCAGCGACACGTGCTTGACGCCATCGGCCGCGCCGCGCATTATTTCGCGCCCCACCTGGCGCAATGAGAGTCCGTTTTCAGCGATTCAAAGTGTTTAAGAACTGCATTAGTACTTGAGTAATGAAATTGAGGCCAGAAAATGCGAGCCACGCGCATCATGCCCATTTGCATAGTAAGGCGTAGACGAAGTTGTTGCCCATTTGCTGTGAGGTGTTTTTGAATTGTTGTAAATGCTTGTTATCAGGATTGGTCTTTGCGCTTGCGCCTACACTTGCGCCTATTTTTTCACCTTTAGTTCTTTATGCGAAAAAGCAAATTTGCAACAGGGGGCTATTCTTACGGGTCGCCAGGACACCCAGGTCGCATGATGAAGTCGGAAGTGATGATTCGCCCTCCACCTCAAGCAACCGCAACACAGCGTCCACCTCGCCCTCGGCAAATGCAAAGACGTGGTCAGGCAAATGGTCGTTTTCTGCCCACTCTAGCTCATCTAGCTGCCATTTACCAACTCCCTGGGCCTGCATGCACTGGTTTTAGGTACGCCACGTCAAAATTTACGTATCATTACACGCATTTACGTGCAAATACATAAATACTGTTTTAATGTGCACATACATGTAAACGCTCAGTGTTTATGCCATAAATACCAAGCCTTCTCGTTATGGCTACATATATGTAGCCGCAAGAAGGAGCCCGCATCCATCTGCGAACAACATTATATAATGTTCTTCGCAGCTCTGCTGACGAACAGACCACGCCGTTCTTACTATTATCTGGACATCATTTGTCCAACTTGGATAATATTTGATCCACGAGACAGCAAAGAATGACAATTTTAGCACCGGCGATGTACAATTGCTGGTACAAGAAGTGTGCTCGTCAGACAATTTTCCGTATCGGACGTCGCTTCAGCAACCGCCCATCCAATCAACCATCAACGAGCAACGCATAGTAGCAATGTACCAGTTTCAACTCGGCAAAAGGGACAACGAACGTCATAAATCCATAGATACCTTTTCGTTAATATGTTTCTGACCCATCTACACAGTTGCGCTCAGCTGTAGCCGTCCTCTTGCACGGGCGTTATGATGCGTTATGGGCGTTACAATGCACGGGCGTTACCTCGGTGCTGCCTGTGAAGGACACCTTGTCCACGCCGGGGTGGGCGACCAGGGCGGCTCCGGCAGTGGGTCCGTAGCCAGGGAGGATGTTGAAGACGCCGGGAGGCACGCCGGCCTCAAGGGCCAGCTCGCCGAAGAGCAGGGCGGACATGGGCGTCTGCTCGGCAACCTGGGCAACACAGAACAGGGATATGCATGCAGCGGCCATAAGCGCAGGCATCCACGCTGCATGGTTGATTGACTGATGGGTTGATTTGCTTGTTGTTCCGTTGAATGGAATCCAATTAGCAGGCTTGTTTTTTATCGTTTACTTTTACGTTTTTACTTTTGTGTTTCTACGCATAAAGACACAAGTCTGCAAAAGGGCCTATTTTGCGGCTATTTTTGCGTTTTTGAGGCTCCCTGGGAAACACAGGTTACACGATAAAAGTTGCGTACAATGATCAGTCTTCCGCCATCTCCAACACCCACAACACAATGCCCAGCTCGCCCTTGGCAAGGTCGATAATGGCGTTTAACAGAAACTCGTTTTCTGCCCCTTCCAGGCTATCTGGGTGCCACTCTCTGGACTCCGTAAGTATGTATGTGCTGTCTTTATGTACACCGGGCAGTTTTTACGTTGTATTTACGTGGTTTTACGCATTTTTACGTGTAAAAACGTAAAAACTATTTTTACGCATAAAAACGTAAATACGATCAGTCTTTACTGCGTAAAAACGAAGCCTGCCAATTAGTGCTCTGCAATCGTCTACGGCAGCCACTTGGCGTTTTGTGAACGTTTACCAAGAGCAGCAGTGCTGAAGCCAAGAAAACTGACGGGTCCCCCGGCGTTGCGCAAAGGATTTGTGCGACGTCAGTGCCCCGTCACCGCCCGCAATGTGCGAGATCTTCGTTCATCATGGTTTTCTGACGGTACAATCCCAGAAAATGATGACGCCACTGCCGGCACGTGCTCACGTCAGCACATGTGAATCAACTACCGTTGTGCATTGCGCCTTCGCAATCTCACTCGCCCCCGCGCGGTATCCGGCAGAATCTGAAGGCAGCACGCAGCACAGGGTGGGCCACGCGGCAAGTGCCCACGTCCGGCCCCGGCCACCGGCGCACGGACAGCCCGCACCTTGAGTACCACCGTGCAGCCGCACGCCAGCGCTGGCGCCGCTTTCAAAGCCATCATCAGCAAGGGCAAGTTCCAGGGGATGATCGCGGCGGCCACGCCGACCGCCTCGTGGAGCGTGTACGCAAAAGTGTTGCTGTTCGTCTGCAGCGTCTTCCCGGATATCTTGTCTGCCCGCGCCACAGGACCATTGTCAGATTCTGTTAAGGCAGTGATCGAGGTGGTACCCCCGCGGCGGGACATTTGCGAGAATTTGTTCAGGTGGTTCAAGTCGATGCCACGGATGAAACCTCAACCAGCCAGAAGACGCTGGCTTGCTCGCACTCGGGAAGTCTTGCAGCTTTCCACGAGCCAAGCAATGCACAACAACGCTGCATAAACACAGACACCTCGGAGCGCGTACCTGCCCATCCCGCGAAGTACCGGAAATGTGACACGACGAACGGAATGTCGAAACCCCTCGACAACGCCAGCGGCTTGCCGTTGTCCAGCGTCTCGATCCTCGCGAACTCCTCCGCGCGCTCCTCCAGCAGGTCGGCCAGCCTCGACAGCACCCTCCCGCGCTGCCGGCCCGACATCTTCCTCCAGGGCCCGCTGTCGAAGGCCCTCCGCGCGGCGCCCACGGCCCTGTCCACGTCGGCGGCGTCGGCCTCGGCCACCTGGGCGATCACGTCCTCCGTTCTGGGGTCCAGCACGGGGAAGGTCTTGCCAGAGGCCGCATCAACAAAGTCGCCGTCGATCAGCAGCTTGGGCCGGACGTTGCGCAGGATCTGCGCGGGATTGACATCCTGTGCGGTGGGGGACTCGACGGCGGTGGCGAACGGGGCCACGACGAGGGGGCCATGGCGCGCCGGTACCGCCGGGACGCGACGACCGGTCGAGAGGACGCGCCACAGGGGGGAGGCCGAGGCGCTCATGGCTGTGAAATGTGTACGGACTGCCGTGGGGTAAGCCTGGTTCAGAGCAGATTGGGAGGTAGCTGTGTGTGCTGATTCCCGGCTGGCCTTAACGGGCACCAGGGCCGCTTAATATCTCGGGAAAGAGTGACGTGCGGGGGCGTTCTCTGCGTCTAAAGGAACACGCAACGGGGAAGCCAAAGATTACATGATCGCTGCGCGTCCACAGTTGTAAGGTGCCGCGGAGAAACTGGATTGTACTCAGCGACCGGTTCTCGTTCTAAAGCGAAACCGGGTACAACACCGTTGAGCCCCAATTCTCATCCATATCACACTCGAATTGTTCCTTCTTCGCCGCCCGACTTTGAAATTGCTTCCAGTTCGTTCAACATACACAGCTTGTAGTATCAACCAAACAGATACTGCTGCACCCAAGTGGCCATACGTTCGCCCAGCAAGAAGCTTCGCTATTTGTGGTGCACTCGGTGTCTGAAAAGAAGACATGTTCTCTTGGGGCACTGAGATTCATATGATGACACGCTGTCTGATGCCATTTATTAATTAATACCTCACCATTATGTCTCGAACATATGCGCTTGGCAACTAATAGGCAAAATCCCACATTTCCGTTTTACCCAGTATTGGCATCCAAAACCCCATAAGTATCCGCCCCCTTCTCTGGTGGTCTAAACTGCACCCAGATTTCATCCACGTTGATGTTCATGACCCAATGTTTATGGCTTTATATTGCTGACCCTGCGGCGTCGCTATGATTGGTGCATGATGGCACCCCTCTTGGACCTTTACCTACTCCCGTGGCTGGGAAAGGAAGTTTTCCATGGTCGAGCTGCCACAGATTGGTCGGAGTTGCTTCTCAGGCACGTAGGAACCTTGGAGACGCGCTCAGTGACGGTAAAGCCTGTGGGGCAAAACCATGGCAAGTAGATCTTCGGCAACAGGACAGGATGGGAATGGGGGCGTGGGGTGGGGGGCAGTGTGGGAGAGGGGCATGGCGAGCTGCCACGGGTGCGCATTTTGCTTTGAACGTCAAAGTTTGGCGAATGGGAAATAAGGGTTGAGAGGCGCACAGCTGCAGCTACGCTAAGGGAAGATTGTTTGTGCCGGCCTTTGCCTTCCCTTCTTCCACGGTTCCGAACGCCGGTATTTGTGGCCTGTCTAGTGCGTTAGCAAGACAATAGTGTTTGCCATTTCTGGCCCAGAATTGAGATTTCCGAGGCTTGGTTTCAAAACTCTCTCTTTCCGTTCCTTGGCAAAAAATGGATTTAAAGCATGATAATGTCCATGATGCCATGAAAACTGAATCTCAAATGAGGATGTGCCAAGGATAGGCTGTGGATCATGGCTCAAGCTGCTACCCCCAAAATCCTCACTGGAAGCTCGGACACCACACATACCCAACGCCGGTGCAAGCGGCGCTCCCACACAGCCTTGCATGCAAGGCTTGCGCAAGCCGGCTCCCATTCAGAACTCGGGCTTACATGCTTGCTTTTCCGGTTCCAAGTTCGGACAGAAATTTCATTGAGGAATATGGCACAAAACATGGCCAACTTTCTTCCCATCTCACAACCACCGGTGTCCCTGTTTGTAACCCGGGGATCCACCTCTTCACAAGCGCTCATCAAGCAGATCATTCACATTCCCGCTCAGGCACATCCTAATACTTCCTCCGTCCAATATTAATTGTCTTCTATGACTTTGAGGCGTTACTTCTCCATCCTATCAACATGAGTTTAAATAAAATTCATTCCAACTAAGTTGGGGCCAAAAGTCTTTTGGCTGTGAGGTTGAAGTATACTATCAAAATTTCAGTTCAATCCATTAATTCAATATTTAAATATTGCGGATTTTGTAGTACTGTGCAGAAAGAGTCCACTAGCCAGAAAACGGCTGGTTTTCAATGTGGCAGCAGAAACCGCTCTTTTTCGCAGCTTTGAGGAGGCCACCTTTGCGGCAGGGAAACAAAGCCGCACATGCAAAACTATCCGCGCCGTCCAGAGGGGAGGTCATCACGGTGCTTGCAAAGAGTTACGGCGATAGGAAACACGTTTCAAAGCCGCTCATCGCCAAACTCGCCGTGGCTTACGGCTGGAATTTGAAGCTCAAACCAGTAGGTGTGGGCCAGGAATTCTGGGCCAGAACTTTGTGGTCTCCATCGCCGCCGGTAGGACAGACGCGGGAGGTCTCTCAATCCTTTCGGCAAGATGCAATACAAGGTGATGGCTATCACCCCAGTCAATCAAGGATAAGTAGTGAATTGGCCATTCTGGCGGCAATCGCCAATTGATCTCGTTTCGGCGCTTGAAAGGATTCGGAGCTAGGAGGACTGCTAGAAGGGTAAAGTCGTGTCTTTTGAAGCCATCGAGACTCATTAGGCTGTGATGCATTGTGTACCGGGCGCAACAATTGGCCAATAGTGGCCATTGGTGGATTCTGGGCTGAGTTGTACAGGAAAGCCTCGGTGCAAGCATCAATCGAGGCGGAGTGTCCAATCAAGGCTTCAAAGCAGCCTTGGAGAGAGATAGCCCGCACTCAACCCAGGCTTCAAGGTCCTGTACCTTAGCCTTTTCCATCAGTAAAGGTCCGCGCATCCGAGATCGAGGACATCGCGGATTTCCAGCATCTTCGTTGACGTGATGATGGCCACCCTCGAGAAGGATCCAAGCACCGTCGACTGAGTTTGGCAAGAGCTATGCAACTTTCTGGATGCCCCCTTCGCTCCGGCAGTGACAACGACTGTCGTTGCTATTTGCAAGCGAGGGAACGCCCGGGAATTGATGGATCTTTGGGAACGCAGAATCTGAATGGGCTTTCTTTGGACCGACCCTGGCCAACTTTCGGAGGCCGCTCACAGGGTTGAGGTTTGACGTTGTTTTCCCTTGCAAATTAAAACTTCTGAGGGTGTTGATACCCAATCTTTCCGATTCTGGCCATCTTTTTAAATTCAGATGCTATTTTCGCAACGAAATTTCTCATTCAAATAGGCGGCAATTAATCTTGGACGACAAAATACGCCATTGATGTTCTCTCACACAGAATCAGTGTGAGGTATGAGCTACATGGACGCTCCACCACCATCGAAACACAGTGATAAGGCGAAAGTGTAAAGAAGGGTGTCCTGTCCTTCAACACCCTCTCGCCATTCAAATACCACATTTCTGACTACTCAGATGACTTGTGTGCCCATTTGCAAGTTTTAAAGATGCAAACTAAAAAATAATGGTGAAAAGGAATCCGGGCACTATGAAGTTGCGGGAAACACAGCAACAAAATCCCCCACGGCGTTTCTTGCGGACAGGGCTATGAACAAGGCGTTTACATGCATGCGGCATGGCTTTCTTTCAATAGAAACTCATGTTGTCTCACACAACATGAGCGCAATCGAAAACGCATCACATGGGTCAAATCAGGTGCAAAGAAACCGGCATGCAGTGAAAGAAGTGCATGAATGTTTTCAACACTTTTTGTAGTGTCGGTCAGCTCAAGTCATCCCATGCATAAACAGACGGTCTTTGAAATGCAGAGCAATCGCTAGCCATTAAACATATTAACTCCTTCTCAAAAGTCATCTCCGATCTGTGTCGTCTTGGTAACACTTTTGAGAACGACAGAATGAGTTACTTTTCCACCAGATTTGGACTTACTGATCGATTTTAAGCTCATCTGGGTCTTGGTTACATTACTCATCACTACAGGGCACGGCATTCTCAACCTTTTTAAGAATGTCCCTGTCCGGTTCCACGCAGGCCCTCAATTTCCCGAGCTGATGTATGGGCCTTATTCGGGTATGCCCCCATCCATTCCTCCAATGTTCATGAAGAATATTGTTTTCGACAACAAAAGGCACTGATACACCATCTCAAGAGCTCGACATCATTGATGTTGTGCTCTTTGTGGATAGTCTCTTCCACTGTGCTCACTGGCCCAATTGGAATTTTCGACAATTGATCGTGTTTGCATCAATACAGGCAGACTTTTTGTTTAGGATCCACATGCAGGGCCTTTCAAACATTGGGCAATCTGCAAGGTTGATGTTCTTGCACTGATCAAGGTGTCGCTGGGCCTTTGGCTGCCACCTGCACGCAGTTCCTGTTGACACCCCGAAATTTGCTGTGGACTCTGATTCTGTTCCTTGCCAACTCTGTTTGGAACCGAGCCTCATCTTCAGTGCATACCAAACCACCAACGCTCCTACTGACAGCTCAGCTGGGTCGCCCTGTTTGAAGGGCAAGGCAAGCTCGATGTGCCCCATCCAATGTCCGGACAAAACGCAAAGTCGGATTTCGGCCCATCCTGATATATCGCAAGAATGACGGCACTGTTTGGAACATTTGAGGACTCCACGCGTGGCCCTTGACACGGTGCTTCGAAGTTGGTTCAGTCAGTTTTCCTGATCCGCTCGTATTAAGCTTCGTTTACACATATTGGAGATCGCACACGACTTTTGAAACATAGGTAGCAACGGATCCAAACAGTGAGGCGGTGGTCGTTATGTGGGTACGCAAAGAGGATGGCTCTTCCATGCCTATTATGCTTGGATCTGAGAATTTGGAAGGGTGTGAAGGACATGAAAGCCATTGAATGCTCGCTAGCCTCTAAAGGAAGTTCATGGGTTTGCAGCACAGGCATTTGTTGCCATTTTCTAGCGTAAAGTAGACGATGACTTGAGTCCTATTTGAAATTAGAATCAACATCTACGCTTCCGGCTGTTCGATAATCTGTGAGGGAGCCTCTTGGCAAGCTGCACCTTCGTAACTTTCTCTACATGAGTACACAGTGTGTACTATACACACATCAGGGCGACCAACAAGCTGGTATTCTGGGCCGTTAATTAACCATTTATAACTGCTCTATCTCCGCCACGCGAACCCAGAAGTGGCGGGAAGACAAGCGCGTTAAGGACGTGACAGCTGCGGGAAGAGCGCTCCAGGGCCCCTTTCTCCTGACGCACCTATGCAAAGTGGATACCAGCAAGTGGTAGTTGTCGCACGATTGGTGCACGCTCTGCCCATTCTCGATTCGCGATTTCAGCAAATATGTAACGTTCTCATGCGGACGGAAACAGTGACAGCTTTTCATAGTTTGAAACGGCCCCTTATCGGCACGAGGTAGAGTAGCCGGAAAATGCAATGAGACGAGCAGCAAGCAGCGTCACGCGTAGAGTTCCCCCCACTTGTGTTATGTGCGTTTGTTACCGCAGGAGATTTCGCATCATCTTGTCATAGTTTGGAACCGCCATTGTCATTCCTGCGACGCCAGCATAACTCTGAAAGAGGAAAACACAACACACTGGTCGCAATCGCCTCAGTCATGTCCTTCAGATGATATCACACGGCGACATGTATCGAAAACCTTTGGCCTATGTTGATGTGCATGACGAGCGTCTTGACATTCTGCAGAAATAAGTTTCGAGCTTAGAATCCGCTGCTGTCTGTTCCGCAGGACGCCATTTTCAGTGCCATTCTTGAAAAGAGACAAGACGGCAAAGAAACGAAAAACTAGCCACTATCTGCTCACTGCCGGGTCTGCTGGGTGGCGTGTGGCGCGAACTGCGGCCATGGTGCCGCATCCCACACCCCGCAGAGTCACAAAACAGGAAAGAACTCCGAGTGGTAATCATGTGCTCACACGAACACGCTGACGTCATTTGCGTTGAGCTGTCACTCAACGAGACAAGAAGGTTGCCGTAAGGGGGCCAAAATTATGCCCCTAGGGAAGCCCGCATTTGCTTGCTGCCTTCAAAATCGTGGGTCATCCGACAGCGTCAGCAAGTCTTCTGGATGGAGTTCAGCATCCGGGGCGCTTCCAAAGCAGCCATGCCGCAAACACTGCATCTTCCTCGGCTTCGTATTGTGGCAAAGATCCTGGTCGGTATTGTGCTGGGGGGGCCGGATGAGTGGGCAGTTGCCCTCTGTGCGAGACACTCCACAATTTGCTCACCATTTCTGTTGTCCTTTTCTCCTTTCCGTCTGTAAGGCAGTCCTTGCTCCAACCCTGAAAAAGGAAGCCCGCCCCCGAGGCGCCCACCGGCCCATCCTCAGATCCACGCCGGGTCCTCGAGGGGCGTCACAACCGCCTTCACCTCCATGTAGTTGTTCAGCGCGTACTCGCTCAGATCCCGCCCGAAGCCGCTCATCTTGTAGCCCCCAAAGGGCACGGCGTCGTCGAAGTAGTTGTAGCAGTTGACCCACACCGTGCCAGCCCTCAGTCCGCGGCTCAGGCGATTCGCCATGTCCAGGTCCTTCGTCCACACGCCCGCCGCCAGGCCGTAGGGGTTCGCGTTCGCGCGGTCGAGAACTTCTTCGACGCTGCTCCACTTCATGATGGACTGAACTGGGCCGAAAATCTCTTCCTGCGCTATGCTCATCTCGTCGCGCACGTCCGAAAACACAGTGGGCTCCACGTAGTATCCCTTGGGGCCCGCCCGCCCACCGCCGCAGCGCAACACCGCCCCCTGCGCACCGACGTCGATCAGTCATTCTGGTGATCAATGGGTGAAACAATTAGTCTCATATGTGTGTATGTGGCAATCTTGTACGCCCAAGGTTGGACGGCGGTGGCTGACATGGGGAATGGTGCCGCGACCAGCAGCTCGCCAGTGTATGGTACAATGTCAAGGCGGGGAATCCGCTGTTGGCTCCCTTGAAAGGGAACCCGACGGGGGCGAACAAGTTTCTACTCAAGAGCGGCAGCGTCAGCGACTTGTTGATTGCCAAAAAGGAACTGCAGCAGTGCACAACGTTTATGGCTACCAGATACCGGTGAAATCCGCCAGTTCCTCTCGTCCAGAACCATTTGCGGATGATAAGCCACACCCCAGACATTGACCCAACACGCACACGCCACCCACCGCCCGCCCCTGTTGAGAATATGTTAGTCCCTCTGTCCTTTCTGTGAAGATCCCTTCTTCTTCCGCTGACAAGGCCAACGCCGGTCGGTGGTCAGCGGCTGGTTTAGGGTTAAGGGTGTCCGAAACAAGAAAGGATCTTCGCGGAAAGGACAGAGGGACTAATTTCATGCCGTCCCTGTTTGAGCAGGCAAAGTTCGCCGTACGGTGACACTGAGTAAAGGACCAACTCGTGCAGCGGTCACACAAGCTTTTTCTGCACCTCGCTTCGCCGTGAACCCCACCTGCGCCTTGCCCGCCTTCATGTAGCCCAACACCTTCTCAAACTGCGCCGAGTCCACCAGCGGGCCTATCTGCGCGTCCCCGAAGGGGTCCCCCACCGTCGCTCGCTGCGCCCGCTCCACCGCCCTCTCCACGAACTCGTCGTACAGGCTCTCGTGCACATAGGTGCGCGAGCCCGCGCAGCAGTTTTGGCCGTGGTTGTAGAAGAGCGCCATGTGGGTGTCGTCCACAACGGACTCCAGGTCAACGTCCGGGCAGATGATGGCCGCGGACTTGCCGCCCAGCTCCAGCGACACGTGTTTGATGCCGCCGGCCGCGGCGCGCATCACTTCGCGCCCCACCTGGCGCAGGGGAGCGCCTTGTCAGCAATGGGAAGTGCTGAAGCACTGCACTTGCGCTGGAGGAAGTTAATTGCAGCCGGACAATGTGGGCCATTTGCAGCATGCCGACTTGCCGCAGCAAGCGCAGCGGGCTGTCAGCAAGTCGGGGAGCTGGAACGGTGCTCAAATGCTGAGGCCGCTGTGGCGGCGCTTGAGCCGCGATTGTGGTGTGCGGTTATCCTCCATTTTGGGGCAGGTTTGTGGCGGGATACGTGCAGCCTGTCCTGCCTTGTTTCGTTCTTGTTTGATGTCTTTTGGGGTGTTACCACCGCACACTTGATTATCTGTTGGTTGTTCCAGTACGTTGTGCATAGTACATGTTGATCTAAAGTGATCCACAGTACTGGAGCATAACATCAATGCATCAGCAGCAGATCTAACATCAACAGCTTATCTTTGTGCGCCTTCTCCGGTGCACGATCAGCTGTGCAGTTGGCAAACTTTCCTCTGGAACAGTGCAAACAAATTGATGCACTTGTGAATACTTTCAGCATGTGCATGGATTACATAAAACTGGTGAAACCCTGCATGCATTAGCAATGCATTAGCGTTCATGCAGGACCAAATTAATGATCAGTAAGTTCACAAACAACAGAATGCAACAACTGCAATCAAAAAGAGCCTTTTTCGGGCGAGCTTCACCAGCATCCTGCGGTTACCTCTGTGCTGCCTGTGAATGAGACCTTGTCCACCCCAGGGTGGCTGGCCAGGGCTGCGCCAGCAGTGGGGCCGTAACCGGGGAGGATGTTGAGGACGCCGGGGGGCAGGCCGGCCTCAAGGGCAAGCTCTCCGAATAGGAGGGCAGACATGGGTGTCTGCTCGGCGACCTGGGAGGACACCATGCAGCGATTGTGAGCACAGGGCCTGCATAACGAAGGTGGCTCGATTGAGCAGGGCAAGCAATGTGCATCCTTGCAGTTGCTCCCACACGATGAAGAGAAATGTCGATGCGCAGGAAATGGACAGGCAGGGACATACATAAAATATCTGAATGACAGCATGTGTCTGTCATAATATCCTTTCCGACCATGTGCGTACTCAGCGATGTCAGCAGAACGTTTACAAAGCGTATCCTATGTTCCCAATCAGTTTCCGTCCACTTCCACATGCAACAGATCTGGGTACTGGAGGTGGGTAAATGCACGCCTGCGTTCGATGACTTCCACCTCATAACGGCCCAGACGATGCCCGCAGCAGCTTTCCGCACTGTCTATATTGTACAAAGCTGGATACAATGCTGCTGCGTCGAGCCTGCAGTTTCTGTGTTTGCTTTATTTTCCTTCCTGAAAGTGTGTCCAGTATGCACACAGAACACAGCCGTCCAGAGCGACTATGGGGCACGTAACTTCCCAATGCGCTACGTTTCCCACGCAGCGGTTGCGTCATGCAACTTGGCAATGGCTGCAGGTTACACAGGCAGCGTAGCACAGCTGTCCACAGGCTTCAATTAGTAATGTTAGTGCAGCGTTCTGTTTACTGGCATCCGCAAACTGATCCACCAGCGCAGTAGTTTGTGCCAGTCCTACGGAGTTCCAGAGCCCGATCCCAAACTACGGCACAACAAAACCACATGGGCGTGGAAATAATATTACTGCCTGCACCAAATCGGTAACCGCTTGCACCAAGTCACGTGCACACTTTGTCCTAACCTCAATTTTAGGGTTAGGTTTAGTTTCAGGGTGAGTTTTAGGGTTAGGGTTAAGGTTAGGACAGGTTTAGGTTTTAGGTTAGGTTAGTTTGGACGGAGTTGGACATGATGTGCACGTGACTTGGTGCAAGCAGTCACCGATTTGGTGCAGCCAGTAATTTTATGCCCATGGGCGTGAGGGATGACACGGGCACACGTCAGCGCATGCGAACTGGTGGCCGGGGCAAATCTATATCGTCAGGGAACCGGGGGCTTCCCGATGTCACTTTTCTTCTCACCCACTGGTTGGCTGCCCACACTTCTGGGCACCGGGCACGCTTCTTTCTTGCCGGCGCCCCAAGAAAACCCCACCTTGAGGACCACCGTGCAGCCGCACGCCAGCGCGGGCGCCACCTTCCAGGCCAGCATCAGCAGCGGGTAGTTCCAAGGGATGATCTGGCCGGCCACGCCGATCGCCTCGTGCAGCGTGTACGCAAACATGTTGCCGTTCGTCTGCAGCGTCTTCCCCGAGATCTTGTCTGCCCACGACACAAGACAGTTGTTGGAACCTGCTCAATGCTGTGTAAGGTCGTGGCCGGGGCACAGACAAAATCTTGAGGTGTCGACGACCCAGGCCTGCTCGAAGGGTGACATCGAGAGCCCGGTGCATTGTGCATTCAACCGAGAGGCGAGGCTGCAATTCCCTTTCATGCCAGATCGCCAAGCGCCGCACTCTGCCTTTGGCATAACTACTTGTTTGCCCGGTTCAAGCTGGGGACGAAGGCGCGTTGAACGACAGCACAACACCGTTTGTACCCCCGAAGCCTACCGCGGCAACAACCCCATTTTCCCCCACAAGCTTGAACATATCGACGGCTGGCTCCAGGGGAACAATTCGAGCAGCCGCTCAGGTTCTGTTGTTGGCCAGGCTTCATGCGCCTCGGGGGCTAGCGGGATTGGTCTTGCGCCGCGCACATCCGCACTGGCCGCTGCCCCTCGGTTCGCTGATGGCGGTTTCCGCCCTCCATGTGGCACAGCGCTCGCGCAATTGCGAGCACGGCGATTGCTGGGCGCCAGCAACAGGCACCATTCCGGTCGCAAAGCGCCGCTTAATTCGTCCAAAGCAGGAAGTTGACGGGTGGGCATGCATTCACGCACCTCAGACTCGCAGGCAGGTCCAAGCTGGGCGCGAACATGCGCCACACTCGCAATTGGATTGCGCACATGGCCAGGGGAAACGACGCCCTGAAGAGTCTGAACGCAACTCCCCGCCATCCGTTGACGGCGACAGCACGAAGACCAGCAACAATGTGCGGACACACGCGGCCAGCTCCACCTCCGAACACACACCTGCCCATCCCGCGAAATACCGGAAGTGCGAAACGACCGCCGTCACGTCGAACGCCCTTGACTCCGCCAGCGGCTTGCCGTTGTCCAGCGTCTCTATCCTCGCGAACTCCTCGGCGCGCTGCTCCAGCAGGTCGGCCATCCTGGCCATCACCTTCCCGCGCTGCCGCCCCGACATCTTCCTCCAGGGCCCGCTGTCGAAGGCCCTCCGCGCGGCGCCCACGGCCCTGTCTACGTCGGCCGCGTCGGCCTCGGCCACCTGGGCGACCACATCCTCCGTTCTGGGGTCCAGCACCGGGAAGGTCTTGCCAGAGGCCGCATCGACAAAGTCGCCGTCGATCAGCAGCTTGGGCCGGACGTTGCGCAGGATCTGCGCGGGATCGACATCCCGGGCGGTGGGGGACTCGACGGCGGTGGCAAACGGGGCCACGACGCGGGGGCCATGGCGCGCCGGTACCGCCGGGACGCGACGACCGGTCGAGAGGAGGCGACACGTGGGGGAGGCCGCGATGCGCATGGCTGCAAAGGGCGTGCGGAAAGGTGCGGGGCGGGGGGGGGGGGAGGGGAAGCGTGGCCTGTGCGGGAGGGTTTGGGGGAGGGGGGAGTAGGGTGGCCAGTCCTCGGATTCGGTGTGATTGGCAGGAGCGAGATTGACGTACGTCGGCGCTTATGCAGCGCCAGGGTGGCAGATGTAAAGCAGCCTACTGCAGCTTGCAGCAGCACTAATGCATGATGATGTGCTGCTGCGGGCTGTTGACAGCGCAGTCATGTGTCCGTGGGGACGGCAGCGTGAGGAGCAGGGCACCAAGAGACAGATGCAAGGCTGGTCTTACAGAACAAAAGGGCCAAAGGGCGTCACGCCACATATATGCCCGGTACTGTCAGGTACTGTACTAGACGGGAATATGTAACAGCGCTGCAACACCAGTGCGGCCGTGGCTGATGGCATCGGCATTGGATGTTGATGGCATTCGCCTGATTGTTTGGCGAACTGTTTTGCAAACGCCCATCTCCCTGAAATAATATTACTGCCTGCACCAAATCGGTGACTGCTTGCACCAAGTCACGTGACACTTTGTCCTAACCTCAATTTTAGGGTTAAGTTTAGTTTCAGGGTGAGTTTTAGGGTTAGGGTTAGGGTTAGGACAGGTTTAGGTTTAGGTTTTAGGGTTTAGGTTTTAGGTTCGGTTAGTTTGGACGGAGTTGGACATGATGTGCACGTGACTTGGTGCAAAAAGTCACCGATTTGGTGCAGCCAGTAATTTTATGCCCACCTCCCTGCCGTGCGTGACTCACCCCAGGCCCGGCCCAGCGTGGCGGGCCCCCACACTCAATAGCGGCGCCGCGGCCGCCACCCTGTACGACCCTCAGATCACCCCTGGCCCTTTTTCGACACTTTTCGGTCCCCCTGGCCCCCCACCTGCAACGTCGCCCCCACCCCTGTACAGATACGGGACAGCCCATCCCACCACAACAAAAATCCCCCCCCCCCGCCCCCTGTTCTCCAGGCCTTGGGGCGACCACCGCCAAGGGCGGGCCGCCGCGTAGCGCAGCTCCAGCGAGCGCTCCGCGCGGTCGAATTTCCCAAGTCGCTTCTTCCTGCGCCGATCGGCTGCGGCGATTTTCGAGCGAAGAAAATCGGCGCGGCTTTTGGGAGGGGCGCCTCGCGGGGCGCGCGCCAGGGACTGGGCTGCCCGCGGGGAAGCGGAGGGGCGGCTTGAGCGCCGCGGGGCTGGCCGGTCCGGCGGCCGAGAGGCCATGGACCACTTCAAGGCGCAGCTGCTGCCGTCGTTCCGCAAATCCAGCGAGATGGGGGCAGCCGACAAGGTGCGGCCGCGAGGGCGGAAGACGGGGACCGCGCGAACGGCGAACGCGGCTGCGGGGGGATGCGGTGTTGACGGAAAGGGGTGGCGGGCTTGAAATGCAGGGGGAGTGCGGCAAGGACAGACGGGCGCACCACCAGAGGGCGCAGTCGCTGGCAGGTGCGTTTGGGACTGCGCTGTTCTGTACCGCGCGGGGGCTGCGGAGCGCGAGGGCGGAATTCCGAGGCTGACGCCGCGTGGCTTTTGCCCTGCAGGGCCGCTCGCCAGCACGATCACCACCGCCACGGTAGGGGCGCGACGGCAAAGCCTTGCAGGCCTGATGGTCCTCCGCGACGCCCGGGGGGCCATGGTCCCGCCGCGTACCCCGCGGGCGCCGAACACTGACGGTTGAATTTGCGTCCCCAGGCGGAGGGCGTCGAGCCAATCGGCGCTGCCTGCGGGGAGGATGGCCTGCCGCAGGTGCGGGGGGGGGCGGTGCCGAGGCGCGAACGCCTTTGCGATCTCTCTTCTCGCAATCGGAGAGTCACGCACGGCTTGGGTTTGGCGTCGCGGCCGCGCTCGAGCTCCCGGCTCGCTGCGCGCTCCGAGCGGCGAGTCGATTGGGGCTGCGGAGGCCCAGCGGTATCGACGGGCGCAACTGCCGATTGCGGGATGGCGGATCGGATTGGAGGCGCGGCACGGGGAGGGGCCCTGCGGTGCCGGTTGCCTCTCGCGAGTTGGGGTTCGAGGCAGGGCGGGGCGAATGGCTGGGAGGCGATCCTTCTCGCCTGGCTTTCGCTGGATCGACGGGCCAGGGCTCCGGCGCGGGGCGGCCTTTCTGGCTTTGCGGCCTTTTGGCCGGTGGAGACGCTCCTGCGAGACGAGGCCGCGATCGCGCTTCCCGCCGTTGTGTGCTGAAGGTGCGAAACTGCGTTTGGGGTGGGCGCAGAGTATGAAGAACCTGAGCATCAAGGACGTCAGGCACCAGTCGGAGATGAGCGAACGGGTGAGAACGGGCTTTTGCCGATGTATTCTTCTGTTGGCTCTTGAGAACACGCTGCGCATTGGAACACTTCGTTCCGGCAAGAATACGGCGGACCCTTGTCCGCTTTGCAGCGCAATGGAAGCCACGGACATCCGAATTGGAACCGAAGCTAGACCCATGCAAGGAAAAATCTTGTGCATGAGCTTGTTGTGCACTGGCTGTGCGTTGCTGTGCAACGGCTTGTGGGGAGGTGCGACACCAAACAAATGATTGTGTGTCTCCTGGTAGCAAGTATCTGGGCATGTCGACAACCCGGAATCTCATGGCCTGACCTTGTGTGGAGGGGCTCATATCCTCACATCACAGAGCACTGTGAGGTTCACTAAGACAGCTAAATTACTGTGTCCCAATCTTAAAACGGTACCCACACATGCTTCTACCTATGTGTCCTTGGTAGGGTTGCTTTACTGGATGCATTCATCCATTTCCTAAGTTGCAGCATGCTTCCGAAGGGTGCTGGTGTTGCATGCGAATTTGTTGAGCACCTCTACTGTGACCTCTTTGGAGTGTGATAGTGTGCTTGAGAGCCCCCACAGAAGTGCAAAATCTGAATCCCCACAGCATCATGCCTGTGCACAGTATCGTCTGAATGGTGCAGGCGATGTTTGCTTGCAAGCTTGCATACCTCGCCACACCGGCACCTGTTGGCCTAATTAAGCACTGTGCACTTGAGTTTAATCGAGTCCTTTGGCAAGGCGTGCTCATTTTAGGCACAGCAGGGGTGCTTGTAAGGGCCCCAACCGTGTGCACTGCTTGAGCAAGCTGGCGTGCCTTGCTGTGTCACACATTCATAGCCTCAAGACTTGGGGGCCTTCTGGGGACTATTTGGAATGCATGTGCGTGTGTTTTCCATTTGTTGCTGTCCTGTGTTGCGATTGTTGCTTGTGTGTCAATATGATGGTCTCTCAATCTCAAACTTGCACAAGTGTGTGTGCCCCATTACTCTGGAGCATGTTTTGCTAAATTTGGACGATTGCAAGCACACGATGAGCCTACATGGACAACGTTCAATACCATACGGGAGTTGAAATGATGGAAGATGCAAAATAAGGAAATCACGAAAGAAGTACAGAGTAAATATAGAACGATGAAAAAAAATGATGTGCACATTGATGTTGTTGCATAACAAGAGACATTGACTTGACAAGTTTTTGCACTTCTCTCAGGTCGTGGAAGGAAAAGTCAAGGACAAGGGCAACCCAAAGGGACAGGGCATTGTGGTGGAGATGACAGTAAGGAGCTCTGAGGGCCGTCATACAAAGGTCACCTACACCACTGAAAAAGTGGTGGGGAATGGCTCCTTTGGTGTGGTGCACAAGGCGTCCTGTGCAGAGACAGGGCAGACGGTGGGTTCCTTTGTTTCCTCACGATTATGGCTGCTACTTGGATCCCTGTGGGATCGCACCAGTCTTGCCTTTGTCTTTTTGTGGAAGATGTAATCAGCACAGTGGCCTCCCCACTAAGGTGGTAATTCTTTGTGAGCCAGAGAGAAGACTTGATAGGCAAGCAGTATTTTTAGTTATCCAGAAGAAATCCTGGGATTTGGGCACCCTGCCCTCCTGGTAGCAATCTAAAGCGCTGCGTCTGATCGCCAGACAGTTGGGTTGACAAGATTTGAACGTCCTTTTCTTGCACAGGTTGCCATAAAGAAAGTGCTGCAGGACCGGCGCTTCAAGAACCGGGAGCTACAGATTATGCGCCTGTTGGACCACCCCAACATCGTGCGACTGCAGCACTGCTTTGCAACCCGCAAGGAAGATGGCGAGACCTACTTGCACCTCGTGCTAGAGTACATCCCGGACACCGTGTACCGGATATGCCGGCATTACTCCAAAAACGCCAGCAGGATACCCATTCTGTACACCAAGATATACGTATACCAGATGTGCCGGGCGCTGGCACACCTGCACAAGATGGGTATCTGCCATAGGTGGGACTCTTGTGTTCTGCTTGTTCACTATTGAATTGGAGAAAATAATGTACTGAGTGCCTCTTTCGGTTTGTTTGTGTTGAAAATGGGAAGTCTGGCGCCAAAATAACTGCTGTGTGATTGAAGTTTCGGACATAGCAAGTGTGTGTGGAACTGTCGCATTAATCTCCCGTACCACACAGAATCCGCGGAGGAGATTGGTATTGCCACAGGTGTTGTATTTGGACATTTTCCTTTCAACCTAAGGTCGAATGATGTTTTTCCATGTGTCCGTCATACACCAAAAACATTGGGAATAAGGTTCGACCAAGTCCAGCCATATGGAGGTTCGACCTAGTCCATTGTCTGATAACCTTCATTTCAGAAGATGAACGCTATGAAGGTAATCAAGAGTTGAATGGTTGGCAATCTGTAGCAAAGACATCAGTACATTTTGCGACGAACTGCGAGGAATGTTTTGCAGTGGGGGATGTTTAAACCATTTGTGAAAGATAGAGTTGGTGTGCCACAGGGACATCAAGCCTCAAAACCTGCTGGTGAACATCGAGACACAGCAGCTGAAGCTGTGCGACTTTGGGAGTGCCAAAGTGCTGGTGAAGGGGGAGCCAAACATCTCGTACATCTGCTCCAGGTACGGCTGGCACGGAGCGCTGAGCTATTTGCACAAGTCGAGAACATATTCCATTCAGAGATTGGGGTACCAGTCCTGAGATTGGGGATTTCACCTTCAATTTTCTCCTTTCCTGTGGCCGCCTGACTTGGATGCATTGAAAAGATGTCCTCTAACATGCCCTGTGGATGGAACGATGGTCGACATCTCCTTGTAGGCACTAAAGCTGTGTCACTTACTGGCGGCATAGCCTCACAGGCTCAAGGGCAGTCTTTGTCGAAATGCTGAAAAATACAGCAAACAAGTGCTAATTGTGATTCGGCAAAATATTTCCAACTGATTGTTGTCTCCAGGTATTACCGGGCGCCAGAACTCATATTCGGTGCCACGGAGTACACAACGGCGATCGACATGTGGTCCATAGGTTGCGTGATGGCGGAGCTTCTTCTTGGCCAGCCCATGTTTCCAGGTGGGCGCATGTCTTTGCCACCACTTCATGCCTCTCCGCTCTGAACAAAGTGCCGTATGCAGCAGATCTGGTGCTGTCGCTGTCCAAACGGAAGAGGCAGGGTCCTCTTCTGCCCTGGAAGGCAGCATGGGGGCACGTGAACACACGCTAATTCTGCATCTTACCATTGCATGGGTGCCTGGTTGCCATCCCAAGCGAGAGGCATTCAAGAGGCTCTGATCCCATCCCCCACACCCTATGCCCCCAGAAAACAAAGAAGAGAAAGAGATGGCCTTGCGGCCGTTGCAAGACAGCACTCACTGGCGTGAAGCCACAATGAGAGTACACCCTGTTATTGTAGGGGTGCGTTTTCCTTCACAAACACATGATACAAAACCCAGTACCAAAAGACAAGAAAAAAAGATGATCTGCTATTTGCAGGATTGTGTATGGCAGTGTGGAGCTTCGGTATGTGATGTATAGCGGGCATGTGCATCGAATTGTTGTGCCAAAGTACAGATTCGCCCATTCGCACCTTACTGTGAGAGTACACTGTTGAAGTAGTGCAGGCAATGGCATTGCACACTGTACATGTGTTCAGCATTTTATCCCATTTTATCCCACTTTATTGTAGCAGTTTTGTTGTCCTGTACCACTGCCCAGCGCTTCTTTCCAAAATCTGGTGCCAGCAATTGTTTCCGATACCCTTTTTCCAGCAGTTTGTGCCATTCATGTGCCAAGTGCATTTCCTCAGCATTTTAGTCCAGCACATTGCTTCAGTACGTTACAACAGTATTGCATTCCCTGCCAAGCCACCCTGTATTCAACTCGGTGCTGCTTCGGCTCAGGTGAGAGTGGCATCGACCAACTGGTGGAAATAGTGAAGGTTTTGGGCACGCCAACGAAGGAGCAGATCGTCTCCATGAACCCCACCTACACAGAATTCAAGTTCCCTCAGGTGGACCCTTGCTCCCTGAAAAAGGTTTTCAAGAAGGTCCCCGCAGACACTGTGGACTTGGTGAGTTGAAGCCTATGCCTTGAAACTGCGCCGCAGCCACCCACTTCAGCCCTCCTCTTCTGGGCAATTGTGTGGACATGTCCACGCACGCCAGCACATGTACATGTAGATGGCCAGTCGTCAGTACAACGCTTGCGAATTTATGGCCAGTGATTGGTAGATGGAGCGCGGAGGATTGTGTTATTGAACGTGCGTTCATTGGATGTCAGTCCTCAGAAAAGCCACTGTAAAAACGGCCAGTGCACCTTGTAGGCGATGATGATGTGCGATTGTGTCAGAAACGGTGCAGTGTCAGATGCCATAAACGATATAGCACACCTTGGTGGTACGGTATTTGTGTGCAACAGGTGAATGAACAAGCACAACAGAGCAATCATGAAATATGGTAATCCATTCAATGTTTGGAATGGATACTGGTGCACATTCTGGAAGTGCACTCTGGCGAGGTCAGAAGCACTTGCCTGTGTTGGTGTACACTGATGCAGTCCTGGACATGGTGAGGCTGTTGGTCGCCCTGTGGCATTGAGTGTTGGATGCTGCAATGTTGCAGGTGTCTAAGTTTCTTGTGTACACACCTGCTGACCGCATAACGGCCATTGGCGCGTTGGCACATCCATGCTTCGATGAGCTGAGGAATGCAGGGGGTTTGCTGCCAGATGGTGAGTTTGGAATGGTTGGCTGCCAATGCTCAGTGCAAAGGATTTTCTGCCCCGTTTTATTGCCTATGGCTCCTTTTTGTCCTATTTTTGTCCCTTTACAGTGGCTGATGTCTGTTGAAAGGCAATGAACTGAGTATCCACCTGCTCCTTCCAGGCTCCCCCATGCCGCAGCTCTTCAATTGGGTGCCGGGCGAATTGGACTGCACGACGCCGGAGCAGCGCACCAAGCTTGCGAGCTGCAGCTAGTTGCTGCTGCGCACACCGCTCCGAGTCGCGGGACATCGCCGTGCAGCTCATCTGCGATTCCCCCAACGGTCCTCGCCCCCATCCCGTGGGGCACTGAGGCTGACATCGGCAGATGGCCCTGGAGAATGGGCCAGCACGCTGAAGGCCTGCATGGCGTCCTGTGGGATTGGATGACGCAGTTGTGGGAGCTTCTTGCCTCTTCCGCCTGCATTGTTCGTCCCGCGGCTGGGCCGTGTCCTCGAGGAGCCTGTTCACAAAGCAGCAGTGCCATTCTTTTGGATTTTGAGATGAATCACGCACAGACAACGCACACTCACGCAGACACACAGACACATACACACCTGCACGAACACACACACATGCACAGAGTCATCATCGTGTGCAGAGGCCGCGAACACACGCGTTCTCAACGACGTGATTAGGGCCTCGCATACCAGCGGTTGGGGGTGGGGTAGGGCGCCATTGGACGGCTCAAATAGAATAGGAAGTCAGTGTGGGCAGTGGTGCCCGTATTTGTCAGAGCCAGGGGTGGCGGATGGGCCAGGCTGAGCCTCTCAATTCCAATGTGCCAATGCTGTGCGAGAAGAAGTCTGTAGTTTCCATATGATGTTGGTGACAGAGGAAGGTGCGGCCCCAAGGGAACGTGCGAATGAGCGAGTCGATTTATCAGCCTGGGGCAAGCATGGTCGGCGTGGGAGGTGGTGTAGCCTTGTGGCTGGCAGCGGCAAGGCTTGAGCCACTCAGGCCGAGGCGAGCAGTCGTGCTCACACAAGCGGCGAGGTTATGGTTGGCCGATGTGAAGAGTCTGGCTTGAGTGGACTCTGTGCGTGGGCGCGAGAGAACGGGATTTGATGGGAACTCAGATGGTATTAGAATGATCCAGAATAAGTCACACGTGCTGGTATTCCGCCGCACTGAAAATAGTCGACACATTCTCCATTTTGCTCTTGAGGAGCGCCTTGTTGGTGTCTTCTTCAGTTTTCCCCTGCCCATCCGTTTCTTCTCCTGCCATTTCTTTTTGTTTTGGTTCTTTGCCTTTTCTTTTCCATTTATCTTCATTCTTTTACTTTTGCTTCTGTCTTGCTGCTTTCCTTTGTTTCTCCCTGCGGCTTGGTGACACGTTCGACCTGGTGTTCGCTGAGCGTGATGCACGAGTCGAAGGGCGAGTGCCCATTCACAATGCAGCTGCACTGGGCCCGCGGTTTCATCACCCCTGTCGGAATCCAGAAACGTGTCAATCGGAAGTGGTGATGGTACCCAGATGTGATCAGCGTTTCGATCGTCCCGCTGACCAGCTGCCATCCACGTGTGGCCGCTCGACCCGCTGGCAATGGCAGCGCAACTCTATGGCAAAGCATGCCAATGCGGTGCCATACACTCCGTATGGGCCAACGAGCATCGGTGCTCGTTGCCCCGCTCAACTCCCAGAGGTGCCAACGGGCAAACTAGAGGCAGGCAGTGTGGCAGTAGCCTGAAAGGTGCAGGGGCGCCGCTTTGTCTTTCAAAGGCATTGTTACTGAGGCCGCTATATGCACAAGGAGACACGACACACATGGCGTGCATGGTTTACATGAAGGGTGAGACGGTGACAGTGTGTAACAGAACATGACTTGGCGTCCAACGCAATACTGCGTATTTGACCCGGAGCTTATCGTTTAAGCCATCCTTAAGGTCTGCCTCCTGTGCCTGGCTACGGCCGTGGGTGAGAGTGTGCCAGGCGCTGATCAGCGCTGTTTGTCGCGATAGTTACACAAAGGAATGGGCCGAGGGGCAGGGGAGTCAGCGTGTCGGGGGCTCCCGTTGCAGGGGATTGAACGCGCTCTCAGGGATGTGGAGCGCGTCTGGCCAGCGCTGTGCTCGAGGCCACAGTCGGTCGGTCGGTTGGCGCACCTGGGCGTGAACCCGCGTGTGGATGCCTGGGTGCACTGGTTTGCAGGTAGACGGGTGCAGGAATGTCTTGCCACGGCCCAGGTACGAATGCTGGGTGCAGTGCCCACAAGCTCAAAGTGCGCCATTGCAATTTTGAGGCCAGGACATTTTGGCAGCGCACTGAGCCACGGCGTGACCTGTGTGTTGCGAACCAAGGCAGGGGATGGATGCCGACCTTGCATGCGATGCCTCTGCCCCGACACTACTTGCCTGCCGGCAATCTGATCCAATGATGTGACAGCCCTTTACATCGTGTACATACAATGGCCAACAGAGTCGCAACAAGATTGAAGCAAAAAGAACTGGCAACTGACAAGAATTGCACTATGCCCCCTGGCGTGCTTTCCGCACAAGAGCTGAGAAACAGGGCGCCTGTGCCCCGTGCCCGCATCGTCCAAGCCACTACGGCAACCGGGCGCAGGAAGTTCGCACTCCAGACCGGGAGCCGGCCCGTCAGAGTCGGGCACCCTCGTCCCCTAAAGGAAGCCGTGTATTCCAACCGGACCCGGTTTCGCCCGCCAGAAGCAAAATACCAGCTTGCTAATGTACACAGCCCACCCAACCCCACTGTGTGGCGGCCGGGTCCTAGTCAAGCGAACACGGCGGGCTGCAACAAATGGCGGTGGCCGCGCTCTTGCTGCCTCCGATACTCCGATACGACTGCGACGCGTTTCCCAAAACGTCACTTGCAAAATTGTCACTGACCCGCCCTTAGGGCCAGCAAACAACCTTGTTCCCCTATCCGCCACCCCGCCCCGGTGCCGCGGCTCACTGCCCCACCGGAAAGGTGGCCATGGCCTCCCGCACCGCCCGGCACCGCCACGAGCAGTACACCCCCTCCCCGCCATCCCCCTGCCACGCGCCCCAGGCCCTGCATCCCGCGCACTGCCTCAGCCCGCTCCTCAGCATCTCCTCCAGCCCCGCCAGTCCCTCCCCCTCCCCCCTCTGCCTCAGCGCGTCGAATCCCGCCCTCAACGCCGCCAGCTGATCGCCACTGATCGCGGCTCCCGCGGCCAGCAGCTGAGCGGCGCAGTCCACGTGGGCGTGATCCATGCCGTCGGCGCCGCTGGTGAACTGGACGTCGCCGCCGATGCCCATCACGCGCACGGACTTGCGGAAGAGGCGGCAGGGGTGCTGGACGGCCCAGGCGATCGGGGACTCCGGCGTTTCGGGCACGCGGCCCACCAGGCGCTCGACCACGACGGCGGTGACGTCCACGCGCCCGGGCTTGTCCAGGAGGCGGGAGACGTCGGGCGGGGGGCCGGCCAGCAGAGCCTGCGGGAGGAGGGACAAAGCACTGGGTGAGGCGCGGCCTTTTTGTATCCAAATTGACGACTGGTGTCCGAATTACATCTCAAATGACTGGGTCACAAACCCAAATGGAGGCATTGTCCGACATCCGCCACTTGCAGATGATGGGTACTACGGATAGATACCCTGGATCCATCATCTGAACAAAACATATCCGGATTCTGGATACTCAAAGGATTGTCTGCTACACATCATTTTCGGATAGGTCATAAAGGGGTCGTGAAGGTCACGGAGCGTAGTAGGGCCCTAGAAAGCAACAACCTGAAAAGCTCTAAAACCCAAAAATGCACTCCATGACTGAAACTGAAGGGTATCGGACATCTGTGAGGTGTTGATGAATGCGCGTTGCCATTATGTCTCATGTACCAAACATGCTATGGTAATTGTGGACCACAATTTGTGGTGGATCTGGGCTTGAGAGCAACGAGGGTGTGTTGGTGCTGCAGGACTGCAAACCTGTGGACGTCTGAGCAAAGTGTTGGTCAAAAATGTTTGAGGGTAGCCAAGTTGTAGAGATTAGGAAATGGAAATTCAAAAAACAAAAATGCAAAGGCGTTTGCGTTCACATTCACAGCATGAAGTTCACACGCAAGCATCATGCTTTCGTCTTCATTCTTGTCGACGACGATTCTTGTCGACTGTGCACTGCAAAGTGGAACGACTCCGCTGCATGCATGCTTGGCAAGGGGCGCTCCATTGGCCGCTGTGGGTACTTGGGATCATAACACTTCTTGGCACACACACACCCGCAAGCACTCCGGCCTCCCATAAGCACACGCCAGCAGAAGTGGAGAGGGGAAGTCCTCCATGACTGGCGAAGAGGGCTCCTCCTGCTGCATATGCCCTGTCTCAATGTCCGCCCCGTGCTCCATCAGTAGGCGAACGATTTGCGGATGGTCCATCAGCACAGCCAGATGCAACAGGGTCAGGCCCCGGCGGGTCTCCATGTTGATGTTCACCCGTGTGCCCGAGGTTAGCAATGTCTGGCCACAAACACCAGGAACTGGATTGTAAATGTATATGCAGCCAGCCTAGTGCTCTATGAATGCAGCAGCCAGAACATCATCCGGAGCAGATCTTGAAAGCAGCATCTCCCCGCGTGCTGGTTGAAGGGGTAGTCAGCACGCAAGCTGCAAAAGACTACTATGAATCAAGGGGAACATAAAAATGTTGCATTGCTGAACGAATGTGATCGTCAAGTATTTGGGGCTCCAAACAGGCAGGACATCACAATCAAGAGACATCCCCTGTCGCCTTCAGAGGCCTGACAGCAAGACACAAGGCGCCTGCACAACAGCTGTGCCATGGCATCTGCAAAAGGTACCAATTGAATCAACAGCTCCGCAGGGGTCTAGAAATCAAAAGTCAACATGGATGAGTGCTTTGGGCAGCTTGAACCATGGGCAGTTGGCATAAGACATTGGAATGATGGTAATCAAATTAGGGCAAATACGCTGCTCGGTTTACACTGCCCCGCGTGGTAATCACAAGGCGAAAGGGCATCCTGTTGCTTTGTGAGAACACCCTTCTAAGGTGGCAAGGCGCATAGTAGCATGGTATCAAAAGCTGGGAAGAAGGAAATGAAACACCGATTGTTGCAGCTCACGCGAATCGGCCTCCCTGCCTGGTAAGAAAGACTCACCTGCACAATGCTTGCATGGCCAGCCATCACCGCCACCCACAGCGGCGTCTGGCCACCCTTGCCCCATCCCTTTGTAGGCTTGTCGGGGTCGGCCCCCTGCTTCAACAAGCAGGACACGATCGCCATCTCCCCTGACTCGCAGGCCACCTGTGGGGGCAATCACATGGATCACGGTTCATTAGCTGGATTACAAATCCAAGTTCTTACACCAATAAGGCGATGATAGGCTGACCAGCATTTAACAAACGGCTGGACATCCAGCTGGTGCTGTGGCCTTTCTGCAACACAGTGGTTTTAATAGTTTGCGCACCTTAACACCCAACAACGCATATAACTACATAGAGTGCAATTCCTGCAAAGATAACTACGGAGTTCAATAACTGACAAGGTTTCTTCATCCACCAGAATGATATGTCACCTGCAGTGCAGTTTGCCCTTTGCCATTGTACTCATCCAGGTACCCTGCCAGCCCAGCCGTCTTTGCCTTTTCACATATGATCCACACCAAGGTTAGGTGGTGGTGCTGCACAGCCAGTGCCAGTGGCGTGTTTCCACCAGCATCTGTTGTCCGCAGGTCACAACCCTTTGACAGCAGCGCCTCGAAAATCTCATCCCGGCCCAGCCAAGCCGCCAGGAGCAGAGCCGAAAATTTCTGGGGCCCATAGCGGGCGTCCAGCTGCGCTTGAGACATGTTGTCGATCAGCAGCCTGGAAACGGTGAGGTGGTCTCCGCAGATCGCAGCCCCAAGGGCTGATGTCTCACCGTAGCCCTGCGTGTGCACGCACTCCATACTTTCAACCACAGGAATATTCTGCAAGGAGCCAGCTCAAGGTATGAGATGCAAAGCTGCACCTTTGTGATGCCAAGCATTGCTACCGATGGCATGCTCGTGTGCATGATAGCCATGCTGAGGAGGACAGATCACATGGTGCTTCACAGTATCGGGGAGCAAGGGGCATCCTGGTACCGTGAAATGCGATGTCCAAGCTGCAAACTATTCTGCAAGGTACTTGTGAGTGTGTCAAAGCTTCCTCCATATTCACAAATGTCTCCACAAGAACAAGGTTGTTCAATTTCGAACGAATTGCAACCATATCCTGAAATGTGACACTTCGGCACCCTGTGGCACAGTGAGGTTTCCATCAATAAGAATCTTGGTTCTGGGGTTCTATGAGTTCGATTTGCGCTACGCCTTTCTGGGAAACAAGTGGTTGGCATCTGTGGCGCACCATGCAGCATACAGCATATACTGACAGAACACCACACAGACAAAGTCTGAATGGGCATTGTTGAAGTTAGCCTTGAGTCGGCCATGGGCGTTTGATCGATAATTTTCGATTGGGCAAATAAAATCCAAGATTATCTGCACACATTTGCGTGATACCATAGGAAAATGCTGGGAAATCTGTTTGGCCATCAGTAACCGCACCGGCACATTGGCTGACTTCGTCAAGCTTGCACCCTCGCATAGGAGCTGTAAAACGCGATCGAGGTCTCCCTTGAACGCTGCCTCCACTAAGGGGGAGCTCTCAAGTCGAGGCGAAATGATGTCAGGAAGCACACCTGAGGAAAGGAACAAGCAGGGCTCTTGTTAGCTCAGCTTTATCCATGTTCATCTTGGCTGCCTCAACATGTCAACTGTTCGACAGGCTTTCAAAACGGGCTTGCTGTTTGTGCTTTCTGCGATGGAATTTGGACGAACTTGTAAAGCGATGGGTAGCAGTGCATGTCCCAGGGATGGATGATCCCTGTAGAAGCAAATTGGAGGTCAGTTCTTGACAGCAAAAGCCAAACAAACAGGCAACGAAAGAAGACATGTGCCATGGTATGCGCACCCTCTCCCAGCCTCGGTGGCAGCTGTGGCCGCCATTAGAGGCGTGTTTTCGGTTACATAGTTGGGCCCGGACGTGCCCCTCGCACACTGGTGGGTACGCTACATTGATCGATGCCGTGGCATCATGTCGATGCATCCATGTAAAGAAGAAATAAACAAACAAACAAACCCTCTCCCAACCAAACTGCCTAAGAATCATTGCCACTGTGTGCAACATCGCACACCAGTCTCCAAAGGATGCAAACATACTAAAAACAGAAAACAGTGGTCACCAGGATACGTTCTTCCAGCATCCCAAGTGGTTTAGGCAGTCAATCAATGGAATGCAAGAGTCTGATTACAAATCGCATTAACAACAAAATCAATGACTGTCTTGTCTTTCAAACAGAAGGCGGCGATGGCTCTGTTGCAGCTATAGAAACGATCATTCAGCGGTAGGAAAGGAGTCAGCGCTGCTCTGCAGTAGCCGGATGTTCACCACTACTAGTCACCACCGCCTCCTTGTGGCCTCGTCCCCTCACCAACCCACCATACCCACCCACCCACCGCAACCGCCGCCACCTCAATTTGTGTCTCAGGGTGTGCTGGCCTGAAAGAAAGGACCCTATGAAGGCAATCAGGCCCTGACCCCATGTGCAACCTGAAAACGATATTTTAGGGTACATGGTTAATGCTGCCTATCTCACCTGTGCTCTTCAGGTCTTCCCAGCTTTTGGACATGGCGTTGCGTAACTTGGAAAATGCTTTGCCAATGCTCACGTCATGTTTTGGCTCCCCCATTGTTCAGTGCCTCGTCAAGCTCGCTGCTCCAAAAGCTGACCAGCAAAGAAGATACTTGTGCTCCCCTGGCCACCATTCAAAACATTAGTCAATGAATTTCTAGCCACAGTTGCCGAATGCAAGTGCTATTCTTGGCAATGTGAGAGCTACACTGTTGCCACCTGCTGAGGGATCTGTGCAGCATAATGCCTGTTGCAGAAATTGGTTTTCAGTTGCACCCAGTCTTGGCGCACAGTACACGCATGGTTCCTGCGAAATTCTGAATTCCTGCCTTGACTGTGCTTTTGTTGCCACATAACCAAGCACTGTGCTTCTGCCCTCAGGTCAATGACAAGAATAAAGGCTGTAGCCGGAACACAGTGGGAATCATTGTGTCGCATGCCATGGGATATGTCCAACATTTGGAGAAGGGATAAGAATCGTGACCAGGTGAACCTGGTCGCTGCAACAGGGCCTTTTCAGCTCAGATCTTCTGCCTGTGCCCGAGGTGTCCATGCTCATGCTAGAACAAATTGAGTCTGTGAGGCAGTGCCTTTTTTGGCTTCAACAGTCCTAGAACAGTGTTTCCTTTAGTGGTGGTAACTGTATCCACTAAGGCATATCACTGCAATGTAAATTTCACCCCAATCTGAATGCATCCTTCACCCGCAGGATTAGAAGCTTCGAACGCTGCCACCACACAAACGACCGCAGCTTGCGAAATGCATTCAACATGGCCCAGCAACACCATGTGGAAAACGCAGTTATGGCCGCAGTGAGCACACTCAATGCGCTCATCCAAATATTAACACAACAACAAGGGTTATGCTGGGTCAAGTACTTGGGACTGGAGTCAACACCGTCAGCAATACCTCTGCATTCCAGGTTGCAGTGATTTGCTTTGGCAATTTAGGAGCAAGACGAACGATTCAAGGGCCGTATATCAGCAGGTACCAATTGATTAAGTCTATTCACAAGAGCAACCCAGCCCTTGCCCATCCCTGCATTCGCCAAACAGAACGACTCTGGCCCAAGCGGTGCCGATTCGTTTCGCTTCGCACCAGGAAGAGGCCCAAGGAGGCCCAATTCCTAAACATATTTGCTGCAGGGCTGGTGGAAGCTGCAGAGACGTCGCTGAAATGTCCCAGCTGCAGGAGCCGCGGTAGTGCACACGCCAGCCAAACCCCGTTCGCTAGGTCAGAAGCGTTCTGCGTTCAGCCCGGAAAAGGACGCACGCCACGTGCGGCCGAGTTTGGCGTTCAGCCACAACAAGTTCAGAAAATTTGGATGCCTGTACCCGGCCGAGCGCGTGCGCCAGCGCTGGAGCCTCAAGGGCCAACAGCCAGGGTTCAGGCACCCCTCGGTCACTCGTTGCACCGCGTGAGGCGCCCAATCTTAGAATTGGGATCCGTGCAGATATCCATCACGCTGCACCCCCCACCACACCACTCGGCGATCAGCAAACTTCCACCAAGAGACCATCGACGAGACACAGTCCCTATCCACAGCTTCCGGCGTCCCATCGACCGTCCGGATTCGACACGAGGAAGCCGGCCCCACTCGGCGACCCTCGTTGGCGTGTTCTTGCGCCACCCGTCGCCCACAGACGCAGCGCCGCAGCCAGCGTCAGCCAATCAATCGGTGATTCATGATTGCCAATCCGCGCCTAGAAAGAAACGCGTTCGGCCCTGCGGTCCGCAGCGCGGTACGCCTCGGGCCCTCAGGCGCCCGCCTTTGCTGTCCAGGGCCGCACGCCGCACAGCAGCCACAGGAAGCCCTGATACGGTTCGCTTCGCACAACGGTGCATCGCAATCGCAGGACACCTCGCACGCGCGCTCGGGTGCCGTCAGGAGTCTCGACCCAGGGCTCGCCGAGCCTCGCTCGAGGCGCAGTCGCCCGCGCTGCCGAACACGGCACCGCGCCTCGCACCGTGCCGCCCACGCCCAGCGACGCCCCAGCCATGCCGGTCAACTCCCTGCTCGCGGCCAGCCGCGAGACTCCCGTGCCTCCGATTCACAACCGCAAAGAGCGGCCCCCACCTCCTCCCCCAGTTCCACCCGCACACCCGCCACCACGTGAGGCGCAAAAACTGCGTCAAGGGGATCCCGAAGGCGCAAATGATCGCCACCGTCCGAAAGCACACGCGCGACGGGGTGCCGCGCGCTCCACTCACGGGATCCAACCGGGACAGTCCGCCGACGTCCTTTGCAGCAGCGGCCCCTCCTGGGTGCCAGCGAGCAGCTCCCGGTTGCCGCGACCGCCCGGGGCGCCCACCGCCCTCGGCGGTTGGCGCCCTGCGACCTGTCCCATCGCACGGTCCGCGTCACCTGGGACCACGAGTCCACGGGTCTTTGCCCATTGGTCGAAACAGCCGAAATATCTTATCCGCTTGGGGGGCAATGGGCAGTACAAAATGCACTTTCTTTTCTTGTTTGGACCTTTTTATTTCTCGTTGTGCTCACGGCTGCTCTTCCGGCTGCTGGGTGCTGCTCTTCGGGCAACAGAGTGTGGGGAGGTGAGTTGCAAAGCGGAGAACGCGTCACGCGATGCAGCACCAACACGACGGCTGTCAGCATGAGACAACAAAAATGCGTGCATTGGAAGGAACGTGTTTCTGTAAGGAGCGACCAATCCGCCCACCGGAAGTTCCTGTGCCGCTGTCGCACGGCTGGGATTGCCTCCAGCCGCCCAGGGCAGGAGTGTGCCTGACACGACTGGAGCCCGCATACCACAGCGCGCGTCACAGCGACTTGGCAGGTTGCTCGTCAGGGTGCGCTAGTGTGATGAAGTGCTGGTGAGGCATTCCGATAGCTGAGCTGCGAACAGCTCAAGTGGTCGGGTTGGACGGCGAAGGGGTCTTGAAAGTGCAAAATTTCCCGAAAAGACGTTTCTTGCCAGCTTCAAACGTGGCAATTAACCCCCCTCGCGGCAGCCGCTGCTGACCGCAGGGATGACAAGGTTGTGAGGGGTCGCAACGCTGATTTCGTTACCAATGTGCGACTTGATGGGTCCCTGACAGCGAAATGCCCGGCAAATGGGACATCTACGTACGGCAGTGTTGGCATCTTGGTTTGCATGCCGAGAGGATGTCTGCACCGCTGTAATCAACGGAAGAGGTAGCGACATAATGCCAGGATACCTTGATCAGGCGGAGGGGGGGACCTACATGACCAGAGAGGAAGACAACGATGCCAAGGAGAGAGTTTGACCCCTAATGCAGCGCGTGAGAATACGAGCTCAAGAGACGTTTTGGTGGGCGGCGGGCCGGGGTTATGAGAGAGCCGGTGATTACTTCCTAGGCCAGAAATGTACCACTTTTCAAGGGCAGGCTCATTGACAGGCCAGCTGTTCTAGAGGCATAGAGATAAGCCAAGTTCTTGGGCCAGCCCGTGGGGCGGGCGATGAACTGTCGCCCACGAGTCACCAACTCGTCTTGATGTGAGTGGGTGTGATCCCCAGGCCGCCAAACTGCTCCAAATCGCCCACCAAACGGCTCCTTGTTAAGCGCAAGGCCAGAGCCCAGCACCGGTGAGGCGCCAGAGTTATTCCACTGGCAATGGCATCGCGACCCGAACCATTGAGATCGCGTCGTCAACCGGTAGACTGCCATAGAGCAGGAAAGTCGTCCATAAACATCGGCGGCTATTGTGCCCCTCGCCCCCCTCTTGCAGGGATTCCTTTCATGTCCATGGTCGCCTCCTGTCCACCCACAATGCAACGGCCGTCGAAGAGTCCACATAGATCCCCCTGGGGCTGCGGTTCACCGATACCCTTCGGCACGTTCTCATCACGAGCTCATGTTCTGCCACACACTGAGTGCACCGCTGTGCTCGGATTCATGGACATCCACCCAGAAAGCCAGTGTTGATGTACATTTCATGCCCGCCTTAATATCAAAGTGCGGCAGTAATGAATTTGGAGGAGGGGCTCATCTTGTTCCGAGGTTCTCTGTCCGGATGTCGATGATTCCCACGCTGTGAAGTCAGCTCTGTACTCCCATAGTTCAGTCGCCCAAACCATGCCATCTCGCAAATCCCAGCAGATATCAGATGAGCTCCACTCGCCACAGCCCTTTGTCATATTCAAGGCAAACTCGGAAGGACTTGTCGACTTGAAAACATGCACAAGAATAAGAATTGCACCATGGCCATGCATCTAGAAGACTGCCAGGCATCCATGCCACCAACAAACCCAGAGCAATGTTGCTCTTCCCTGAGGATTCCACAGTGGTGCCAAATGGGGCCCACTCACGCTGCCATAGCCAACTTTTCCTTGCAAAAAATGGTGATCAAAGTGATATTAAGCTTGAAGCGAAGCTTGTTTATGGTCGAGTTGAGCTGTGAAGCAAAGAACAACAATTCCACAGGCAGCCAGCAAGTCAACTCTGATCATTTGTGCACACAGCTGGGCCCAGTTCCTCTGTTCGTTCAAGGCAGCATTCGCAGCAAGCCTGTGTGGTCTCTTGCTTTCAAACCAAAATCCCTGTTTGTGTTGTGCACATAGCGCTGTTTCAAAATTGCTGGCAACCTCCCACCCATCACTCGAGTCCCCGTGAGCTGCTCCACAGTCGCCGCCTCATCTGAAGGCAGGCACCATAAGCTCATCAGCCATGGACCCCATGCTGACAAGTTTTCGCTTGTCACGGACAATTTTGTGCAACACTGCTCGGGCGCAGGCCCTTAACAGCATTTGCCTTGGCTGGGCACAACAGAACCACTGCAGCATGGAGGCAAAGGTGGGCAATAAAACAAGCAAAGGAACTGCTTATCCACGTTTGCTACCTGCTCCACATTCCACCCATTAACAACATTTGCAAATGAAGGTTTAGAGGTTGGTCCAGTAGTATGACGACACCTCGCACAATTTCATATTGTACATTTTGTGTCAAGGAGTCCCTTTCGTGCAGGCCCCCACATCATCTTGCTTTGCCACTTATGTTAGGGCGGGGGTGGCCCTTGGACTCCTAGGTTTGGAAATACTTGGAGCTAAAGCGAGGAGTAGCAACACCAGCCCTCGTGCCCTGTCCACCAGCACTTCAGAAGGTTAGCAATGAAAGCAGAAGCACACGTGTCCTGTCCTTCTTTTCCTCACCGTTAGTGGGCTGAACTGCTGTAAATGTTTGGGAGGCAGGTGGGGTTCTGTTTCGGTGCAAGAATTGAGCATGGCAGCCTGTGGGAAGTTGCCCGCTGACTCCTCAGGCATCGTGTAGCAGCGGTTTGGCACAGACCTCTCTCCAGCCCTTTGTTCCTCCAAATGTTCAGTCTGCGTTCGACCGAATCCTCCATGCCCATTTATCCTTTCCCTGCCCATTAATTTCTGGCCCAGACCCAATCCTGCAATAGGGGGACACAGCCAAACTGTTTTAGCAGCTGACACAACAAACTGGCAACTGGGCACACAGTTTGAGCTGTAGCCCATCTGCTGAAAGCATAGGTTGTTCAATAGTCAGCACACCCTAAACACAAACAAATCACCACTAAAACTGCCACAGTTGAGGTGAAAGACAACAGTGTTAATGTACTTTCCTTACCAAGCATGCAACTGCCTGCTGGAACTGGAATACATCTCCAAAAGGCTTCCAACTAAATAATCTGGATCTCTGGCAAAGGTACCATCAGGGCTGCAAGGCATTGCCCGCACAAGCGCAAGTGCTTCAATGTTCAACGTTTGCCACAAAATGTCCATGGATTTGTTGCTTAAAACGCTATCAGCTTTAAGTCTTATCAACATGCCGTCAGCTTAAGTCTCATAAATTCCCAGCACACAACCCATAGGGTGATACAACAACAAGCAAACTCAACATGCCTCTGCACCATCCACATGAGAACGCAAGTCCTTGATGTTGCGTCAACTGAAGGAAATTGGCAGGCAGTCTCCTGTATTGTGCAGGCATATTCTGGACTGGCATCGACAATGCATGTTAGTGAGATCGGGACCCACTTGCACTGGTTGGCGGCTCCCCATATGGCTGCCGTCCACCGAACGCATTCTGCATTCTCAGCTGCAGCTCCTCCACCTCCCACTCCAACTGATCCGACCTCCGGATACCCTCCTTTAACCTGTTGTCCTTCTCTCGCAACTGTGCCCTCAACTTGCCGATCTTGGCCTCATTGTCCTCCTGCACTTCCTTCAACTTTGCCTCGAAGTCATCCCTCATCTTTGACTTCTCTTCCTCATGTTCTTTGTGCATCTGCCACAGTTGTTTGCCCAGGTCGTTGACCTGAGGTAAATGCACCACGGGCTTGGTCATTGTGCATATCCATGGATGTTCAAAGCCAACGGAGCGTTGTCCAATATGCACAAGCAGTTGGGCTGACTGACAAACAGAGAGCCCAGGCAGGGCAACATGGCGGTCACAGGAACATTTCTGTTTGCTGGCGTGCTTGTGCCCTTGTTGCTGTTGCTGAAATTCATCGTCATGCACGCACGCTGAACGCTGAACTGCCTTCTGGCTTTGCTAGCATCAGCGATTCGCGTTCTGGTGCAGGTTTTCGGGTGACCGTAGGTACAAGTTTTGTCGTGGTGGTCGTTAGCTCAATAACACAACACACTTCAACACTTTACAGCGTGCTACATCTCTGTTAGGTGCCTGTGGTACTCCTGGAGTGAGGTGGGCACATAAACCTTCCGCTAAAATGCGCCAAAGACAAACAACTATGGTGCACCTGTTCAATCTGCGACACCATTGAGGCACTCTAACGTAAAACATCCTCATTTTTAGGCCCCAAACTGCTCATGAACCTCTTTTCTGGTGGCTTATGAAAAAAAGTATGCAATGCGCTTCCATAATTTCACTGTTGTCAGGGCCTCCTGAGCAAAAGCTCTGTGGAGCTCTTTCTTTCTTCATACAGAAGAAGCACCTGGGGTGCAGCACACCCTCTGAGGCTTCTGCATCATAGGGCCACATCCATGGGCACACCAACACCAGGTTGTCACACCTGCTGCCTTAACGCATCCACATCCGCTCCTTCCTGCATCAACGTGCTCCTGTCGCTGCATGAACTGGGCTCGCTTGTACCAACACGCTCATCTGCACCGGCACAAGGCATAGTTCAAGAATCTTGTCTTTTGGGGCGACACCCACTGCAAGCCACGCTCCTCTTGCTGCTACAAGTCTTCCAAATGTTTGCCCAAGTGCTGGGCGATTGACCAGGTGGCGCAGGCCCCCTCCATACCTGAACTGGCACCTTCACATTCACCTGGATACTGACACTGCTCTTGTCAAGGCCTTAGAAGGTTTCACTCCAAAGTTGCAGATGGTTTGCAACCTGAGATTCCGATCCAGTGCCACCACATTCCACTGCTACAGGCTTCGCTACACCACATTTCTCCCCCAACCCCCACCCCACCCCACACCCCTTTGGTCCGTCGTTCCTCTGCATACACCTTGTGTCCGCGGGACGCAAAGATTGCAACAGAGGTCCTGATCACCAGTCCGGCCCCGGCCCAAGGGCACCCAGGAGCGCCGTGCAGCGGGCGGGCATTAGCGCACCCTGGTCCGCGGGGCGCCACGACAACTTCCGAGGTACCAAGAAGGGCGCCAGGGAGTGACCACGGGGCGGGTGCCTCGCAAAGCGCCTCACGGCAACCCCCCCGCGCCCAACAAACGCACCGAAGCAGCTCGACCGAACAGCGCCACCCGGCCGAAGCCATCACCGCGCCCACGCCCCGCCGTCTGGGCTGTCACACTCCTCTCCTCACCCCTCGCGCCACCGCAAGCGCATCAGAACCCAACACCGTCCGCGCAGCGCCCCCAGCAAGGAAAAGAGCCACCCGCGGGGCCCTCCGATCGCAACGCGACCCCGCGCAACGCCCGCTGCAATACAACATCCATCCCCCCGCCGCACCTTGTGCTCGCCGCGACTCTGCCGTGGCCTCCCTGCCCGCGCGTCCACCCCGTCCGCAGTGCTTGGCCACCTTCCTGGGGGCGCCGCCGGCGTCCCTGGCCCTCCCGGCCCCCGCCGGTGCCACGAACGGGTTGTTGTAAAACTCGTCCGGCGTGGCGGCGTCCATCCTCGTCAGCTCGGGCACCTCCTCCCTCCACCCCCGCGCCGTGCTCCCCCTGCTCGACCCCCCCCGCCACTCCCCCTCCGCCACGAACGGGTTGTTGTGAAACTCTCCCAGCTCTTCGGATGATCCGCTGCTGGACGGCGAGCTCGTGCTCACGCGGTAGGCTTCCTGCTGTCTGGCTGCGGACCTTGACCGCGAGGGGGGCACCTCGAAGGGGTTATGGTGCGGTGCCCGCGGCTCAGGGGAGGAGGACGAGGAGGAGACGAGGTAAGGGCGGTGCTGGCGGGGACCGCCCGCTGGGTCGTCCGGCGAGGGCGGGCTATCCAGGGACATCGAACGGTCCATGCGACCGGGCCTGGGCAACGGGAGAGGGGACGCGAGGCCTTGATCAGAGACGCGGGCGACGGTTAGACGGGCGGGGGCGGGGGGCGGGCGGCGGGCGGTGAACCGCGCGGGGAATTGAGGGGCGAGGATCGACGATCGGTCGTGGGGATGAACGCGGTCAGAGGCGGCGTCCGCTCGGTGCGCCGGCAACGGGAAGCGCGGGCGTCGCGCGAAGCTGGTTTGCGTCGGAGGGTGTGTGTGGGGGGGCATTCAGAAGGGGTTGTTTCGCGCACGATCGGCATGATCGCAGCGCGTTCGGAAGATTCTCCGCGCCGCCGCCGTTCCGTCTCTTCCCCCGCCTGCGGGAGGGAGGGGGGGGGGGGAGAGCCGATCCCGAGAGGGTTCGCAGGCCACCCACCTGACAACGTCCGGTCAAAAATCCCGCCCGGCGGAGATCGGTCCGGTCAAACCCGCCACCGGCAGCCCCTGGGCGCGGCCACGACGCCCAAGTGACCCGCTTGAAGCAGCCCGCCCGACGCCCACCGGACTCGCCTCTGGCCGCGACCGGTTGTGCTTGCTCTGGGCCCCTGGCGCCTTCCGCCTGTGACCGGGGCCCCGTGGCAGTCCGTGGGACTCTCGCGCGGCGGGATGTGCGGCGGATGATGTAGGTGCGGGTCTGATGAGTGCTGGACCGACCAATGAGCCAGCTCGGTGGCCGCAGCTGCGGCAACAGTGTGGGAAGCCAGCAACCCCCGCATTGGGAAAAGGCGTGCCGCCGCCGTCGGGCATGTCGACATGTGTCCGACTCACGGCTGTTCAGGGGGATCGCGGCCGTACCGCCGCGCTGGCGCAAGCCAATCTCGGCGCTAATGTTGATCCCGAGGACAGCATGGGCATCGACGCTCGCACAGCAGAATCGTGCTGCACCGCTGCTGATCATGGCTTGTTTGCGTTTTGGTGTCAGGGAACACCGAAGCTGGAGGGACCGCGCTTGCAACAAAAGGAGCACAACGTTATCTAAGAGTTGGTTGCCCCGGGAGTTGGCCAGTCAGGGTTGAGCACTGTGGGCACGCACGAATCTTCTTCAAATGCACTCGGCTCCCCCTCTTCCAATGTGTCCGTTGTTACTCCCAAGGTATCTTCAATGAGATGCATTATCCCAATGTATCTTTCTTCTTCTGTGTAATTTTTTGGCGGCAGTGGCGTACCAGAGTAATCCCGGACAATAGCATCACGTTTAAGGCAGAAATCTATAGTCCGCCCTGATCATAAGTGACCCACCCAGCCGAGCGGTGTGCGTTATGAGGCTGCACGAATAGAAGCTCTTTGCACCGGTTCAACAAACATGTTTCTTATGCTTGTTTCTTCAACCAACGGCTGTGCAATGCGGTCTGCTATTCATGCAAGCAACTAAAACGCAAAGCGTGGTTTATTATTGTTCTTATTGAAAGGCACATGGCGATCGAGACGCTTGAACGGAACCGAAATGGTCAACTCCAGAATGGTGTTTTTCTGTATGTGTCCGTGCATCCTGCGATCGTGGAGGTGGAAGATGTCACATAGAAAGAAACGCACGTTGCCATAAAAATGCCACATGCAAGCCTGACGATGACGCCTGAGTCTCGCTCTTGCTGTGCGAAGAGTCCTTGAAGGGCCGTGCACGAACGCCCAACAATCTTCTTCTGTTGCGTTGGAATGTTGGAAAAAGTGCCAGCTGTGAACCGGAAATCGTCCTGCCCTGGGAAACGAATGCACCCCAAACAGCACACGAAACCTTGTTCCCCGCCGTTTGGACGCCCCCATTTTCCCTCCTTTCGCAACTTTCATGACCCCTGCAAACACCTCCAATCGCCAATGCTGACAAGAAGAAAAAGGCTATGCGATGCCGCAGGATACGCAAAAACACCCTTGCATCGCATTTCTTGTAACGGGCTCAGACATTGGACTAGCACTGGGGCCATAATGTGGAGAAGATATGAGGTCCCCTGGACGTGTCCAACACATATTTTTGCACCTGTTCCTATTCATATTTAGACATACCAAGGCGATGACATGCACAGCTTTGTCGTAGTACCACATGTGGGAAATTCAAACCCCACCTTTAGGGAACTCATTATATCAAATTTTCGTACGCTTAGCGTCAATTTGACTTTGGGGTCCAGACCTGTGACGCCAAGAGAATGTGTAAGTGACACAAAATCGAAATAAGTTGTGGACGTGCCCCAAACGCCACTGAGCAGTGGGAAAGCACTTATGGCTGGCTCACAAACCTCTCCAAACCGTTCAATCTTAAGGCACGCCCCATGGTATCTCAAGTGACCGCCCTAGGGGCTGCCCCCATCTCTTGCCGTGGTTTTTAGAATATTAAGGTAAACAGGGACAAACAGGGATATACAAATATAAAACAGGGATTAATCCCTGTTTTGGCCCCGTACAGTCGCTGCAAATCTGGCAGTTGACTTCCTCAATACGCATCTTGAAGGTTGCATCGCGCTATTTGGTATGCTGCTGAGTCATCTTGTTACCCTCCCCCGTCAGGCGGACTCCCCTACGGCGTCACCCCCAGCGATATCCCCAACGCGGCCTCACGCGACCTCGGATACTTGTGGGACTGGCGCTCAGTAAGCGTACCGTATTCGACACAGCGTCTGGCGCCGTTTCGCCGCCTTTCCGCGCTTTCCCAACATCAACCCCTCCCAAACAAATGCCCCCAGCCCCCGCTCATCTGGGCGGGCCCCAGTCCACGGCGACCGCCCCCGACTGGTGCGATCCCCCCCTCCCCCCCTCCCCATGGCGTCGCCCTCCCCCCAGGCCGCCCTGCCGGCCTCCTCGTCCCGCCACAGATCCCATGCCCCCCCCCAGGACCCCCCCAGCCCCGCCCACTCCGCATCCCCCCGGCTGCCCCGCCGGGCGCATCAATCCGATCCCGCGTCGGGGGGCCCGGGGGCGAGGCGAGGGCCCGGCAGGCGCGGCGCGGTGGTGGCCCATGCGGGGTGCAGGCTGGTGGGCGTGGGCAGCTCCGTGCCGGATGCCGTGCTGACGAACCATGACCTCGAGGAGTTCATCGACACGAGCGACGAGTGGATCAGCAGGCGGACGGGCATCCGGCAGCGGCACGTGATGGGCGGCGCGGACAGCCTGGCGGGTCACGGCGCGGCCGCGGCGAGCAGGGCGCTGGAGATGGCGGAGATGGCGGGCGGCGAGCTGGACATGGTGATCCTGGCCACGTCCAGCCCGGACGACATCTTCGGCAGCGCGTGCCAGGTGGGAGGAGTGGGGTGGGGTGGGAAGATTTGTGACAGAGAGAAAGAGGAGAAGGTCATGCAAAGGGCGCACCGTCCTACGCAAGTGCATGCGAGTCTCTGTTCCATATTGTGAAAAGATCGTGTAGGGTCTCTAGTGGGAAATGATGAACACACAACGCAAGCAGGAGGAGGGGGGTGGGGAGGAGAGGGTCCTTGGGGATGGGCGCAGGGGAATTGAGGCGCGATTTTTGGGCTCGGCGGGGCCCAGGGTGCTGGGGCCGTTGTGCGTGGTGGGGTGGGATCTGGCAGATCTGTTGGTGAGTCACGACGTGCTGGGCTCGGCTTGCATGTGCACAGACTGGGGCTCTGGACTTGTGACACAGCCGTCCCGAACACACCCCTGGCACATCGACTGATTGCTAGCTCAGAAAGCAAGTCATGCAATGGGCACCCCCCTTTTGGGCGACACCGATAGCTCGATTCCAGTCCAGAGTGATGCGGAAGTCTCCAAACGCAACAGGAAGCGAACAGGTGAAAAGGAGGGTGCGTTGATGCTCTTTCATCGCCTGCAGGGCACAAAGCCACGAGTTCCTTTGGGCCATGTTTGCGAAGGAAATGCCCATGGACCTTGAAGAAAGTGATGGTGGTAATAATGGCAGGGCTTGCAGAGTTTGTGCAGGCGACATCGAAGCACGTTCTGGCACACTACTGATGCCCCTGTTGCGCTTGCTGTGGGTGTGCAATTTTCAGTCGCTGCTTGTGTACAAGCACGTGACAATGCACTGCGCTTACACAAAAAAAAGTACTCCCATGTTTCCACCGGGTGGCCCAAAGAATTGCCAGTGTGGCTGTCGAAAAAGGAAGTGAACCACTTACTGAGAAGCTGGGTGGAGAGTTGGCAGTCCATCTCCAGAGTATGATGGCAAATCCTGGAGCCGTCCTATGGACTTCTGGCACAGGGTCAGATGAGACACACATGGACTATGCCTTGTGTGCAACGCTCACTGGCAGAAATATCCACCACGGTTTGCCACAGGGCAGAACACATTATCCAATTAAACCTGATGCTCGTTGCATCCCTGAGGGAGTTAAATTGCCCCATTGGTGCCTCTCAGTGACACTGCGCCCCACCACGAATTGCCACAGGACAGAACACACTTGCCTATGGACCTTGATGCTCATTGCATCAGTGAGCGAGTTAATTTGCCCCATTGGTGTCACTTGGTGACCCTGTGTTCTTTGCATTTGCCACACCAGGTCCAGGCAAGCATCGGGGCTACAAAGGCTGTCGCATTTGACATCACGGCGGCATGCTCAGGGTTCGTGGTGGGAATGGTGACTGGGGCACAGTACATCAGGACAGGGATGTGCAAGCACGTGCTGGTGGTGGGCGCTGATGCACTATCACGGGTGTTGGACTGGAGAGACAGATGTGAGCTTGTGTTGGAACATTTCATTTCTCTTGATTCCAAAAGATTGCATGACTTTTAAGAGCGAAGTTGCCACTCCTGTCCTGCCAGACTGAAATGGGACCTGAGTGACCTTACAAGAAGTCAAAGACAATGAACAACTCAAGGCTGTATGTAGGACAATGAACTTGCATGATGTTTTCTGTTATGCAGCCTTTTGGAAAAAAAATATCAGTCACAAAAGAATCGAAGATTGGCAGGCCCTGGGAAGGTTCCTAAAGGAAAAGAGCCATCCAGACAAAGCACTGAAGGCAAGGAAAACAGAAGAAGTGATGGACCTAATGGGAATTCGAAACCCAGAAGCAAAAACCCTGCTGGTCTTGACATGTCAACAGTCAACACAGAAATATAAAACGTTGTTGTTGTTTACATGACCATGGGTATCAATGATGGAAAGCGTAATGTTGCGTGTGTAGCTTAAATGTACACTAATGTGTCCAGAACCTACGATTGCAGGGAATGGATAAGCGTACTTTTTGCCAGAAAGTGATTTGACTTGTTGGCCATGTCGTTTGCTTCTGTATTTGGGTGATCGCATCACTGTGTGTGTGACCCATGCATTTATCCACCTGCCACAACACAAAGACCAGGTGAGCTGGACCACAGGGAAAAACTGCATGAGCAGATCTTAACTGTTTGTGATCTTTCTTCCAGCGACCTGCATCCTGTTTGGAGATGGCTGCGGTGCTGTTGTCCTTTCCCCAAGCGACGATGACAACTGCTCTCTGTTGGGCATGGCTATGGTCAGTGATGGCACGGGGCAGAAGTCGCTCAACGCCGAGTTTCAAGCCTTTAACGGAATCAAGGCGCGTGATGGTGGAGCTTCCTCACCAGCAGCATTCTCAAACATTCAGATGAATGGCCAGGAGGTGTTCAAATGGGCCGTGAGGGGAGTGCCAAAGGTACGGTGCCTGTGCTTTTCGTTCTACATCTCGTCACATTTGACGAATGCACATCTACGGAGAACATGGGTTGTGGTGTGGTGCGTTGTTGAAGCATGTACAGATTATTGAGCAGCTGTGGTGCGCTCTGCCAATGCCGGCAGAGGAGCAATGACTACAGAATGCTTGAATAATTTGACTGAATGTCAATTATGGAAACGGACATCTGTATCTTGATGTTTAGAGGGTGGGAACTGCTGTCCGTATAGGATAATGAAGTTTTCTACGCCCTTTTGCTCAAGGCACAATGAATTCAAAACCGGCAGCATATTGTGTGCAGCTTGATCTGGCAGGGAAGTGAGTATTCGCATGCAAAGTGCACATGGCATGCGTCACATCGAAGATGCAGAACATGATATTGTCCAGCCGACCTGTGGTGCCCTAGACAAGAAGATGTTGTGGGTTGTCCAGTGGATGATCAGTGACATTGCTTCAGGGTATGAAGATACTACCTCTTTCATAAGTCATGTCCGATCTCCAATTTGCACAAACTGAGATTAAAACGCCCAAGGCAGAAAAATTCACTGAAACAACTTCGAAGCACCACATCAAGAGCTATGCGTAGAGCCCTCAAACATTCCAAATGATGCTGCCATTCTTGTGATATGCCAACAAGAGTTGAAATGCGATTTTTCGTTTTCCCGGGCACTGGCTGCGGTACACCATGTTTGCCTTGCCCTTAAGAAGAGGTGGATTGATCTGAACTGTCACCAGGAGAGCGGTATGCTTGGGTGGTTTGGTGTGCGCTAAAGATTTGCCTTGATCCCAAATAGAATTTGCAAGGAAAAAATTGGAGTTTGCTGCAAAATCTGGGGTGTTAACAACAACCTGCGCAAGTGATGGTCAAAGGCCAAGAGACACCTTGATCAGTGCAAGAGCATCTATCTTGCAGATTTGCCAAGGTTCTACATCAACTGAAGAAAACGCCCTAGATTGAAGCAACTGCGGACAATTGTTGTAAACAAAAATTTTGGCAGCAACTGCGGACAATTGTTGTAAACAAAAATTTTGGCAGCAAGATTCAACATACTGGAAGGGGCGATTCCCCAAAAATATGATAGTAATGATGTTCAAAGGGCATAGTAGTGCCTATCTGTTGTCTACAACAAGGTTCTCCACGCATTCTGGTGAATTGGGTTAGGACATACCAGAATATAACCAATGCATCAGTGCAGGGAATTGAAGGCCTGCATGTAATTGAACAGGGGCATTTTTGAAAGCGTTATAAATGTCAAGTTGCATGGTGGTCACCAACATAGCAAAGATCCGCATCAACCCAAAATCGACTAAAGAATCTGAATCTGGTGATGGATTCACCAATTGAGTTGATCTTGCAATAGTAGAGCAAGAATTAGAGATCGGACACGACTTATGAAATGGAGGTAGTATTGAATGCAATGTGCTGTACATGATGAAGGGTTTAGTTTGTCTTTCTTAACACGCCATTGCTGGTGGAAAGCACATCGAAGGGTAGGAACGCAATGCAGATGGAACGAGACATGTGCAAAGTTGGCAACTATCATTTCGATTGACTTGCTGTGGACCAAATAGCTGACACCTGTTATTCTTTGCTACATGTCCACAGATAATTGAGGAAGCCTTGGAGAAAGGAGGCTTGACAAGTGAAGACATCGACTGGCTGGTGATGCATCAAGCCAACATGAGAATTCTGTCTGCAGCAGCAGAGAGACTGGGCCTACCACAGGAGAGGGTTGTTTCTAATTTGCAAAAGTATGGCAACACCTCGGCGGCATCCATTCCTCTGGCCCTTGACGAGGCGGTCAGGAATTCGTCCATTAAATCAGGAGATGTGGTAAGCCTTGCCAGCCGGTTTGCTGGTGTGCCAGGTCATAATCGGCATCAGACAATTGTCCGATCACTGATTGGAATGGCCCAGAGGCACTGGGGTGTTGCATATATGTTGTATACATGACATTTGGTCCAAGCAACAATCATCAACTTTGTTGGCTTGTTGTGGGACCATATCGGCGATCCCGTGTCGATTTCCCCTTCAAAGCAAAGATAACCAATGTGCATTGCATTTTGCTCCTGAATCGAGCTGAACGTCTGCCAGCAGAGTCTGCTGTTGCGATTGTGGATGCCTGCATTGTTTGTTGATATCATCTGGCCGATGGAGAAAACAACAGCGTTGCAGTGGCAATCTGTTGACAGGTTGGACACCTACCCTTGAATGGATGTTTCCTATTGGACAGGGGGATACAACAGGCAATGACCACTCAAAAGGGTCAGAAGCATTCTAGCATTCAGCCACCCATTCTACCTAACAACAAGCAGGTAGCTAGGAAGATGAAGGGTCTGATTCCTGGTCATTCTGTTCCTTGTAAACGGACAAATGTATGCCGATAACAACAATGCATTCAACGTGCACAGGTGGCTACAAAAGGCTGGCATGTCTGATCTCCTTTAGCTCACCTGGCGTCGCGCGACCCACAACGACTGCCTCCAAAACATGTGCAGCAGTTGTGTGCCACATGATTTGCGGTATCCCTGTCAGTAGCGTTGTGGTTGATGAGCTTGCTGGTTCTCTTTTGTGCAGAACGTTGCTGTTAATACAGCCTTGGTCTGCTCACACTTTGTGGCCTTTTGAGCTTGCCAGTCGCAAAGTGGTCAAAAAGGGAGCAGTTGAAATGCCACCCTTAAACCTCCTTCGGTGTGATAACAGCACCCCTTGCAAGGTTTGCTTTCGGCAGTGTCAGACTCGTTTTGAAAGGTAGGTGTGTGTATGGCAGATCGCCATGGCCGGATTCGGTGCCGGGCTGACCATGGCTGCTGCCATCGTCAAGTGGGGCTGAATTCTGAAGGGAGCCAAAGAAGGGGTTGCTGAACAGAGGCAGTGCCGGATTGCAAATCTGTAAAGCACGAATTCGCTTTTCTGCCTTCAACGCACTGTGGCAAGGTCGGCTCCGAAAGGTGGGGCAGGTGGGGCTGGTGTGCTGTGGTCAGGGGGGAAAGATTCAACCCTCCATGAATTGATTGCTCAGATTATTTCTATTATGGCGTGTGTGCGCCCAAGTTCTTCCTGAGAACAAATTGTGGGTTAGCATGCCTGCATGAGCTTCACGCCGCTGCCCACAAGGTTGCACTTCAAGATCAAGGCAATGCGGATCACTGTTTCCGCTATGCGGTTGGTGTTGGAGTTGGTTGCCAAGGGAGGACTAAGCCAAGAGTCAGCTATTGAAGCGCCAGATGATGACTGCAATTGGCTGTGAGCATGGGCATTTTGACGCCAGAAAATGCAACGGACGAGGGATTAAACCTTTGGGGTGCTAGGCAACCTCGCGCCCCCCCGCTGGTGTGCCTGGTGCGGTAGCTGTCCAATTCTTTCCGGGTTTCGGGATGCTCAGTTTTGACGGGGGGCTCAGTGGGACCTCAGGCTGCGGCCCCTCATGACGGGGATTGGAGTGATTTGCTGGGGCAGGTGGAAACGCACCCCAGGAATGCACCCGGGACAATGCATTCGGCATGCGAGTGTCAATATGAATGTCCTGTAATCGCTGCGCTGGTGCTGTGCGGTTCAGAAAGTACAGGCGAGCGTACGGTTGTCTTGCGGTGCAACACTTGCACACCTGTTTGATGCGGTGGCTACGGTAAAAGTTCACATCACGCACGTCGCTCCCACGACCCCAAAAGGGGCGTATCGACAATTCGCGTGTCGGTGCTCCCTCACAACCCGACCGGATGCATGGACTTTTCTTGTGGTTGTGGTTCCCCACATGCCCCGAATGGGCGCGTTGGAGAATTGTGAGGCCGTCTGCCTGCTCAATGCGCAGTGCATTTGACGCGCCTCCCGTTGGTGCTAGTGGAATCACGATGCATTGTGGTTGGGACGCCACGTTTAGTCGCTGAAGCGTGGTATTCAGCACCTTCTAGCAATGGCGCTGACCTCCTTGAATGGCGCTGACCCCCTTGCTGTAGGCCCCCATTATTAAATCCCTGTGCGTTCTGCAGTGCCTCCCTGCCAGACAATATGCGATATACCGTAGTTACCCGGTGTTAGTATCCGCCCCCTTAATATCTACCCCCCTCTCTGGGGGTCCAAACCACGTTTGTATCCATGACCCGGTGTTAGTATCCACCTCCAAGCGCCAACGGAAACGAGCTCAAGAGCGGTGTCAATGGCCTATACCGATGGAGCGCGTAGTTAACGCGAATTTTTGAGTACACGAAAGGTAACAGATCCATTGGGTACAAGTATTCTCTTTTATCAGTGGTTTGCGAATTCTTCCAATCGCAGCAACCTTTGCCACCGTAAGGCTGCACACCCCTGAAGATTACACACCCCTGAAGCTAATCAGTACCGTGAGGCTAGAAGACGCACATTACAATGTGTAACTGCAGCCACCCTGGTTCTATCATTGCCTTAAAATACCTAGCATTGAAGTGAGTTTCTCATAAGTCAGGCGCCGCAACTGAGCGGAATTTGGCTGACATATGTCATCCCGAATAATACCATTGACAGATGCTGGACCGATGCCGCACATTACCAGGATGTTTTGGTGGAGTTTATTGAATCGACGGCGAGCCGCACAGATGCCAGAGAGCGCTCCAATGCATCAAACACGCACAGGTCAGCAAACATTGTGCAGCTCAAACGACATTTTGGGTTTCGCCCTGCCTGGCAGCCACAGATATGTGGCTGGCATCTGCGGCGGTCAGCAGCAAGTTGATGTCGTCTGGATCTACGAGTGGCCTCGCCAGTATCAGGGGACAACTATGGAATGCTACTGGGGGAACCACCAGACGACATTGCATTGGACTGCGTTGATTTCGTGCTTTTATTTCTTAAACGGATTCAACAACTAGGCTCTATCCCACCATTCTGCCGCTCCCAGCCTCGCAATTCCCGCTGATTTGATCGTATCGAAGCGTCTTCATGCCCAGAGACACCTTATTGTAGCACGGAACTTTGCAGATGTTTCTTCTGATGACGGTGTGCCATACAGCGGTGCACGTGTCACAAATGGTGACACTACAACCAGGCTTGGCTTTTACGCCGTAACAACTGAACGTATTTACGTTTTTACGCGCAAAAGCAATTTTCAAGTTTTTCGGCGTAAAAACGCGTCAAAATACGTAAACATAACGTCAATACAGCACCGTGCAAATAAGGACAGTACATAGAGATTTGGGGAGTCCGGGGCGTGGCTGCCACACGCGCTGGAGTGGGTAGAAAGCGAACTTTTGTTCCATACAGTCGTTGCCCTTGCCGAGAGCGAGGTGGCACTGCGTTGCTTGTGCTGGAGATGGCGGAGGACTGATCATTGCACGCAACTTTCATTGTGTATCCTGGCTGCCCAACTAAGCCATAACAACGGAAAAATAGCCATAAAAATAGGCCCTTACGCAAATTTACGTTTTACGGATAAAGTGTAAACGTAAAAACGAAAACGTAAACGTAGAAGCCAAGCCTTGCTACAGCTTCGCCCAAACCAGCAAGTATCGGCAGAGAAGCCAACCGTGGACCAACCTGTTTGTGGCAAGGATTAAAACACACTTGCAGCGATCCTTTAGCCCCCTCTGGCCTCTTCGCAGCTCTTATCTCTCTCCCAACAGCATGTTTTGCGTCCAAGATGAGCCCAAACTGTCGAGCCCGGCATCTGCTAATCGGTTTCCCGCCAATCCGCACGATCAATCAACAGATGTTGTGCCTTAACATCCCTCTAGCCAGCCGACCCGCAGCCGCTAGGCAAGCCTGCCATCGGCTCCCCTCCTTTCACCTGCGGCCTACAGCCAACATCAGCTGGGCTTTATGCAGTGCCAAACTGCCTTGTTCATGAGCAAGATTAACTCAACCAATCCTTGCACATCCATCAGTAACTAAACGTGCTTAGCTCAGCATCACTTCATTCCGTCCGTCCTTCCACCCAGCACCGAGCGGTCCAACGACACGCACTCCCCGCCCCCATTTCAATTCCACACGCGAAAGTAGTCCACCTTGAAGATCGCCTTGCCAAACTCCGGCGGGCAGTTGCACTGTCCCCCCCACTGCCAGTCGTAGATGCCCGTGCTGAAGATCACCCGCAGCTCCTTGTCGCCCGGCCAATCCTGGTCCGCCACAGAGCTCCTCCAAATGGAGCGCACCCGGTGGCCGTTGACGTAGAAGTGCAAGCCGCCGGGCTCGCGCAGCACGCCGTACGTGCCCCACTGCGTCGTCCTGGCGCCGTCCGGAATGAGCTTAGGGTCGTTGTAGCCCGGGAGCTGGTCCACGTTGCTGTGGCCGTTCCACACGAAGTGGTGGATGTTGGTCCCCAGGTGCGTGTCATGCCAGTCGCTGAGGGGTATGAACTCGAAGACGTCGATCTCGTACGAGGAGCCCATCACCTTGTCGAAGAACCAGAAGGCGCTGGAGACCTTCTTGGGAGAGGCCTGGGCCCGCGCCTCGTAGTAGCCCAGGCCCATGGGCGCGAGGCTGGAGGCGATGCCGGAGGGGTAATCGTCGTCCGGCGTGGCGCCGTGGCGCATCTCCAGAACGAGGTTGCCCTTGTAGGTGTAGGCCAGCCGGCTGTCGAAGGGCGACCGGCTGCTGCCCTTCCAGCCCGTGGGGTGGACGGTGGCCCACTTGGTGGGGTCAGGCGCCAGGAACTGGTCAGGGGCCTGGTTGAACTCGTCGCTGAGGGCTGCGTCGAACCGCCAGCCGTGCTGCTTCATCACGTTCCACCCGAAGCCGTCGAGCCACGGCCAGGTCTGCGCCTGCGCCGACAGCAGGGCGCACGCCAGGGCCAGCAGCGACATGCCCCTGCGACACGCCGCGGCCATGTTGCCTGTCGATTCTCACCGCTCGGCGCCCGCGTCCTCCTGCAGAGAACAGCCATCGGGCGTCAGCGTCTGCACTGCGAGGAGCAGTGTGGCACCCACGACCACACACGCATGCAGACCATGCGAGGAGCATTGGCGCCCACGACCACACACGCATGCAGACCATCACGTCCTGGGCAATGAAGACCAGTGGCCGGCCGCCGTCTCACAGGGTTGCTGGCCCAGGGCTTCCAAGAATGCCGGTCCGCGGGACGCGTCATTTGAATCGCCACTTGCGATCCCACGAGCGGGCGCCCTTCATACAGTGGGATCCAGGCACCAGAATATGAGAACGGCAGCGAAAATCCCACGGCTCCCCCTTGTCTTCATTCTACCGACCCGTCTGATGTTCCGCGCTCGCAGATTGCCTCGGAACGCGGCGAGGCTTGCCGACTACAAAAAACCCGACGCCTGGGAAGCCTGGGAGATCGGCCAACGCGATGGCTTCACTCGTGGCCCACAGAGCATGCCCCTGGAGCCTGGACGCCACCAACCTGTCCGCGGACTGGGTCGCCCACCTCGATTGCCACCGCGAGGTGCTGGCTCGTCTCACTTGCGCACGCCCAAGTGGCCTCGTCGCCCCATATACCGCGTGCGAGGGTCTGTTGCTTAGGTAACAAAAACTGCTCCCGTGCATCACTTACAGGCGCATGTACCTCACAGTGTCATCGCGCTGCGGTACATGCGACAGACGCGATGCACGGAGCACCACGTGGATGCATCCAGTGACGCACCCGATCACCCCAACATTGCCGCCGGGAGTCAGTCGGGACGCGCACACAGACTGGCCCATGGAGGGGATGGTCATCTGCAGCCGCGATTGATAGATGCCACGCACGTGCCACTTATCTTCCTGATCGCTGCAATCCCCGAGAAGATGCCCAAGCGGCGAGGGGGGGAGCGTCCCTTCAGCAGGATCATCGCTGCCCGCCACCGCGTGGATGCACCTCGATGTGCGCCATCACTCGCACCACCACACATGCATGCGAGGGCCGCA